CCTCCGGAGAGATGTTTTAATGAATGAAGACGTGATGTAGAATAAATACGTTTATTCTCAACTAATACAATGACTGAATTGGGTGTAAATGAAGGTGAATGTATGACTGACGCGGAGTCAGTCCTCTGACGGACTGCGTGTGTCTCGTCGAGTGGTCTACGTGTGTCTCCTCGAATGATCTATTGGTGACTCCCCGAATGGTCTATTGGTGACTCCCTTGAATCCTCTCTTCGCTATGTCTACGTCGCCCTTTTAATTGGTAGGCGACTTTCTGGAGCCGGCCAAGGCGCCTTGTTTCCTAGACAAGGCTTTGTTTATGCCCGAGCCTTTCCACATACTGTCTCTCTCTCCAAGGCCAGAGAAAGTGTCCTTGGATGAGAGGTATGTTTGCACATCTGACAATTCTCGGCAGGGCCGAGGCTTTGTAGGAGTTGACCTGACAAAACGCCTCGGAGGGTTCTGTTCTGCGCCAGAACACCTTTTATGAGTCATAGTTGGTCAAAAAAAGTCTTCTCTTGCGAATAATACTTAACTGACATGTTATATTACAAGGTATCAATATCTCAGATTAATAATAGAGCTATGATATGTAACGGAGCGGAATATGTAACGAATGCTACCAGAATTTTAAGAAACCAATTTTCTTATGAACGAGTTTTCCATACTTATCTGTCAAGAAACCGATTGACATTAATATACTTAATGATCAAAGTAACACATAATATCGAATATGGAATATAACTACAAACACCATGTTGATTTCTACGCTCCAGAGCAAAAGAACTTTCACAGATCAATACGACATACGGTTTCTTCTAAAACGGTTGTACTAGTTAAAAGACGCTGGCTAACTTGAAGCTATGGCTAGTAAGAGGATTTATATCGAAATTAAAATACGTAGCTCTTCGTATACTAATAACTTGACTGCGGATATTTATGCAAATTGATATTTTTATGAATATAATTAGAAAGAATCTAAGTAGGAGATCTTTTTATCTATTGCACGTTGTGTCATGAAGAATATTATACTTTGAATGTTTATATTATATAAGTTTTGCAAATCGTTTGTGTATTCTGTGGATTTTCTCGTCTTAAAAGCTTTTTATAAATACATAAAAATCTGCAGAAGTCTAAGTCGATTTCATAAGAAAACTAATCTAAACTTGAAGCGCTTTAGCATTTCAGCAAAGACAGTCTCCCGATATATTTGACGTTCCTTACTATAAAACGCTCGAGAAGTATATGCAACTCTTGGGCCAGGATCCACGTCAAAAGAATGGGTTCAGGAATTTTATAGTAACTGCTGTGGTGATCAGTATCACAGGCAACATTGTACCAACGGTAAGAAAAAATTTATTTAAACATCTGGCAAAGAAGTGTTATAAACAAAATGAGACAACTGAAGTAAATGAATTCCTCGCAAGAAAGTAAATAATTGGATAATTGTTATTAAACAAATGGAACCTCCAATCATTAGTTACTAGAGTTATATATCTCCTTATGTAATAAGAATGTGGACGCGGTAATCGACGTTTTCCCACATTTTATGGCAGCTACGATCAGTGCCATTAAAATATTAAACATCCAAATCAACAGACAAAATGTACGTAAGTCTATTATCATATATAGAAATTGTATATAATCATATATAAGTCTATTATCATATATAGAAATTTCCATATCTTCAATATATATTATTTGTAGTTTAACGAATTGCTTCGATTCGTGGCAAAAGAGTGGAAGCAGTTGAAACTAAACAACGAATTGCATGTTTTGGATGAAACCCTTATTCAAGGCAACAAAATGGCACAATTGTATCGAAGTATTTTATCGTATCTATTCTAAATTTTTTATTTGAATGCTATTACGTAACAAAAATTCTTTTTTTTTCTTAATATCTTGCAGATAAGTTATAAAGTCCATTCTTTTCAGGATCTTTATTGTCCGCTTTGGTATTGTTCCTGTTGATCCCACTAATTTCTCCGATTATGGACATCGTTCTTCCATTAAACAAAACTCGTCCACGACAACAACTGCTCAAAATTAATTACATAATTTTTGACGACGCGGACTATTTTTTCTACGTATATATACAGTTAGCCTGGAGTTCAATCATGGTTGTTGTAACCATAATTTCTGTAGATTCGTTATACATCCTTCTAATTCATCACAGTAGCGGATTGTTTGCTGTGTGTGGGTAAATACGATACTCGTTTCATGACCCACGCAAATATTTGAATACGTATCGCAAAAATTTTTTATAAATATATATTTGCGTGTAATTTATATTGTTACATGTATACAATAATTCCAGAAAATATCCGTACATACGATAGAAAATTATTGATATTTTAAACCTTTAACTCTCCGAAATCGTACAACAAATTTTAGAGAAACATTGTAAAGAGAAGACTTCGATCATAAAACGATAGATCGATAAATTGATAGATCTATGATATTTTGTTAAGTAATTATAGCAATCTTAATCTGATACTCATTTTAAAGTATGAAGCTTCCACTTTTACAATACTACGTTCGTCTTTTTTTTCAAAGATGTTTTTTACGTCATTTTAAAAGAAATTAAGTAAAAATATTTTTTCTCTTACAAACGTCTTTATAGATAAAAAAATTTGTTCTTAATTAAATTCACCACAGAATGAGAAATTTGAAGAATAAAGTTTCCCCTTGACAACAATGAAATTTATTGTACGATTTTTTTTTTCATGGAGTTAATAAAAGTTCAAAATGTCGGTAATTTTTCATTATGTAAAAACTTTCTGGAACCACTGTATATGTTATACATATGTTACTGTATATGTTATACATATATTTATAAAAAATTCTTGTAAGTGTTTAAACACTTTTATCTATATTATATGTAAATGTTACAATTATTTCATTGTTGTATCAAATACAGACACCGAGTGCAAAATGCAACAAAAAATTCCAATGCCAGCCAAGTTGTTTCAGGAAATTACAAATACGAACAGATTAGAAATTGCATAATCATCCACGATGAAGCTATCCAGTTTGTATTTATTGAGTATAAATAGAATTTATTGAAACAATAAAATCTATATAGAACTTGTTTTACCAGCTACATATTATAATGAATATCATATTATAGTTTACTTTGTATAATTCTACGTATTACGTGCATTTATAGTTATACATCTCTAAATATTTCTTATTTTGCATGAACACCCGCAGTCTAGTAATAAATTCAAATCAAAAAGTCATTGAACACTAATTTGTTATCTTATTATGTTTTAAGGTTTTATAATATTCTAAATGAAAGCAGTCGAAATACTTATTTGATTCAAGTTGGATTAAATATGTTAATAATCAGCGCAACAGCTGTGCAAGTAAAGACAATCTTTTAAACAAAAAACAGAATGAAAAAAAAAAGAACGTTTACGACAGTTTTATTCGAGAGTTTTTAATTTTCAGGCAATGATGAATTTGGACACCCCAGAAGAAGCAATTAGAAGCTTAGTTTTTTGCGGGGCCAATCAGTTTCATTTATTTGTGCTCAGTTTACCTGGACAAGTGCTGCTGGATCATTGTGCTAAACTAGCAAATAATATGTACATACTTAATATACGCATATGATACGTAGACTATATAGGGATAGATGTGATAATTTTACTTTTATTCTCACGTATAATAGGGTGATAAGATCTAATTATAAGATTAAAAAAAGAAACCAACAACATAATAAATATTATAACAATTAATGTTTCAAAAATATTCAAAGATTTAGTATGGGACTAGCTGTGAACGAGTATAAAATTTATTTCAATAATAAAACATAATAAATGTAACTTATCGCATCTTTATCCCGTGGTCTTTATATGCAAGTAACCTGAGCAATCATTGTGTGTTTTATTGATGTTACAACAGATATAATTCCACATGGTATGGGGCACCCGTGCAAATTCAAAAAATACTTTACGTAATGCAAATAAGAAGTGCAAAACCATGTAGATTAACGGCAGGCGGACTGTATGAAATGAACATAGAAAATTTCGGAGTGGTATGTATCAATGTATTTATAATTCTAACAGCTGCTTGCTATATATAATATTAACTGCTATTTACAATTATTTTTATTTCAAGACCTTCAAAACGTGCATGTCCTACATTACGATGTTAATGTCGCTAAAATGATCGTTCAACGTTGTCTATTGAAAATGTTTAGTCAAATTTATTACGCTGTAGTCCCAGTTAAATCAGGAATGCGAATAATTAATATTAATGATTAGATGTAAATAAAATTACTGAATCATATTTTACTTTATCGTATAAAAAAATGTCACAATCCTTACCAGTATAGCGATTCGACCTCGCAGCGACTTTCTTTTATTTTGTTTCGTTGAGCCACAAGAAAAATTTACGTTTTCACCTACTAATTTTAGCAAAATATAATTTAATTACAATAGTTAAGTTTACTTAAGCCATCATCTTTTTAAGTCACAATATCTACATTTCATAAATAATATTCTTTGCCGAATATTCAATTCCTTTGTCGAAGTTTCAACTAGAAGTCAAAAGAGGTACTGCGAGGATACGATACTTTTCTAAGAATTCAAAAGCTTTCATTATACAATTTAAAAATCTTTTATAAAACATTTTGAGGATCTAGCAAATATCATATTGACAGGTGCCCGATGAATATTTCAGTATAATCATAGATCTTCGGTTTTCAGTTTAAATAGCAGGTGTCACTGCAACTCTTGATTCGTAATATTATAATTGCCGTCCAGCGACAGTTTGACAACTGTAACTATAAATATTAGTTACCAGAAATATCAAGTTTCGAACATAACTGGTAACGATTGATTTCCTCGGTTTTAACAATAGAAACTTTTCGTTCATTCAGCACGACGATTGTCCCTACATTGGCTTTAGTCGAAAACCTGGAGATATGGATAGTAAGAAACAGAAATGTGTTATTGAAACAGAAACACATTGATCAACTCCATAAACTGAAAAACAAAAAAAAAAGTGATAACACTATTGTTTCCTAAATCTACTTCGTTATTACTTTGATTGTTTTTTTACGATAAGTGAACCTTGTCGGAGTAAATTTCTTAAGAGCTGAATATTATTCACAACATGATCAAAATGGAGTTGATCAGTTTGGTTTCAGTTCGTGTCACTAAGAACTACTAAAATTAATACTAAAGGCTAAAATATATCACGTAGACAATTAAAATAGTTCTTTGTAAACGTTACGTTAATTAATATATTCTCTAGAGGTGTGTGCGAACTCGAAATATCGGGTCGGGTCGGGAACACGACATTTTTTCTGGATCGAGACGGGTACCCGAAAATTTCGAGATTCTCGACAGAGTTGGGATTTGGGAAAGGATTGGGAACAAGCTTAAATAATTCGTTAAAGCCTTCAACTATATCGAAAGGTCAAAGCTGTTATATCTTTTGGTTTAACAATCTTTCGCGTATCATTTTGTACATGCGACAGATTTTATATCGATTCAGTTTCTTTTCTAGTACATGTACTAATGTTTGGATGCATATACTTCAAATGGCGTAATAAACTAGTATTATTTGCATGCTAAATTTTAAAGAAAGCTTGAAAAAGCTTGAAAATGTTCCCAAACAGAGCTTCTCTTTACCTTCTTCCTTTGCACGATATCTTCTGCACTACTTCCTGCTACCACAACTTTATTCTCACTGTCACTCGACATTGTTTTTAAAGATTTTTAGTCTTTATTAAATTCACACAGATTTTGAAATATACGTCTGACCTCCCCGAGTTTCTCAGTGATACTGCTCAACAGCGTACATAATATCCAAGTGCTAAGCACGCAGTCACATATTCGTTTACATCAAGTCACACGATTCTTAGAATCCGTGTTTCCAATAACTTCACTGGCAGAAGAAATTCAACTGTGTATTTACATATTTTGTAGGCTGCTATACAGCACTGCAGAATAGTTCGAGAAACAGTAGCCCGGTTTTCGAAATTTTCGGGAAACCCGATTCCTTCGGGAATCACGAAATTTTCGGGAACCCGACTGGACTCGATTCGACCTCTTCCCGACTCGTCCCAATCATCGGGTTCCCAATATTTTTGGGTTCTCGCACACTCCCTAATATTCTCGATTATTTGAAATAACTTAACAAACGATCATTTTTCCATGAAATTAATCTAAACGTAGAGCATTTAGTACTTCAGAAGGCCAGGAGACAATCGTTGGATATATTTGAAATTCCTTACTATAAAATGCTAGAGAAATATTTGCAATTCTTGGGACAAGATCCACGACAGAGGGATAAATTCAGAAATATTATTGTAACTGTAATGGTGACAAGCATTACAGGCATTGTTGTCCCAACGGTAAGAAAAATTAATTGTATGGTACATTTCATAGAAATGTTTACAGAAATCACAGAGATACATTTTTATAAAATGTACTATAGTTAAAATGAGAAAATTGAATTGACTGAATCCTTCGCAAGAAAGTAAATAATTAAATAATGTTATTAAACAATTACATGGGATTACATGCAATCATTAGTCATTAGAATTATATACGTCGTTATGTGACAAGGATATGAATGCAGTGATCGAATGCATGCCACATTTAATCGCAGCTACAACTAGTGTTGTTAAAATATTGAATGTCCATTTCAACAGAGAAAATGTATGTGAATATATATTGTTATATAACGATAAAAATTTTTGGACAAAAATATGTTGTAAAGTTATGAAGACGAACGCTATGTTTACAGTTTAAAAAATTATTTGATTTCATGACGGAACAATGGGAAGAGTTGAAGTTAACCGATGATTTACACGTTCTGGAAGATGCCACCATGCAAGGCAGCAAAATGGCACAACTATATCGAAGTAAGTTATTGTGCTTCAAACTTTTAATCGAATTTCTTTTTTTATTTTTCCATACAAGCGAAAGAGGATTTGTTCCATTGGTATTTTCGTATATCACGAGTTATCAATTATAGATTATCTTTCCAGATACTTTATTGATCTTTATGGTCCTGTTCTTATTTGTCCCATTATTGTTTCCTATTTTGGACGTAGTTCTTCCACTAAACGAAACTCGACCGCGACAACAATTGTTTAGAGTTAATTACATGCTTTTCGACGATGAAGAGTACTTCTTTTACGTGTATTTACAGTTAGCATGGGGATCGGTTGTTGTTGTGATGATAATAGTTACCGTAGATTCACTGTATATTCTTGTAATTCATCACAGCAGTGGATTATTTGCGGTGTGCGGGCAAGTATCATGCGATTTTAAATGTCATTTTCTTTTAAGGAATAATAGTCGCACGTTTCTCTTTATATCCAGAACACTAATCAAATTTCATTTTTCATAATATATTAAAAACACAGGTATCAAGTCCAAAAAGCAACTAGTATCTCGATTATCACTACAGAAGCTGTGCCAGAGAGTTATACGTACGAACAGATCAAAAACTGCATCATCACACACAATAAAGCGATCGAGTTTGTATCAAATGACGATAACATAAAACAGATTATGAAATAGTTACTGGTTAATGATTAATTTGACTTATTCCATTACATTTTGAGGTTTTACAGTATTCTGAATGATAACAGTCGAAGTAGTTATTTGATTCAAGTTGGATTAAATATGATGGGTATAAGCGTAACAGCTGTTCAAGTAAAGAGACTCTAATAAATGAAAACAAACGAAAATATCGAAAGGCGTTCACATAATTGAAAGTTGGCATTTTTTCAGACAGTCGCTAATTTAGACAGGCCGGCAGAAGCGATTAGAACTGGTATATTCCTTGGCGCTGAACAATTTCATTTGTTTGTGATCAGTCTACCTGGACAGGTACTTCTGGATCATTGTTCTGATTTAGCAAATAATATGTATGTGCATTCGTATAACATGCAAACACTGATCGATAGAAGAAAATACAGTTCGTTACTCGTGTCAAAACAGATATAAATCCACGTGGTATAAAATACCAGTGAGAATTCAAAAAATGCTTTTTATGATGCAAATAAGGAGTAAGAAGCTGTGCACATTAACAGCAGGTGGATTGTACGAAATGAATATAGAAAACTTCGGAATAGTATGTCATATTATAAAACCAATTATAATTATGTTACCATTATATTACCATTATATTACCATTTGCTTCATACTTTTGTTTTAAGACCTTCAAAACGTGTATGTCGTACTTCACGATGTTACTATCATTGAGGGAATGAGTTATTTGTCATAAATATTTAACCATAATAGTTGCATTTTGTACCTGAATGAACTCAGAATGTGGATAATAAGATAGATAGTCAATATGTATTGTTAAACCTAAATAGTTAGTAACAAAGTTATTGATGCAAATAAAATTATTGAACTATATTTATACAACCATGTTTATACAATAATTCAATTTTGACGATTAAATACGAATTAATTTTACTATATTTGCTACGTAATAATTTTCGTAAGAATAACATCTCAAAAGGAATGTTTCTGCCTCTTCCAAATTTTTCTGATATCACATAATGTGAGTCTCACTATGAACATAGGGAAAAAATTAATTAGAAGAAAATTTGTACTTATGTGTAATTCAATGACGATTTTAAATTATCTTCACCATAGTAAAGAAGTGGTATACAAATATAAATTGAAATCAAATCACATTTTCATATAAATAACGAATATTAATCAGATTGTAGACTTAATAACACAACAACTCTATGGAAGTATATTTTACAAAACTTGCACGTAATATAACTTAAATTTCTGTCTGTTTTGCACACATAGCATTACATCAATCATAATTTTCTCACTCGTATAAATAGTCAATTTACTCACTGTTTCGTCATCTTTCAATATTCCTTTTGATTGCCAAATTTTCCTATTTCTTTTCCCATTTTCACTAAGATAAAACTAAAAATTTATGACCATTGTATGTATATTTTACTTTGAACAATAAGAAATAAAGATATGCAATAAGTAAATCGATGTTACTATACTGTTCATCGCATGAAAACTGTCTTTCCTACTGAAATGATGCAAACCAAACTTTTCAATAAATAATACCTAAACTGATTGAAAAATTACTACCTACTAACAAACTGCACAAAAACTGTAGTATCTTCTTTGCTGAAATGATGCAAATCAAACTTTTCAATAAGTAATACCTAAACTGATTGAAAAATTACTACCAAACTGTCACCTAACGTTGTATTACAACAGAACAAAATCAATATTTCAGGATAACTGTGAATACAATTATCCTGAAATGTTGGTTGTCATAATCAACCACTGGATTGTTATTTTCTCATACACAACACAATTAATATTCAATGCTATACTTCACAAAACTATGCCATAATCCATACTTATCGATAAGCAACCAATTTAATATCGTTCTATAATGAAAGACACGTGTAGCTTCACATAATATAAAGTATAGCCACATCAATTTCATTTCTTCTGAGTTCCATAATATAAAGAACAAATTTCATGACTGTTAGATCAGTTTTGTTGCGAACGATTTGCTAAGACGTTCTCATATTATCATTACGTCAATTAATAGTAAGGTTAAACCGAATATATTCTATATAATCTGTAATTCAAATATTTAATTAAAAAATATTTAAAATAGAAGATTCATTAAAATTCTTACTTGATAAAAAGTGCCTGTATTTGAGTTCTATTTTCTTAGTTGTGTTGATAAAATTATAAATTATAAATACGTAGTCTCATTATAATTTCACTCTAACATTCTTCATTTATCTGTTTTACAATTCACTACAATACGAGAATAAATGTCAAGTTGAATTTTTTATTTTAGTGTAACATGTGATTTTCTACGATACCTACGATAAAATGCACAGTTCGACATTTTACAATATTCTACAATTATCTTCAAAAATAAACCTAAGATCCCAGTTTAAACAGCGATGTTCAGTGTTTCAGGAAAGCAGCAAACGAAATTACAATGCGTTCGATATTAGCCATTATAAAACGCTTAAGCAGTACTTATCAATTTGTGGAATAAATCCATATCAGGAGAATCGAATCAGTAATATTTTAGTAATCATAGTAATATTCATTAATTTAACCCTTTTTGGCCCAACGGTAAGAGAATTATATTGTTCTTTAATGATTTTCAATATTATTACAAAAAAATTAGCAAATGACAAAGCAACTAATCGGGTAATATTGTTATACGATTGAAATTCCCGATTTGACAGACTATGCAGTTATATGATGCCATACGTAACAAAAGTTTTGATAATATCATCCAGAATTTACCGCAAATAATTACGGTAATTGCTAGCATGATAAAAATATTAAATATTTATTATAATAAAACGCAGGTATTTATACACATCAAACTTACATGGACAAAGATATCAAATCAATATATCATAATAAAAAAAATCATAGTTTAGAGAATTATTTAATACCATGGCAGAAGATTGGAAATTTCTGGAATCGAAAAATAAGCTGCACATATTAAATAAATTTACAAAAAATGGCAATACACTTGTACTTTTTTACAGACGTGAGTGATTTTTATTAGATATTATGATTTTTGTTATATATTTCTATGACCACTGTTCGAAGTAAAATAATTTTTCAATTAAAAATAATTCCTTCAGGGACTTTACTATCAGTTTGTGGACTATTTGTATCTTTTTCTTTGTGTAACCCTCTTCTGGATATTCTTATACCATTAAACGAAACTCGACCAAGGCAAAATGTATTTAATGTTAATTATGTAATCCTAGATGAACAAGAGCACTTTTATATTTTGTACGTGCATTTAGCCCTCTCTGCATTTGTTATCGTGCTAACAATAATCTCAGTAGACTCGTTATACATTACTATTATTTATCACGCTTGCGGATTGTTTGCAGTATGTGGGTAAATAGTATGGTTTGAACAAAAATTTTATTAAAATTATACAAAAATATTATTATATGTATGTAACATTTATGAACGTTCATTTATTTATATTTGAATTGTAAACATATACAGATCCCAGGTTCAGAATACTACAGAAAATAATACTATTGAGAAAAATGGGACTGAGATAAGCAGCATCGGATATGAACAGTTCAAACAATGCATAATAATGCATTACAAAACTCTTCAGTCCGTATCGGTTATATGAAAGTAAATTAACAATCAATAAGGAATTAGTACAATATGAACTGATTCTGATTCGTTTTTCACGTTTTAAGATTTTACAACGTCATTGAAAAATGTTGCCGGAATTTGTATTTAATACAAATGGGACTAAATATGGTTATTGTTAGCATAACAGCTGTTGAGGTAAGAACATTTTTATGACTGAATCTGCGTAAAAATTCTCAGCCCATTAATGATCGGAGGTGAATAAAACATATCAATACTTTTATCTTTTAGGTAATTGTTTTCTTGGACCGACCAGACGAAGCGATTAAGGCTATTATGTATCTCATAGCACAAAATTTTCATTTGTACGTGATCAGTTTACCAGGTCAGACACTATTGGATCAAAGTTTAGAATTAGCCGATAAAATGTAAGTTTCCAACAGATATATATCTGTGATATGCTGTAAGGAAAAACGCCACATGTCATAACTTCAAAAAATCATGCACGAATTGAATTGTAGAGTATTTATTGAATTGTAGAGTATAGGATTTATGGTGAAAATATGCATAAAAACAAATACAAATTTATATTAGAAAAAAAAAAAAAAACAAGATGTTGCTAATAAGAGGAACTGAAATTATTATTCGAGATTTCCGAATGTCTTAGAGGAGTTATATCCTCTATGAGGATATAGATATAGATATATCCACTGATTCTTAAGTGGTTGAAAGACACACTAAAAAGATGTATACGGCATATGCTCGGAAGCCTCGAATAATAATTCAGACCTCAAATCTTCTGACGTTATGGACCTTAAATTATGATATCTGGAAAATAAAAGTATATGGCATGCGGCGTTTTTTTGCGCAATCACAGATATGTATATAAAATAAAAGTATGTGAAAACAGTTTAAATTCGTGAACTTCACAACAGATATGACTCTGATTGGTATCATATACCAACAAAAGTTCAAAAAATGCTTTATCTAATGCAAATAAGATCAAATAAACCTTGTATATTGACAGCAGCAGGACTATACGAAATGAAAATTGAAAGTTTCGGAGAAGTAAGTAATAATTGAAATCAAAGGTAATACATTTCAATATGAGCGAGTGTTGGTAATTATAATTTTTTAATTTCAAGACTATTAAAACTTGTATGTCGTACTTTACCATGTTTTTGTCGATAAGAGAATAATCGTTCGTTGCTACTCAAAATACTTTCAACTGGTCTTATGCTTTTAGGGAACGCAATACAAGTTTACGTTCCCTAAGTGTTGCTAATAAATGCAAGAGAAATATTGTTGAAATAAAATAATGTAAATAATTTTACCATGTATGTCAATAAATTGTTATGTTGATTCCATAAATTTTTTTATAATTTAATACTAATATTGCTATTTTCGAATTTTTGAAATATTTTTTGTGGAATTATTATTAAAATTTCCCATTTGACATCTTTATATTTTTGTTTCCTTATTTCCTCAATGCTAAACCTTTTTTCAACTTGCACTACTTCTCGAGGAAATTTTTCTAAATTTTAACTTCAATGCCAAAGTTGAAATATTTCCTAGGAAAATGAAGCAAAAGATATTTCGCATTGTTGCTATTCAAGAAAGTACAATGTACAAGATACAATGATAAAAGATCCTCAGAATTACAATTCTACGGAATGAGTATTAATAAATATAGGAAAGGTTGATATATACAGTATAAAAGGTTTTAATAACAATAAGAATAGAAACAGAATATTTAATATTAAAAAATTATAATTGTATAAAATTTCATTATATGTATATATGTGTAATTGATTTATGTCTTCATACATATGAAATTTCATTCATTAATTTAGGTCTTTTTTCATGTACAATTGATAAATTGTTTTACTAATTATTGGTCCTATAAGACGTTTCTTATCACCAAATTCAATATTTGCTAACAATAATTCACCAGACTCCCGGAAAGCTTCGATTAACAATCGCGGGGTTGAATAATGTTCTACAATTGCTAAAGCTTTATCTATGGACATCCCTTTTAATTGTAATAATTGGCGAACAAACATTTCATTTACTTTAAATACCTAAAAAATTTATTCATATAAACATCAAATTCATAATCAGTGAATACCTGTAAATAGCATAAATACCTTCTGTTTAGATGCTGCTTTATTAAATTCTTCAAATACCATAAAATTACAAGTATTATTTGAAATATTTGTTTGTGTGACAACTTCTTTTTTGCAACCTATCAAATTTTTTTCCTAGAAAAATATTTGATAGAACACGATTAATACTAAATTAAGTAACTGAATAAAAATAGTAAATTTTTTATAGTAAAATTTTTTATAGAAAAACTATATACTTTGAAAGTTTTTATCAAAATTCTAGTTATTGATGATAAATAAAACATGGAATCTTTATGATTCTTAGTATATTTTACAGAAAAACCGTCTTGTATCAAAGTATTGATAGAAGCTTGCATCAATGATGAATGTGGTATGGTCAATCTTTGACCCTTTTCATACTCCTCAATGATATATATAAGATTTGTAATTCCAGATTGCTTTAATCTGAACTATATAAAATAACTTTTTAGTTGATCACATAAAAATATAAAAATATAAATCATATCTTATGTATATCATACATCATAGATATACCTTTTGTTCATGAAATCTTCCATCTGTAATACTTGCACTTAAATCATCTATTCGTTTCCTTTCTATTATATAAGGTAGAATTAATTCATTATTTTCATTTTTTCTACATCTAGCAATCCATGCAAAATCACCAACTTTTAAGTGACGTATTTCAAATAATACTCCAAGTTTTGTCAGTTCCATGATAGTAGCATCATGTTGAGGTTTTGTCCTACTACTATATCAAAGTTGTATTTAAAGATATACCATGAAATATTAAAATTAAAATTTAATGCAATAAAGCATACCCAGCAGTTTCCTGCGTATCTACTAATAGTATTACATCAAAGTTGCTTGATTCTAAATAAATATTCTTTTGAATATCATTTATAAAATCCATTTCATTATTTTGTAAGTTATGCACATGATTTATATCCTTTATGTTTTTCATTTCTTCTTGCACAATTTTTGGACAGATATTATTTTTCTTGGATTTTTGTTTTATAAAATTCTTATCAAGCTGTTGCTCATGGTTTTCAATAGTAATAATTTCTGCAGATTTAGATTTATATATTTTTGAAGGTTTATTTAAATTCTTGGTTTCTATATCCTTAGCACCTTGTGTAAATACTTGCATGTTTTCGTATTTATTATTAAGATTGGTTGAATCCTTTATCAATTTGGGTTTTTGTGTAATTAATGTCTTTAAAGATATTTGAATTTGATTTAATGCTTCAAAAGAATTTAGTGTTTTTATATCAGTAGTTGTAATTTTACATATCAGTTTTGAAATATTTATACCACGGTCTGTAAGATTATACCTATATACAAGTTATATTAATTTTAATAATACTAAACAATTAACTTCACATGTAAACTTAAAGTTTGTTGTCAATAAATATTATTACCTAATTGGTGCACCTATCATGGAAATTAAACCATTTTCAAACAAATTTGAAATTGAAGTTTTTGTTGCATGACCACATAACTGTCTTATTTCAGACAGTAAGTTTACTTCAGCAATATATCCTAATAAATTATAGCATTCATCATTGACTGAATAATTCAATAATAAAAAAAACACTTACGCAAAAATTAAAAATATTCCTTCAAGAATACCTTCAAGAACACATTCTTGTGTTTTCTTATATAATATTAATAAGGCAGCATAATTTTCTACATTCCAAGATGATAAATTTAAGTCATCAAATGTAACTAGTTCTGTCTTGAAACAAAATATTCATTAAATTTATTTTATGAATATTTTATAACATCTGCATGTAAAAGATGTATAAATATATTTACTTCTTCAGATACCAAATCTGCATCCACAATAATTTGTTGTGATCTATATTTCTCTTTAAATACAGATTGTTCATTGCAACTACAATGCTCACAAACATCATTCACACTTGTTGAATCATTGTTTTGAGCTTTATATTCTTTGAGTTTTCTATCTAACATCGAACATAATTTCGTACCGAAGTGTTGCAATATTATACAATCCTTCCCAGATTTTAGTGGCAAAGGATATTTTTTTAATGCAGCGAGTGCTTTCGAAAAATGATATTGCAAATCGGAATTTCTCGATGCAGCCTCTTTTCTCCATTCTTCTAACCAAAATTCGAACAATGGATTTGGATTTCTGGGCTTAAGTTTTATCCTTTTCATATTTTTATATCATGATGTACAAAAATTATATCATGTATATAATATAATTATATAATATATATAATTTATCACACAATTAACACATTAACCAAGCACAAAACATTTTTGAGATTGGAGTGTATAGTAACATAAATTTCAAATATGAAACCATTGACTAAGGAGAGAATAGATTTGACGTACCAATGCTTTTCCGTATCTCATGTTTTACGCGTCATCTGTTTCCGCACTATTTTCGTGATATTATCGTGATTTAATTTACTACTTATTTGAATTACAATTTACATATATACAATGTATATATAACCAATATAAATGTATATATAATCTCATCCTTTTATGTAAATATTAATTTTGTAAAAATTAAAAAGTAGAACTTTGAAATGAATTACTTCTTAAGACATAGTTATTTTACGTTACCTTATGTCTTGTATAAATATTAATATACTTATCAGACATAAATTAATATCTTTAAAAAGGTAATTAGTAATCTCCTATTAATTCAAAGATATTTTATTTAACTATCTAGATCTAATTCATATTTCGCTTTTTGTTTAACTTTTAAAAGTTCTAACTGAACTTACTCAGTAAAAATCCAAACTTAAACTTTACACTTACAATTTTAAATGAAATAAAAGCAATATTTTACACTTCTGAACATAAAAGCAAACGCGATCATTATTATTAATTATAATATAAACCTAAATAAATATTTTTTCGCAGAGAAATCTTGATTACTTTACAAAAGTACAAACCATAATTAGTTTCTCAAAACATTAATAAAAAAGATTTATCATGATTTACTTAATGGATCAACGTACGGAGTAGATTAATACACATATAATACATCGGAGGAAAAAATACTAGTACCACATATTACAAACGAACATAATGACAAAATACATAGTAACAAAAATGACTTTTTATGCTCTGAATAAATTTATTAAGAGGATAATAAGTCATTCGGATCTTTTATTCTACCATATAATTGAGTAACCAGAAGAACAAAAATGTATGTGACTCACGATTAGATGCGAAGAACGTTGTTGTCAAATAGAAATTGTTGAATCCCATGAAGGAAGCTGAAAGAAAAATATAAAATATTATAATTTGTTCTTAAAGGTAAGAAAATATTTAGTAAGTTCAAAATAATGAAAATTATTATTCATTTATCACGGATAATATTACATTATACGGATAACGACATAAAACATATATTTTGTTGAAATATATATATTCTTTTCTGTCATTTTATTAATTTTTTATATTAATTAATATAATAATAATAATATCAATATATGTATATTAATATTAATATTAATTATAAATAATAATATTAATTATTAATATACATTATAAATTATTTCTTAATGTTATCAATAATCATGAATATTTCGTATTTGCAAAAACTGTAATACTGAATATTAGAGTTTTAAAAATCGTATTTCGTATTTCGTATTTGGCGCGTTTTTATCATCAATAAACGAAGCTGCGCAATACACAAAAGATGCAGTGCGTAGAATGTGTTCAAAATTGTCCGTGATAATATATCTTCCTGAAAATTATTTGTTAAAAATTCATGTACATTAAATACTAAACAAATAATATAAGTTTCAATAAATATACCAATATCTAAATAGATGTTACCATACCTTTGTAAAAAACTGTCAGATTTAGCTAGAAGAGCCGTTTTGAATTCCGTGACGCACATTTCACACACTCAACCAAAAGAAAATTAGAATTTTCAAATAAACACATAAAAGACATAAATAAAACAATGATCAAGCTCAAATACTATTTCGAAAGCTCATAATATGAGTTAGCAGTAAATGTAACAACTAAAAATTCGATTAAAAAGAAAAATATAACTCCGTTATAAATTATAATAATATTATAAGTTATGATAATATTCGATAAATTATTATGTTAAAACGTATATTAATTAAATGAAGTTAACAGTACTATATAGATATATGAAAGTATTAAGCAACTAATAAATGTCACGCACATACATCTTTACACAACGATTTTCGACAATAGACTAACCCACCGCGCAACAGATTCGCGCCGTAACTTAATTTGGCAGAGTGGGGGCTCGAACATGAACAATATTCTTAAGAAAAAAATAAATTGATGATTTATGGGAAAAAAACAAAATATTTTCAACTTAAATTTATTCAAAATTACATTATATAATTTGCAAAAATACATTATATAATTTGGAATAAAAGATAAATAAACTTCTTCTTTCCTTCTCTAATCCTGTTAAATAAATAAAACAATTAATTTAACAAAGTATCTATAATTTGAATTTTTATTTTTTTTAAATTAAATAAGCAAGTGCACATTCGTTAATAGTTTAAATATTTTTACATTCATAATAATTCACAAAATTATGATTTCATATAGATCATATCATTGACTGTACATTAAATCATAGAGGGCGTAAAAATCACTAATTTTTTTTCAAATATCGATATTGCAGAACGTGAAACTCGAAATTTTATATGATATTACATCTATCCTATCATTAGTTAATGACTTATTCAGTCGATAATGTAGGGAACATAAGTAATTTATTGGTAATTCCTGTTTGGCATTTATGGAATTTTCTATAAGATAGTAAATGTATCTTCTAACTTGGGTGTAGCACAAAATGCAGACTAATACGAATTTATTATAATATATTATTTTATGTAATGATTGAAAGATTTCTTCGAAATGATTAGTGTACTGAATGAGATTTCTACGAAATGATGTACTGAATGAGAATAATTGACATATGATTCTAATAACCGTATGCGAGGTATGATCTCATTTCCTGGTAAATCATACGTGCTATAATCGAAATTTTCACAATTAAAGATTGTTATTCATAATTGTCATTATTACAAGTATATTTTAATTAAAGTATAATATTAAGTTACATTGTCTATGTTATATAATAATTGATTGTAAGATATCAAAAAATGCCATTGTAAGCGATATTGTGTTTATACCAATTATTTTATTGAAAAAGATATATTGGTATTTTCGGATAATTTCAAATTTAAACTGAGATTACAAACATTTGAAATAATTTTTTGCTTATAAAAGTGTTCATTTTCTATTCTATATAATATTTAAAATACTTTTAAATGTTGTAGTCATATACGTATGTGTAGAATTTAGAAATGGCAACTGGAGGTAGTAGTTTTATAAGTAAACCAGCCAGAGGATGGTTACACCCTGATAACTTAGTGAGTAAAGAAGGAATCACTTACACTGTTAAAGTAAGTTTCTATTTTTTTATTATTATAATACTGACAAGTTATAGATATTTAATTAGTATGTTTTATGATTTTCAGTATATAGGATGTCTTGAAGTATATACATCTATGAAAAGCTTAGATTTTGAAACAAGATCATGTGTTGCCAAGTAAGATTTTAAATATTTTTTTAAAATACATATTTATTTGTAGAGTTTATTTCATATATAAAGAAATATAAAGAAACATTAATGCCTTTTAAATACATCAATAAATTTTTTTTTAGAGAATGTATAAACAGAGTTTGTGAAGCAGCTGGTTTAAAATCTGCAGATAAAAAAAGAAGGGTATGTATTGTTGATTTTTATTTTGAGCAATTTCAACTTGAAATTTATTATAATTTATATTTGAAGGTGGATAGGAAAGTGTTAAGAGCAATTGCTGATAAACCTCGCATGGAACATACAGGTGCTACAATAAATTTGACTATTAGTAGTTGCAGTTTAGCTTTGACTAACATAGAGACTGGACACATTATTGCCAAACATGAAATGCCACGTATATCTTTTGCTTCAGGTGGAGATACGGTAAATTGCATGTTATAAAATATTGGTTTTTATTATCATTTATACTTGTATAATTGCAAAGTGTGAATTAATATATTTTTTAATAGGAAATACTAGATTTCGTAGCATATGTTGCTAAGAATATGCAAGAATGGCGTGCTTGTTATGTATTAGAATGTGGAGGAGGTCTAGCACAAGATGTTATATCCACTATTGGACAAGCTTTTGAATTACGATTTAAAGAATTTCTTACAAAACCGGCTTCATTACAGTAATTATAAACATTAAACAAACTTTATTTATTATAAAATTTATCTTTAACATCTTATTTAAAATATTTCTGTTTTATAATATAGCCCTATGTTAAATGGAATGCGAGAAGCAGATAGAGATTATTATAATGATCTACCAGGCAAAGTACCACCAGATATTGGTCCTCCACCAGTTCCACCTTTACCAACTACGGCATCAACACTACCTAATTTAAAACATCATCATTCTGCTCAAAATCATGTGTCACGCAGCAATATACAAAACTCTGTATTACATGACACGTTTTCCAATTCTAATAGACATCATCAACAATGGGCAGGTAATACCTTTTTTTAAATCTTATTATTTAATGAAATTTTATTTAATGATGAAGAATAACATTTATATTATTGTAGAAAGTGGTAACTTAATTGATCTGAATTCTGATGAAACATCAACAAATTTTAATATTCCTCTTGAACATAACTACGTAAATGACAGTGTTATAGCAGCTACCAGAGAAAGTCATCGTGATCAAACACCACTTTTCGATGTATTTGATATGCGTAAGTAATTTAAGATGGAATATTTTCACTTAAGATTTCAGTATAACAAAATATAATTTTATAGAGCCATTTAGTTCTGCGATATCAGATATGAATAGATTAAGCCCACATTCTCAAAAGCAACAATTAAAGCAAGAGATTTGGTTCCATGGTAGTGTTAGTCGCGCTGAAGCAGAATCAATGCTAACAAAGGTAGGTATTACGATTTATATTTATATATAATCTATACATATTTTCAATTTAATATATTTAACAGGATGGTGATTTTTTGGTTCGAGAATCTCAAGGCTCGCCTGGACAATATGTCCTTACTGGTATGAATAATGGTACACCAAAACACTTACTATTAATTGATCCAGAAGGCGTAGTAAGTATTTTAAAAAATGACACTAAAAGAAATTTAAATACATAAAAGAAACAAATATTTATGATTGATATTGTAATTGCAGGTTCGCACAAAAGACCGCGTTTTCGATAGTGTTAGTCATTTAGTAAACCATCATTGTGACAATGTATTACCAATTATATCAGCAGACAGTGTTTTAGTACTTCGATATCCAATTCCCAGACGAAGTGCGAATAATTGATATTTACAGAACTATAATAGTATACTCAAAACCGAATAAGATTCACATTTGGTATCGGTCAATCCCACTAATATTTGCAAAAAAGAGTCGGCACCAAATATAATGCTTTTTATAGCAAAAATTTTGTCATGAACATCTTTCTTAAGAAAGGAAAGAATGAAAAATGATTTATCCTATTCTTACTAATAGAAAGACTTAATATTTAATGAAATAGCATCTTATAATTATTAGTGTTATCATAATGCAGAGAGAAGTGTTGAATCGTATACAAAATTCAAAAAATTATTATTAGATGTTAAATTACGATGATTAATGTGTAAAATTTTTTATCAAAATATTTGTATGCATCAATTTTTTTGTAAAATAGTATATATATATAAAAAATAATAATATTTACAATATTTTTTTCTTAATTTATTAAATTGAATTTTTTAATCTTACATAACTTTTCAACAATTCCGATATACTTATGATAAACATAAATTTTACTTCTCATTAAATATAACATTTAACATAAAATATATGTGTTACAATTGTCGTATATTAGATAAAAATTTTTTAATCGATAAGATCAATTATTTAGTTCAATTTGATATTAAATATAATTGTTTTATTTGATTTCAATTCTTGTAAGATTTAGAATAAAATCTTATCATGCCATTGTTACATTTCAAAGTGTGCCACAATTTAATTTTCTAGTGGTTTAGTACTCACTATAAAATACAATAAAATTATACATCTTTAGTTTTACACATAATTCTATCATATAGATCGTGACTTTTATAAAAACATGTTTTTATAATTTAATTTTATAAAACTCGTAAAATAATTATGCGCATAAATTATACACAAACACACACACACACACACACACGTGTGTGTGTGTGTATATTTTTACGAATTTTGTAACATCCTGATAGTATGATATTTTCATTCCATATTTATGAAATAATCTTCGTTTGTAATCTCGATTTTAATAGAAAATTATATATTTATATTTTATCTAAATATACAATAATAAAGTAAATTTTGTATTCTATATATTTATTTGCAGAAATATTTGAACTGATATTTGAACAGAAATGTTTGGACCCCAAAGAACTTTGTATTTGCAATTTTTATATTATGCATACATTAAAATATTTATTGTGGTTAAATATGGCTTATTGTAATGTTTCTAGTATTCAAATATACAAAATATAAGAATTAATATTCTTATCTTTCATGATCTTAAATATACATGTATAAATTAATATAATGATGATTATAAATATAGTGTAAATTATTGCATTATACATTACATATAAAATTGTAATATAATTTATTATTTATATCATTATTTTATGAATAATATTGTAATTATAACATGTCTAAATATTCATGAATATATATTCATATTTTTACTTAAAAGTTTCGATGCATATATGGTGTATATACGTAAATATAACATTACTGTTATCTAACTTTTTTAAGTATAATAATAACATAAAATAAATATTGATATCAAAAATTTACATAATTCCAACCAATTCAAATAAATTTTAGTAAGAAAAACAAAAAAATTATCAGTATATATTAATAACTAAAATTTTAGGTTAGGTTTATAAGAAATATAACTAGCGAAAGGTAAATACAGTTTGAACATGTTCGTTTGTTATTATTCGTCAGAATAAATACGAGTTTTCACTGTTTAAATTTTTCTCATAATAAGTAAAAATTTCATTCAAACATATAGTATAAAAAAAATATTTTTCTTTAACTTACAAATAAAAATATTTTACTATTTTAGATAAAATAAATAAAAGAGCTATAGAATTATTAGTAAGTAAATTACATTATTAATATATATAAAAAATCACGAAAATGTCAGAATATGATAAAGTGAGATCTGGAAAACTTATTTTGAAAGGTGAAAAGAAAAGGTATAAATTAAATGTCACACTTAACCTATTCATTTCAATGCTTAATTAGAAATAATTTCTTGTCTATTACCCTTTACAGAGTCAAGAAAAGAAAATTGAAAAAACAAGAAAAAGAACATATCATAACTTCAGAAGATAAAGATACTATAAATCATGGTATTATAATATTATACGTGCTTGCGTGTGTTGATTAATCAAAGTAATTATTATATGTTATTTATAGGTGGTTGGTGGAAAGCTACACAAGTATCAGAAGTCACAGGAACTGTAGCAATTGAATTTGGAAATCATGTCTATATGAAAGCATTAGATAATGGATTATTTACCTTAGGTGTTCCCCATAATGAAGGGGAAGGACCTTCGCCAGAAGAAATTCTAACAGCTTTCCCAATAAGTGAAACTAAAATTGCATTAAAATCTGGTTATGGGAAATACTTAGGTGTTGACAAAAAAGGTGTTGTTGTTGGAAGAAGTGATGCAGTAGGCATGATTGAACAATGGGAACCAATATTTCAGGTAAATAAGTTTATAAATTTCTATAATTTTTTTATACATATTTTATAAAAATATCTTTGATCTTTTTAGGATAACAAGCTTGCTATTTTAAATAGCAATGATTGTTTCATATCAGTCACCGATGAAGATGATATTATCTGTCAAAAAAGGACTGCTGGAGCTTCTGAATTTTGTACTATAAGAAGTATAACCCAAAAAACTCAAGATCCAAACAAAGACATTCCTAAAGAAGAACAAGGTTCTCTTCATGATGTTGAAGTGAATTATGTGTAAGTAATACAAATACCATTATTTATTTCAATACATAGAGATATAATATTATGATAATATTTCAGGAGAAAGTTTCAAAAGTTTCAGGACAAAAAATTAAAAATAAGTAAGGAGGATAGTTCTAAATTAGAAAAAGCAAAAAAAGAAGGAACTCTGCATGAAGCTTTATTAGATAGAAGAAGCAAAATGAAGGCAGATCGATATTGTAAATAATTTTATACAAATTGCATTATGTATTGTAACTATTGCATTGTATGTATAATTATATAATTATTGACTTTTAAAATGTATAAATATTTAATGAAAATATGAAAAAGACATATAAAGGATATTGTATACTTCCACTGTATTAAATACTTTAATAATTAAATAAATTATTTCATTGTTTTAAATTAGAATTTTTATTTTATTCATGTCCCACACTATAGCCCTCCTTGTCTACCGCGCGAATATGTCGTCTGTCCTTATCGCACGATACCGCCCTCCTTGTTTACCGCGCGAATATGTCTGTCCTTTTCGCACGCTAGTGTTCTCCTTGTCTAATGACAATAGACAAAGAAAGCAATAGTGTCGACAAAGACATCCTTCGATCTATTGAAAAAAAAATTCAACTTCTTACACACACGTTTCTCTAGGACAAAACACACATAGAAAGAAAGCGGGGAGCCTAATTTTACGGAAGCATATAAAGAAGTTCGCAAATTATTTCTCTTAATCAGGTTTTTTTCGTAATTAGTGCGAACTGTCACATATTGGACGTGGTGGCGCCATCTAGCGGCAACTCTGTGGTACTAATTAATTATAAAAATACTTATTTCTGCATTTTACGGGTCAAATGAGGTATGAAAAGAAAGCTAAGAGTCTAATTAGGGTAATACAATCACAAAAGTCCACAATTCATTTCGCTAAATTAAGTTTTTTCGCAAATGAAAATTTTTCTGTTTTACGAGGTTGTAGCGACCTCTACTTCGAAGAATTTAGATAAACGACATCTATGTTTATTAAATCGTTCCGTCGAGATGTGTATTTAATATAAACAATAGAATATTTAAAAATAGCTATTAATTTTATTATCACCATGGAAATGTTTACTGACACTTATATATATTGTAACCATAGTAGAAATTCGTTATTTAATTTTCATTCGTAGAAATTATTCGTTATTTAACTTCCATTATGTATCTTCATTAAATTATTAGTAATTATATATTTTGTTATATTGATAATATTTTTATATAAACAACTAAAATTAATTACGGAGTTATTATTTATTTGTAGTATTATGATATAAATATAAATTATCATAATCACTACAACCCCGTAAAACAGAGAAATTTTCATTTGCGAAAAAATCTAATTTAGCGAAATGAATTGTGGACTTTTGTGATTGTATTACCCTAATTAGACTCTTAGCTTTCTTTTCATACCTCATTTGACCCGTAAAATGCAGAAATAAGTATTTTTATAATTAATTAGTACCACGGAGTTGCCGCTAGATGGCGCCACCACGTCCAATATGTGACAGTTCGCACTAATTACGAAAAAAACCTGATTAAGAGAAATAATTTGCGAACTTCTTTATATGCTTCCGTAAAATTAGGCTCCCCGCTTTCTTTCTATGTGTGTTTTGTCCTAGAGAAACGTGTGTGTAAAAAGTTGAATTTTTTTTTCAATAGATCGAAGGATGTCCTTGTCGCACACTATTGCTTTCCTTGTCTATCGTCATTAGCGTGCGAAAAGGACAGACATATTCACGCGGTAAACAAGGAGGACGGTATCGTGCGACAAGGACAGACATATTTGCGCCGTAGACAAAGAGGGCAACAGCGTGCGATAAGGACATTATAAATTAGTTTCGGCACCTATCCTAGGGGTGATCCACACGGTGCATACTTAATGTATTGAAATTTTATAATTTAGTAATTAATTTTTAAATTATATCTTCAATCTATATCATGTATATACTTACATATAATTATTGTACAGATATTATATAAACTTAAAAGTTAAAATTCGCAATAAATTCATTTTGAAACTCACTTGAACTCACTTGAATGACAGAATGCAAGTTTAGTTTAGTTCGAACTTGCGCCGGGTGGAAGTTTGTAACGAATGTTGTTTATTATATAAATTTGTTTACAAACATTATTTTAATTTAGAATCTTCTAATATTTTCAAACAAATGGCAGAACAATTAATGAATGAATTAGAAAAAGCTGCGCAAATAATTTTGGTACGTTTATATATAATAAAATAGTTTTCACAAAGGTTATAAATAAACTTGTTCATTAAACTTTTAAAAGATTATGTAAATATTGATTATATATAATATTAGTATTATTCCATTTTATGTTTAATTTAACATGAAACAAAATGTCCAATAAAAAAAATATTTAAAAATATCTACTGTATGTTTAATTTGAAATGTTTTATAATTGAAATGTTGTTTTTTTTTTACTATAAAGTTTATTATTATGATTTATTTGTAATAACTACTTATATGTATTTTTTAATTAATACTCATATTTAGAAAAACATATGTTTTTATTTGCATTGATAATTGTATTATCTTTTCAGGCACCACCAAATTTAGTTACAACGGAACAACGTCATTCTGCAGAAGAAGTTTTCTTAAATTTTCGAAAACTTAAATCTCCCTATGAACTCTGTAGTCAAATTTTAGAGACTAATACAAATGATTATATTGTTTTTGAAGCAGTTGGCTTAATAAAAATAGCATTAATACGGGAATGGCCATCATTATCACAAACAGATATTTCTTCATTAAGAGATTATTTGTTACGTTATGTTATAAACAAACCAAACTTACCTCCATATGTCAAAGGATGTATATTGCAAGTTATTGCAATTATAATAAAAAGAGGTAGTGTAAATGATTCTGGACAGGCACGACAAACCATATTGGGAGAAATTGAAAATTTAATAATGACTGGTGATTTACCAAGAGTAAATAAAACTAATTAAATTTATATTATTTCATAGTATTATGTACCGTAATGCTTTCTAATATTTTTAGAAACTTCTGGGATGTAATCTTATTTCTGTAATAATGCAAGAATACGTAATCAATTCTAAGTCTACAAATATAGGTTTAACATGGGAAACACATTTCAATGAAAAGAAGATATTTCAAAATATTGATTTGAAAAGAATTTTTAAATTTTGTATTGGAATAATTGAAGAATTAATTAAAAAAGATTTACAGGAAAATAGCATAATTTTTCTGAAACAATTACTCCCAATTTTAGAAAATGTATTTACATGGACATTTGTTTATGTAAAACATACAAATATCCTTTTTATAAAAATTTGCTGCTGCAGTCTCTCTCTCCCTCTCCCTCTCTTTCACATTCTTTCTTTATTTTAGATTATTTTAGATTATTTACTTTACTATTGTTGCTCTTATTCTAATTCCTTAATTCCATTGCACAAGATGTATTGGAGGATGTTCGGGAATCAATAAACTGTGTACCTTTGGAATTGGATAAAGATTGGGAAGATATAATGTTAGTTCCATCTGTATTAGATTTAATGTTTACATTGTATTGGAAAATACGAGAAAATCCACACTTAGCTCATCATGTAAGAACATGTTTAGTTCAAATGGTAAATTTGAGTGGAACAAAAACGCAATCTGAAGAAATGGAGATGCAATACTTCATCAGTTATATGGAAAGATTTTTAAAATTAATTACAAGCGTTCATATTATTGACGAAGAAGCAAGTGGAATTGCTAATATCATCAAGAAACTTTTTACATCTTTTCAAAAAAAATTTTACTCTTTATCTACTGATATGATGAAAACATTTTTGGAACAAATGTCGCGGTTGACTTGCATGTTTTTAGAAAATGCAGCACAAGAAGAATCAGTAAGTAATAATAAATTATAAATAAAAAATGATTGTATAATTACTAATAAAATTATTTTATTTGTTGTAGTTAAGCATAGGCGAATGTTTATATACAGAAGCTCTAGATGCTTTATTCGATGCGTGGTTGTATATTTTATCTGAAAAAGATTTATTCTCTCAGGAATTTCTTAAGCAAACTTTTGTTCAAATATTTAGCATATATTTACAATGTCACTTATCACCCCCAGAAGGCATAAGAAATATTGAAGATAAAGATCTTGAGAAAGAAGAACTGGACAATGAAAATGCCGATAAAGATAAATTTAAAGAACATTTGCAAATAATTGGTAAATTTTACATGTGCTCATAGATACATAATAGATGAATATACATATTTTTCTTATAAAATGTATTCCTTATTTTAGGAATTTTTGGTAGACAAGTACCAAATTATACCCTTCCATTATTGGCACAATTGATCGAAGATCGTACTTTTAAATTACGTGAAAACTTCAATAAATTATTGGAACAGATTGAATCACTTCATACAATGAAAAATGATTCTCTATCTAGATTATATGAAGACATACATTGGCTAGTTCTTATGATAGGAAATATACTTTGCATGGAGTCTGATGGTGAACTTGCTTTAATACCTACTGAAATAATGAGATATGATATGGAACAGGTGTGAATAGAACAAAAACAATTAAACAAATGTAGCATAAATTAGGATTTCATTTTGTAACAATATAATAATTTTTTTTATAAGAAATGTATTTTTTATAGGTGCAACAAGGAAAAGTTGATATGAATTTTACATTACAATTTTTAGCTTCATCCGAAAATATTTCATCATCTATCGATATTGCCACAGAATCAGTAGATCATGTTATTCGGTTAGTTGCAAGTATTTTTCGTTTATGTGTCATAGAAAAAGCTGCAATGTCTGTTCTATTAGATAACATACTAAGTCCCGAATTAAGTTGCACTATAATTTGGTTTCTACACAAATGGTCTTCACATTACCTTTTATCAATAGAATATCATTATTCTGAGATATCTCTTACATTTTTACATACTTTCGGAGAAAATACTCCGGGTGCAACATGGGCTATAAATTTTCTTTTAGAAAAAATAGAATTTAATATTAATGCCTTCAAAAGTGAGCCCGCAGTAATGGAAGAAACTATTAAGTTATTAATATCACTTGTTAGTAGAACAAAAAAGTAAGTTTGCATTATATTCAGTAAAAAAAGTATTATATTTTATGTGTATCATTTTCTACCACATATATTCTTTTCAGAGCTGATTATGTATTAAAATCTGAACGATTTGGAAACATCATAAATTTGGCCATAAAAGGACAACACAACTTTCCGCAAGTAGTTAAAAAAGGATTAATGCAAGCAGTGGTCCAAGTTGCAATTACTGTGCAAAATAAGATAGATCAATCATATTGGACACAAACTTTGCAACCATTGTTAGACAAATTCAAACAAATTACTTCAAACGACAAATTTTTGCAATGTTACCATCAAGAGGAAATTAAAATTCAAGTTATAGATGTTTTAGAATGTTTTAGTGGTAAATCATTTTAATTATTATTTGATTTTTATTAATTTAAAATGTAAGTAAACTGTATATATAAGGTATTTATTATTTAATATATTTAAATAATATTCATTCTTCTTCATATTTAAAATATATTCTAACACTGTAGGAGTAGCACAAGGCGCACGAGGATCGGAAATAGGATTATTATATCAATACATTCAACCGATATTACGCGAGCTACCAAATTTAATATCTTTATACCATAATTATCAAGATATAGTACAATTAATTTTAGAGTTACTTTTTGAATGTACAAATGGACCAGAACCAGTTCTTCGTGGTTTTGCTCCGGTCAGATCATTTTCGTACAATAATTGTCATGAAAAAATATTTATTTCTATTATAATATTATTCTTCTAGACTGATGCTGCACAGATATCTGAAATATATTTAAGTGCAATACGAAATTATACGCGTTGTAATACTAATAGACTGACTATAGATTCAACTGCAGAAGAGGACAATTATCAAGACATTTTGTTACTGATGAAACTTTTAACTAATCTTTTATGCGAGAATATATTGCAAGATAAAACGGTGTTTTTACATGGCTTAACTATAATTATGCCTATGATGACTACGGACTTATTAAAATTTCCATGTTTGTGTTTACAGTAAGTTGTATAGTTATTGTTACTTGTATCAAGATTATAAAAATATTTTAATTAAATTAAAATACATTTTTCTACAGTTATTTTCAAATGATAATGTCTCTTTGTAAAGTTGGTTCTCAAAAAGTACTCAATTTGTCGTCTGAACTACTACGACCACTTTTAGCATCGATAGAGTTGGGTTTATTCTCGTTTGGTCATGAAGTGTCTATGTTATGTTGTAATATAATTGAAATTTTAACAAAACGAATTTTTCAAAATATTCAAGACGGCCGTCCAAGAAGTCAAATAATGGCACCGTTTTTAAATGTAAGTTATTCTTTAAAATGATAAGATTATAACTTTATTCTAATGATGTTTCTGTTTTAGTTACTAATTACTGTTATTTTAACACATCAAGTTGATTCCAATTTTATATCAAATGTGTGCATATCTCTTTATTATTTAATACGCTGTTATCCAGATGAATATGACCAGATTGTACAAAATATTTTATCCAGTCAATCGGATCAACAAGTTGTACAAAGATTAGCTGATGCTTTTACAAAGTTGAAAAACAAATTTAATCCAAATGAAAATATAAATTTTCATTGGAAAGACATTTATACAGATAAGAAAAAATTTAGAAATTATTTTGATGAATTCATTTCTAATGTACAGGGTTTTTTAATGATTAAATAAAATTAATTGAATAACATTTTATCTGCTTTCTCTGATTCCCATCAAAGGAAAGGAAAAGCAAATTTTCGATGTTAAATTTAATACAGGGGTATGTCATTAAAGGTGTTCCTTAAGCATGTAAGCTTTTTATTGACCGATTTATTACACGTTACCACTTACAGTGAGTCTAGCGAAAATCGAATAATTATAATAATAATAAATACAAGTTACAGCATCGATGCATGTTTTTTTTTCATAGCAAACGATCAAAAATGAAAACGTTTCTGCATTAGAGTTTTTAGTTACCTTACAAACAAGTACATGAACTTACATACTTGGTACAGGTCAAATCATCGTTAGCCTTTTTTCGTATGTCTCTAGATGATCTTCGACATTTGACAAAATGCTTGTGTTAATATTAAATTTATTTATATATTTATATAATATACTTTATCTATATATAAGGTATATATATATATATAAGCAAACATGTTCTTTCGCGCTATCTCTTTCGCACTCACTCTCTCTCGCGCACACGCGTTTCTCCATTCTCTCCCTTTTAATTCTTCCCTTTCTCTCGTCCTCGTTTCTCCTTAATTCCGTATTTTGACTTCTAATAACAACAATGATTATTAATCTTATCGATAGCGTTTCTCCATTTTTGTTCATAACGCTCGTATCATTTTTTCTTTGTTCACTTGCGTGTCCTATTTTCTTTTATTTTTTTTTTAATTCGGCTCCTTCATGCCTTAATATTCAATTTCTTTTTCTTCTTCATGTAGTAATAAATTGTGTCTTTAACCCCCTGAAGCAATACTTTCTTTTTTACTTCATTTTACTTACATGCACAATTGTTTGTTATATATAGTATAACAAATAAATTATCCATAAATAACATGATTAAAATATAAATGCTACATATCATAAGTAATATTCATAAATATATTATGTATATATATATATAAGTATTATGTCCTTGTACAGTTCATAAATGTTTTCTTATATATTAAAAAGAAAAGAGTCAATATCTTAATTATGCACGGATTACTTTTGTTTTGTTATGTAAAAGCACATTTTGTAAATCTTTATTTTAATTCTAGAGCTGTTAAAGTACAATTATTCTGTAGATATACAATGAATATCTTAGAAAAAGCAATGCAGAAAGAGTACACTTCTTGCATCCTTCAGTTCAGATTTTTAATGTTCCTGCTTTCAAGAATTAATGTTATGAATATTATATTTCTTATATGTATTTTTTATATTTATGTTACATGAATTTTACCATTCCCATTTTAAATAAGTATTGGAATTTCTTTGGTATATTATTAGAGATAAACAACATATAATAATACTAAACATTATCTTCTGATAAAAAAGGATACGATTAAAAATCCATGATTAAAAAAATATTGCACAATGTTTTCCATAGAGTTTGAAGGATGAAAGATCATTTAATTTTTAAAATTAACCAACATTGTACTCCTTTTATTATAATAAGAAAAATTAAATATGAACTCATTTTGAAGATATTACGAAACACAACATAATCAAATAATTAATTTTATCACGGTGATATTGTCCATTAACCCGTTTATTTTATCATATTATACTTTATCTAATTAGAATTTTTTTCAATAAATAAATAATCAAAATTCCCAATAAATATATTTATATTTTAAACTATTTTATAACTATTTACGCAAAAATTGTCAATTGCAAAATATATATATTGTATAGTTAGTAATATTAACTAAATGCATTTACAATTTTATTAAATTCCATTACTTTAAAATAACTCTACTCCTTAAATTGAAGACTGTAATTACAATATTACTATGTGGCAAAAATATAACATAAATTAAAATAAATAATAATATATAATAAATAATATATATATATATATATATATATATATATATATATATATAATAAATAATAAAATTCATGTATACAAAAGGAAAATGACTAATGTTGACATCATCGGTTCATTTTATCTAAATTTTTGCTTCAAAGGGTTAAAAGCGCCGAGTGCATATATAACTTATTAAAGTACGGTTTCTTGTTCTTCATCGACACGTATATCGTCGTTAACAAAATAAAACTATCAGACTCTACAACAGTTAGTAAGCAAAAACGGTAACAGGAGCGGGGCTCACTTTTAGGTAGACCACCGCGTACAAACGACCGAGAAAATAATCTTTGAAATTTCTTACAAACTTTTCATTTTATCTATCGTTCAACAGAATATGTTGGTAATCGTTTTCCTGATATCTCGATTACGTAAAATTGGTAGAAAAATTGAAATACAGTTAAAATCGATTAAGAAAAATATCTCTCAAACGATAATGATGACTATGCCAGCAACTAACACTGACGATACGTTTACATTGAATTGAAAACGTCTGACTTGTCGTTTCGTCTAAATAATACTGCAAATTATTCGTGTTATTATTACGAACTTTTTCTGTTGTGGCAGAAAAATGTTTCTCTCGATTCTTATACTCGAATACTGGTCTATGCAGTAAGAGTAAAAATTTAAATCAACGAAATTCGTTGCGATCCCAACATTTTACTTATGAGTGAAGAATGAACTTCGTTATTCGAGGCGCAAAATGTATTATTATACTACAGTAACACGAAACAAGAGGAAAAAGGATTATTTCGATAACGGTTGTAATAGACAAACATAATTACATAAACGAATTATTAACAATGAATTATTCAACGATTACTGTTTAGAATTCATGTTCGAAATAATCTGCACCCTTCCTCAGTATAGAATCTCTGTTTCTCTTTTTTGTTTTTCTTTCGTTTCTCTTTCTCTTGCTCTCATCTCTTTCTCTCAAACATGAACACTCAGAAATTCGTAATCTTGCTACATCGCCTTTTCCCTTAATTATCTCTTTCTCTCCCTCTCTTTCTTGCTTCCTCTCGTACCACATCTTCTCTTTAATGAGTATACCTACAATGTGTGTATTCTCTTGCCTCGTTTTCTATGATCGTCTTAGGAATGTTTTATTTAGGCATAAATAACGTTATTCTTCATTGTGTATGCGTTCCACGCTTAAAAGAGAATCGCTTCGTACGACCGACTAATATCGAAAAATTCGAATATATTATAAGATAGGTATCGCGAACTCGCGGTGATGTCTCATCAACGTTGTGTACATTTTGATTGCGTCTCAAAATGAACGGAGAGACCAAGGGGGGAGAGTTTGCGATATTCTGAAAGTATAATTTCAACATGATTCGAACACGTATAACACGCCTTTGCATTTAAGAATTGTTTCCATTATCAATTCAGTTTTATTTCATTTCTATCCGGTCGCCAGGAGTAAAAGGGCTGGCGAGTAGTTGAATCAGATGTAACGAGATATTAATCGGCGGCTATCGAAGCTGGTAGTCAATCGTTAGTACGCATTTTTCGAGGCGTTTTAATAATCGAAGACTACCGAAAATCGAAAGCTACAGAGATCATGAGATTCGAAGGCCGAGTGCGACCAGTAAAGCATCTTTTCGGAAGCTTTCGTAATGACGCTCGTTACCTCGGCCAATGCATCGGCCACTCACTTATTTTGGTTCGACTGCTGATCTATGGGCGGGACTAGACCAACAGGCGAAGCATTATTCAAATTCGTAGTTGGCCCTTTGCGCGCTAGTTTTGACCTATAATAATCAAATATATCAAGTTAATAATGACTTCTTTTTACAAAGCAATTTTTATCAATTCTATGTAGTGATTCAAATTTGTACATTAATTTCTGATTACAAATTTACCTAATTTGACCAGCAAGAAGAGGATTAATAGCATATAACCAGTCATAAACCTCCTTATCTCCTAAAGTTTGCAATAAATATCCTCGATGTTTTGTAACGACACTGTAAAATAAGGAATGCCGGTTCGAGTAATCTGACACAGATTACATGCAAGAGTAAATGACTTATTTATCATGCAAAGATAAATAATTTACCTGAAAGTATTAGGTACTTTCACCATAGCTAATTGATCTTCAGAATATTCAACTTGAGCAGTAGCTAAATTAATGAGAGCTCTCTCCACTGGATCCTTCTCTTCCCGAAAGATTAAGACATATGGTCGTCGCACAGCCTAATGACCAATAATACATTTAATATCGATCAATTCTAGAAATAGAACAAATAGAAATAATTTATTCAAAATGTACGTACCACCCAGCGTTTTTTCCAACCATTAGTCTTGTGTTCCAAAACATTTAAGTATCCTTTCCTAGCAATAACAGGACTAATACGAATTTCTTCGACTTCTGGCACGTAGAGTACCAAATTTTCCTTTGATGGAGAAGATGAACCCAATGGAGCCGGTGCAATGGTACACGATTGGTTAGTGGATTCGCTGGCTAATATGCTCTCCTGCAGTTCCTGCAGTCTAGCTCTCTCCGGTGAACTTAACCTAAAGATGCACGACTTAGACCTGCTCCATACTATTATACCAGCAGCCTGCAAGTAACACTCTAGCATCACCCTGATCGCGTCCAATTGTGCTGGCGGTTGTCTTTGACTCGAAAGTCTCGAGTTGTCGTGTTTCAGAATTGATAAAAAGCGATTCTTAAAAGCTGGTTGCGCTAAAAGCGCGACTTTTACTGAGCAAAGCTATTCGAAACTTGCGTAATAAACAATTATTGATCATTATTAGAAACAAACGTGGATTGAAGTTTAATTTAAGACAAAAATTTCATCGAGTTTGTTGCAAGCTCATACATGGAAGAGACAAGTCGATCTTCAAATCGAATTCTCGCTATCTTCACTCGTTAAGAGATATCTGGATTTTTTAATTAATGATCCAATTTTTAATTTAACACTTTTAATTTGTTGGTATTAAATAATAATATGAATGAAGAAAGAGAGTATCGTTTTTTTTTTTTTTTTTGAATCTCGAAAAACAAACATGTATCTATTTTTGCCATCAAGGTAAAAATACGATGATGCGATGAAGCGTGGACAACCGCTACTAGCAGGAGCACTCAGGCATGCAGGGAGGGTTACCTGCTTTAAATAATCACTAGCTCTCTCGTATACTGACTCTTGGGACGAGGATGATATCACCGAAGACATCATGGATGCCGACATATCAGCCATAGTGTCTTCTCCGGGTGAAACATCAGATAATAGAATGGGTTCTTTGTTTGGAATTCGACCTTGAATAAGTTTGATATACTTTGTGGCTAGTTCCTTTTCTCTCTCTGTCATTTCCCATGGCTCGTAAATGTCTTTACTCGTTGAACGCTTCAGTTTCACTGGGCTAGCGTGCGTTTCGTTCGTTGCCTTTGCCATCATGTTGCAAACTTCCTACATTGAACAAATAATAGATGTATTTATCTTTTCCATAACTCACATATAAAGATTTTTAAATCTTTGTAAGACTAAAAATATGACTGTTTTACCTTTTCGCTTTTTGTGAAATCGTGTGACATTTTGTTGCAGTATGATACTTTATCGATACCCAATTTTTCTCGCAACAGCAATGTGTGTCTTACTCTCTCCACTTCTTCTAATCTTGTTAATTTTTCTAACTCCCATTGATGATCGAATATTAAACTATCTCCTCGAGGTCTCCATCCATGTAGGTTTTCTTCTCCTCTAACATACGTAGAACTTGTGTCCAATACGCGACGTTGTCGCCTCTGAACGCCTGCAAAAAGCAATTGCAAAAGTGGGGTAGATACTGAATAAGAGAAAAATGAAATGCTAGAAAAAGTATGAACATTTCGTTTCGGCCAAGTTTGAAAATTTTCTTTTTTCTTTTGGGAAATATAAACTTAATAAAGGATGAAACATAATGAAGGAATTGCCAATTCGTTAATAACATGATATAATAGTCATCGTGAGTGTCATTGTTAATTATTAAATAATCAAGTAATGTAACATTCCGAAAATAAAATATCCTTTCTTTAAATTCATGCGACTATTATATCGATAAGGAGGGATAGGATCAAGAGGGGTCTACGCTAAGGGTAGCAAGACAAACCTGGGCTACCTGCTTCCGAAGAACGACGCAGAACCAATTCGTAAACACCACTGAGTCTATTCGCTTCTTGATTGCGGTAACTTCCGCTGAACAGATGTTTCAAGGAACGCGGCCCTACTCTAGCGTCTCTGCCATAAATGATCATGCTCAAGTCTTTCGTGATGATCGCTGGTCTTCCACAATTCTCCAACTAAAAAAGAAATGATAGTAATAGTTAGGGATGGATCTAACTTTAGTCTCTATTAAACGTACAACAAACAATCTGTAATTAAATCTTTATTAAATGTACGTATAACATGAAACATTAGAAAGGAGGATAATATGAAACGTTATTAGAATAAGCGTACCTCAAGATACGCGGAAATGGTCATGAAGATTTGCTCTCCGTAAGCTGTTACTCTATTGAGCAAGGCTGAATTGTGAAGAGAGCTATCCCATGCTGCCTCGAATCTAAACATGCATCTATCATCACCGGGCACTTCTAAATATTCGCCAGGGAAGAGACCCAACGAAAGCACTGACGAATCGTTGTCCTCTTCTTCTGGTTCTGGCGTGTTTCTGATACGTCCGACAACTAACTCTCTCACATCTTTCCATCGTAGTTCAGATGCTGGTTCATGTACAATGGTAATTCGAATACGACGCTGAATTCCTTGATGAAGAAGAAACAGTCCACGACACGGTAGATCGTCGCTATGGTCAACTACAGACGGCACGTATTCACCGTTCGGCGCCAATTCGCAAATCTCGAACCAAACTAATACGTCGTATTTCGCGTGTACATGTGACGTGCTAGGGGATGGTAAAACACTACCGAATTTTGGTGAACGTACAGGTTGACTGATAGGTATAGATGGTGGAAGCATTCTCTTTGGTGGTTGTCTCACGCTGTGAAATACAAATACAATGCAACTGAATGTATTTGTAATTTAAGAAGATAATATTTCATCAAATTGTTAAATTCAACCATTAAATAACCGTTAAATTTTATTCTATGATTGTTAATAATTATTTAATGCTTACTATTCCAACTTGGCATCTTTATGTAAAGGATGTTGCTGATAGTGTCCAAAAACTTCGAAAACAATCGGTTGAGTTTTTAGATATTCCAAGAACGATTTTGTTACCGTAACCGTGATCTACACGAATTCAAGAAAAAGAATAAATAAATATACAATCAAAGTTAATCATAATCATAAATTTCTCGTTTCTTTTTTTTTTTTTTTAACATAGCTTACATTTTGCACGTGATAAAATCCAGGTGGATTTCCTTTTCCGGTATTTTTTACTGGCTCTGTTGAAAATGCTTCGTCGTGCCGATGCAAGAAACTATATATCACAGTTGTACATTAACTATTAGTCTTACATAAAATCTCTTTATTATTGTATTATAGTTTTGAACGTACTTGAATTGGCAGAAAATGTCAGCATATTCGGTAGAAATGCCCATGGCCTGCAATACAGTAACTCTGAATGTGAATTCAGAGCCAAGTTGCAAATGATCCGGTAAATCCTCTTCCTTCATATCGCTGGAAACCGAACTATCTCCTCTACCACTATCTGCATCGCCGATATCATCTTCGTCTTTTACCTCCTTTTGCTCGTTGTGGCCTTCCACGACACGTTCCTCGTGTAACAGGATTTGTCGATTTTTCTCAAGAGTCTGGGTCAACAAGGTGTTGCGTTTGTTCTGCTTTTGATTTCCAAACAAGTCGTCCTCGAAGGAAATTCTAGCTGATTGTCTGACGCCACTTGAGTATTCACTGTTTTCCTCTTCTGGAACAAGGATTCGTTACGAAAATCCTACGCCAGAATCTTTTTTTGGAGAATTCGAATGGCATTTCATTTCATTACGTGTATGATAAATTTTTTATTATGATAATTGTGTCTAGATAATCACGAATGGCAATATACATAAATATTTTAATCCACTGCTTGAACAAGATAGTGATACGATAATAAAATTATATAACGTTTTAAAATTATAAACGATTAACCTTGAGTTAATTAGTGAAACAACTAATTGAAATATTGTTTTCAAGTTTAACCATGCTATCGAGATAACTCTGGCAATTAATTGTGTTACTTAGATTGCGGATTTCTATGCATTTATAGGAAATTTTAAAGTACATTTATAAGAAATTGCACATACTGTACATAACGTGCAAAAATATATAAAATATCACAAATATAATATGTTTTATATAATATGTTTTATAGTTCTGTAATAGATTATCTATAGTAAAATTATCTTCTATAATATTTAGAGTGTTGAACAATTTTACCGAGATCTACTTTGTTTGATCAGATTCTTAAAAATATGAATTTGCATAAAAATTCGCAATCTACTTATAGTATACTCGTACATATATACATTTCAACAACACAGTCAAGTTGAGTTTAGTTAATCATTCACGTAACATACACTTCCCGCTGTCGGAGGAAATAAAGGGTAAGAGAGATTATATAGACACTGATTACGTACCAACAACAGCTTGCACAGCTACACGCAAGTAACCCTTCACGTCTCCCTTTTCATTTACTATCGCTACTTTGTGGATCAGTGGAACGGGATACATAAGATTACTTAGGTACACGAAAGACCTATGACAACAAATGAAACGTAAATTTGTTACATTGATGTTTTAGGAAACCAGAAACATAAAATATTTAAAGAACAAACAGATTGTTAAAAAGTTATTTAAAAAATTCTAAAGCACAGATTTTAGAAATGTCTGATCTTGAAGAAAGCTTTCGTACAAACCTGCCAACCATTCGGAACCAGGGGAAACGGTCGTAGAATGGATCACCACCGGTGATAGATTCGATATTGAAATCCGGGGATGTCGGGGATAATTCTGCCTCGTTGTGATACATTTCTCGCATAAGCTCGAGTCTTTGTCTGCACAAAAGCGAAAACGTCGAATCTCCGTTGTTAATTGATTCGTTTCTTTTTTAGCCATTGATAAAGACGTAATCAAACATTGTCGAAAAGCACAGTGAAGGACACTCGGTACATAATATTACACCGTATGCGTCGTGTGTGTTCGGATGTATTCGAAAATCGTATGACAAACACTAGATGTTTAAATAAAGGGACACATACAAGAGATTTTTTTATCTTCTCACGATACCATGAAACTACAAATATTACTCCATTTAAAAAATAAAGTTAATATATCAAGGACAAACGCTTTACTAATTTCTGCTGTCCCTATATTTTCATATAAAGAAAGAAAATTACGGTACAATAGTGTAATACAGGTAAAATATATTACGTGATTTTCTTTTTTAAATTAGTCGATTATTGTAATTTCGTGTAATTCGTAGTGACACGTGCATGATGAAGTCACGAAGCGATAATGTGAGAAAACTTCAGCCGCAAGGAGCGCACGTGTTCAGCGAGACACAATTGAAACGTGTTAAACGGGAGTTAAACCCTTCGACTAATTTTTAATCAATGTCATTGTAATAAATTTGATTATAGATTCCTTTAGTTAACATTAATTTCATTGCAATAATGATAATTCGCAAATAACGAGACTTTAAAATGCCTGAAAAGAAAAAGAAGGAGAATATACTGAAAGATACAAGAAAGAAATTTTATAAAATATATGGAAGGGTTAATTCCGCTTCGGTCATCAATATCAAACAGACTAAACACGGTTGGCCATGCAGAGATTCTTGATCGATATACATTTTCGTCAAATTCAGCACAGTTGCAAAGCAATATTTTTCGGAGAGAAGAATAGAGAGAAAGAATGATTGTGTACTGAAACTGTAGCAGAAATACTGTAATGAGACGAGATTAAGACCGACATTTTGCGCATATCTGTATATATATGTATATATATATATAAAAAATTTGATAGAGACAGAGGATGGGCATGAAGCGTGTGACGATAAAGAGGAAAGAGTCTCACACGTTCGAGCACCAACCTCGAAGGCAAAAGATTTGCGAGCGAGAACTTCGGATTAGAGTAGGCGGTTAAACATTGGAAAATATCCTCTTTGGCCTCCGGAGTGCTGGGGCTCGAGTCCTCGTTGTACACGTGTCGCATCAACTCCAAGCGCTGTCTACAAGTTAACACGTATTATTTGCGTAAGTGTTCTTGTGCGTTTTTATCCAAGCACGCGTCTCATTAAAAGCGGTGATAATTCCTGAACCGCAGTTCCGCATTCTATCAGTCCTTTAATCAACTCCCATTCGATCGTACGATGAATTTAAAGAGCTTTCAAATCCTATAGATTCTGATTGTAAAAGCGAGAATAAAGAAACCGGCGAAGCAACCAGCCATGTTACTTCTGCTGCATTTGATATTGATATTAGGAAAAAAGTGAGATTATGAGAATAGCTGGATATACTTCCAATAGCTACCGGTGAAGTATAGATCCTGATAGTTTTCTGATATCTAATTTTATTCGAGAGATATTTATTCAAGTTTCAAACAAGATACGTGAATCACCCTATATATATATATATATGTACACATAAAATGATAACGTAAAACATGTTTGAGGAATAAAATGTGCAATAAAATGCGTTACAACATACCTAAGTTTATCCAGTGTCCAATAATGTGTGGCGCCATTCTTTGTGTCCTGAACTTCCACGGCAACTATAGTACGCGGGAATGGTCTTTCTTCTTCTTCTTCGTCGTCGATGGCGGGCAAGAGATCCGGAGGAAGCGGCGAATAAAGCGTATCCGTGAGCAAAGTAAACTGGAATTGCACCTATAAAGGATATATACGATAGTAAAAACGAAAGTAAAAAAAGTTTTTGTTATCTGAAATAAATATAAAAATATGCTTCTGTGAAAAAACGAAACGATCAATGAAATGTTAAATTATAAAAATGATTGAGATGCGAAATAAGCGAATGAAATCAATAAAGAGAAATGTCAGTAATGAATAAATGATTAAGAACCTAGACCAACAGATGATAAAAGAACATAAAGTAATTATTTGCAAATATTTCTTTAATTTATTAGAACGTCAAAAAGGCGGTACGCAAAAGTGCATCAATTTTGAAAATTTTTTAAATCTAAATGATTCAGACTTAAAGTTATGTTATGATCAAAGATTGGTGAAAAAGATTTCCTTCAATTTATTTCGAAATATTTAATAATTTTTGCGAGATTGATCAAGCGAGTGTTCGCGATAGCTTTTAAAAAATATCGGAAAATGTAATAAAAATTATGAATGTTGATGATTCATGTTCAAAGAGCCGTATAAAGATTTTCACAGAGATTTTCATTAGTTCATTGGAGAATGTACCACGGATGTACCTTCTTTTTGAGTTCGACAGAAATAGCGTTAGCTTCTTTGAGGAATATAGCGTTGCCCCATAGATCATCCCGAAGGCTTGTAAATTGATGATATTTCCACTTGCGGAAGGCCCAAGCGGCCAGTTGGAACTCTCTCTCGGTCCAGTTGCTCTCTGCGTCAAACAAGGGGTTGACTGAAATGCAAGCCATTGCCAGGCAAAACAGTCAGAAAAGCCAAGCATTTTGTAGATACAGGTTCCTTCGTTAAAAGAAGCTGTTGGCGTTCTGCCCACGATCAGATGATACACCATTTCATTTTACGACAAGCAAAGGAACATATCTCTAAGGAACATACCACGAAACTCGACTAATCAACAATAAAAGGAGAAAAAATAAGAATTTCAGAAATAAAAGAAATATAGTGATGTCATATCAGTTAATTACATGCGTGCATCGCAAGTTAATTGAAAGATATAGTCGAACAAAGAACGTACATTTAAAGAAATATATTATTAATAATAGTTCGTTACGTACCACCATCTGATCGTCTCATACAGATCCACACAATAATAAAATTTGTAATGGAATGAGATTGAAATTACGACAGACATCACTTGCCGTTTTAGCTAGATTATTCTAAAAAGATTTGTTTATATAAAATTTAAATGAATCCATTACAAATTCGAATCTTTTAACGAAAGGAATACAGCTACCCATTATATGATCATTCTTCATTCGTATGCAGAGTTTTGATCACTGGATTAACATTATAATATTTCAATCCGTAATAATTATTCACCTTATATTACTCTGCTTAGATAAGTTTCGATAATTGTAAAGAATTAGAAATATGCAGAATTTATCAAAATCATTGAGAATGTGTACTCACCGAAAATATCTTCCTCGATATTGTTAAAGTCTTCAGGCGTGTAACTGCTATACATTGACATTGTCATGCTTTGTTCTTCGACTTGTCTCTGCAGTGCGTCTATTCGAGCCTCATAACTCTACGTAAAAATGAAAATGACCCATATGATTTATTTATTTATATTTACAGAATATTAGTTGTATTTACCTTTCTTTGTTCCTCGAACAATTGATCTGCCTCCTCCTTCTCTTTACGGAATTGTTCTTCTAAAACTAACAATCTCTTTTCCATCTCAGCCTTTAGATCGATTCCTTGTTTTTCCAACAATTCAATCTGTGCAAAGTTCCAATCAACTGTTTCTCCATTTCCAGGAGTTTCTGCAGGAGATCCTTTCTCCCTTCGTTCACGTACTGCACAGATAACAAAAAATATATATATATATTTTTTTTCAGATAATATGTTACTCTACTCAATAACATATGACTTTTACTCTATATACATATGTTAAGTAAAGTGTAGAACAAACAAACTATACCTTGATCAGGATGATTGAATCTGAACACATGATTCCTTCCTAAAATGACGCGAGATCCAGTTTTCAGAACGATCGGTTCAGTGACCTCACGTCCATTTACATAAATTAAAGCGCCTTTCTTCGGAATCAGAGTAATAATACCCTCGTGATTTTCGAAGACGCAATGCTCGCTTAGTATGTGAGGACCGCATAATTGGATATCTTGCGGTATGTTAGCTTCGGCACTACCGATACGCGTGAAGCCGTCTTTAATGTAATAAATCAGACATTCAGACATCATTGGATCTTCGTTCAAATTCACCAAGTGAGGAGTCTTCTTTGGAGAGAACACGCCAACCGTGACACCATCCTCTTTCACGGCAACACCCATTTCGGCGAACACTGCCTCTCGTTGTAAACGAATCAGCTCGGTTCGTTTCAACTTTTCTTCCCATGTTTCATTCAGTTCTGAAAAATAAATACATTTTCTATATTCTAATTTTTACTATTTTGTTTAGTATTTCACATATAATTTATTTATTATCTATTTTTATTATATTTACTTTATAAGTATACTTTATAAGTAATATTATACTTTTGTTTACAAGTACAGAATTGTATCTGTGTAATTTATTAAGAACATTGTATCTTATTTACCAGCAATAAGTTTTTCTGAAGCTTGCAACTGATCCACTGCTTCCTCAGCGATGGTCGACGTAGTGTGAGACGGAATTCTGGATCGAGGTTCCTTCACATCGTCCTCGCGTTTGGTTGCTCGAACGATCTCGTCTCCTACAGGACAAACAGAATCCAATAAAAATATAAGAAGTGTAAAGAATAAAATTCAGAATGGCGAGTCTCAGCCAGGGATGTCACACGCGTCTCGGAAACATCAAAAGCCATAACTAAAGCAGTGGCGTAAGTGAAAGAGAAAATTTTTGCCAGAATCTGTCCCATGATCTGTATCATAATGAAATATTATGTTCCTTAGAGAGAGAAAAAGAGATACAATACGTAATTGGACCTTTTCCTTCGTGAATGAGACCTGTTATTAATATCTCATTAAATAGAGAACTTGTTTGAACAATAATACAGGGATGACAATAATATAGGGAATCAGTATCTTTTTTATGGAATTAAATTTTACAAAAGAGGGAACTCGAAAATTCGTTCTTTTCTTTTAGTTATCGTATAAAGCAAAGCCTTCTTTACCTTAAAACAAATTAGGGACAAAATTCAACGTGGAATGATAAAATTGAAATTACTTCAAAAATTTCCGAGAGTTAAAAATATTTTCATACATATTGTAAAAACAACAAATACAAACGATCTGTATATATTTATGCAAATCAAGCGCAGCGCTCAATCAAATATTACTATTCAGCTACAATGTTGATTAAATTTGTTTGATCGAACTCTATTAAACGGTGCTCGTCCGAGATGCGTTCGAGTTGTTTATTGTCGAGTGCCATGCAATACTTTAGGCTAGTTCGGGAACAAAGTGATGGGTCTAAATGGATAATAAGCGAGGCAAACACGTGTTTACTGGACTAGGAATTCGGACATAATGGAACACTATAAAGCCTGAATTTTTATATGGCCGTTCGACGCGAAGTGAATTGTAGTTACATGTTTATTTATATATTTTGAAGATTCTCTTGAACAGGCTAACAAGATCTTTCTAAAAAACGATGCCGGCGATGTATCGATCTTGATCAAATTGTTCAATTCATAACACAAACATATTTAACATACAGAAATTTGTGGAATGTTCAAAATATTGCATTCGTTATAAAATAAATACTCTTTACTGAGTAAAACAAATCTCTGTTTTACTTCTACTTCTGTGTTTATAAAAATATGAGTTTGTACTAATATTCGCAATCTAGATATACCTTTATCCTTATCAGGCAAATGGTATTTCCCTGAATTTTCGATTAAAATTGAGTTTTTTTATAGTGATTTGCTTTTGTCGATTAGTTACAATAGTTTTATATTTTTTAGATTTATATTTCATTATAATTCAAAGTATCGTGATAAATGATTAATTGTAGCAAGAATCAACAGTATTTATTTATCTTTATTTACTACTTATTAAAAAAACCGAGTATCGAATACTCTATCAGTAACCCGATTGTTTTATTCGGGTTTAATTTAACATTGACAAGAAATGTTAAAGTATGAAATTCACAAGAAAGTTCAGTTTTATGCAACCATTCGAACTATCCTTCCTTTGATCTTCACATGTTTACTCTTTCATTTTAATTCTTGACAAGAAACATTGCGTTTAACGCTAAAAGCCGCTAATTATGCAGCCTACGAAAAGACAGGAAACAATGATAATCATTAGGTGCTGGTTACCACAGGGTTGTATACATATGTTAAAGGAAAAAACAGAATGCATTTCGCGAAGCATATGTAAAGAGAATTTTGTCAGAAAATCGACAAAAACACAGAGAGATAGAGATAGATAGATGACACGCATTATGCCGTGAATTAAGCGGACGTTCAAAGAACAGGCGTAGAAGAGTGATCGATTGTCTGGCTTTTATAAGACTTTTCGCTGTGTGGATTGTCGATTATTTTACTTACTAGATTCTTTCTTTTCATATGTGACTTTACCATCTGGCCCTACGTCAAGCACAGGGGAAACAAAGAAAAAATGTACTATGTAAATGGTAGGCTTGCCTACCGCGCACTACTTTTTTACTATTTGCTTTCTCCTTATTTTTTTCTCTTCTCTCTATTCCTTTCTGTTCATTATAATTTATCCTTTTTTTCCCAACCTTATACATTTTATATAATACTTATTATCTTCTTTTTTCACGCAAATAAGTTTGCTAATATTTCTCTCTTTTTTCATACGAACCAGTTTGAAATATTAGTCTTTCGTAAAAGACCAAATGCAAGGTATTTTCATTACAGAAATACTAGAAAATATAAGGGATCAATTTTGATTAGGCACATGCAAATGTTCACAAATTAGAATTTCAATTTGGTTACTGTTGTTACTAAGTTAGCTAGCTAATATTATTAGCTGTTGTTCGCTAATATTATTAACATATGCCTATCATAGTATTATATGCATATGCCATATCATAAAATCACACATGTATTTGTACGTATAATAGAGAGGATATCACTCTCTGAAATATACGGGTAAAAACCGACTCACCTTCTTGCACGTCAATACCCTCTTGTTTCAGCAATTCACGCAACTTCTGAATCTCTTCTTTAAGTTCTCGGATAAGTTTCGCATTTGCATCTTCATTAACGACAGCTTTGCAAACTATTTGTTTCGCTCTGTCTGCATATCTGTAGTTTACCAAAGTAAAAATAATAAAAAAAATTATTTTATACAGCTATTTTATAAGAATAAATTACTAAAGAAGGAAAATTTATTTATATAGAAGTTTTTGCAATTAAATTACAAAGAACTTCGTAAGAATTTTTAGATATTTCGAAGAAATCAACTAATAAAGAAGAAAATACAACGGTGAAAATTACAAAGGTAACGAATAATTATACCGTAAGGTGGAGAGAGTCTCATCGTAATTGATGTCCGCTGGGCTCACTGCTGCAATCATCGCTGTTTTAGAATTACCTCCTAGATTTTCTCTCAAGAGCCATGTTAGAACTGAATCTCTATAAGGGATAAAATCAGCTTTCTTCTTCTTTTTAGTTGCCTAGACGAACAAAACAAAAATTTATTGTTTCATTTATTGTTTCTCTTTTATAAAAAAAGATTAGCAAACTAATATTCAATATTTAATTTGTAATATTGTTGAATTAAGAGAAAAATCATTGATACATGAACTTACCGCCTAAAAATCCATAAAGGGCAATAAAATAAACAAAAGATACGGATTTTATTAATGTGAAATTTAAATAGTATCTGAGTAATTTTGAAACGTTAAAATTATCTACATACAACTTTCATACTATATAAAATTTATCTAACATCAGCATGAACATTTATTAATCACGCGAGTATTTCGTGTATAGAATATAGTCTTCATATTTTTAGAATGTATCTAATATGATTTATGGCAGAATATAGAATTAAAATACAGAAAATATAAATTTTAACTATCTTGTTACTATAAACTATTATTTTTTGTAGACGAAAAATCTTGCTTACAATTTCAGCAAGGGCACTGATGACTTTTCCCAGGGTCGTCAAGCTTTTATTAATATTGGCACCTTCTTTTAATCTTGTACCCTTCGCACCAGTAGAATCAGCCCTTTCAGAACCTGCCAAGTCGACCAGAGAAATTTTACTGACTTTTTCTGTCACTAATCCAGTTATAGAATCGTGCTTTTGTTGCGTGAAGAATATTGTAAATACGGCGTGAGATCTGCTAGATGTCTCATTCATATTTGTGGCTGCTACCGTTCTAAAATAAGAAAAATATATACAAATGTAATAAATAATAAAATGTCGTAACATCAAAGAATAAAGTTAAGTTAAAATAATTAACACTCTTTATTTTAAGGATTGAAGAAATTTGGTCAATTAAAATTATATTGTTGTTCTTAAATATATTTTACAGAAATGTTTATAATATTATATTAAAATTAATATTAATCTTTCAGTTAATTAAATGCTTTAATTAGTTCAGATTAGATGTTTTATTAATTTTTTACTTATTATACATACCTCGCTTTGTTTCCCTCATCGATAAGATCATGAATGTCTTGATATGACATCACTGCCAATTTTGATAAATCCTCGACATACGGTCCAAGTAGAGGGTGCTCTCGTACACGGAGATTTCCTTTGTTCTTGGGGTTTAAGAGATCGCGTACCCTTTCGCAATATATTTCCATGTAACTTACTTCCACAGAATACTTCAGACATTCATTTGAATTGCGACTGATTTTTCTAAAGAGGTCCTTGCAAATTTGAGGTATTATACCCTCTTGACCTTCTTCTTGTTTGCCCATCATGGTGTACGATTTACCAGCACCGGTCTGTCCGTATGCAAATATACAGACGTTGTAACCTACATGTGAACAAAATTATCATAAAAATTAATCATTAATTAAATTTTTATTGATATCTAGAGATAAAGTAAAATCACTAATATCTATAGTTGATAATGCATTCCTAAAAATTATGAATATTATAAAAATTATAATAAATCTTTCAATCATTTATCATTCATCATATAAGAAATCCAAAGATACAAAAGTATGATGTTCTCAAACTTTCAGACAATAGTATATTCGTGTGTTGCAAATATATGTCAAGAATGTATGAGAATTCGAACAGCTAATTCCTTCAGATGGTATGACGATTCCTAGACGTAAATTCCGCGGTATGCGACAATTCGAGTATACGTGATGTCTAAAGTATTTGAGAAATTATTCGATTAATCTCTGCAGACGTCCAAAAATCTTCAATTCGCGACATGCTCACCTTCAAAAGCGTGCTCCAGCATTTCCTCGCCGATATCCTTATAGACCATTAGTTGTGAAGAATAATTTGTGTCGTTTGGCTGTGGCATAGAAAATGATCCACTTATTATGTTCTTTTATTATCCAATATTTTATTTCCAATATTGTTTTTGCGATAAAGTAATAATTTTAATACATTTTTCACTTGTATTTTTCTATTAATTTTCATGATCTTAATCTTAGTAAAATATGAATGAATAATCTTAGTGAAATTAATAAGATTACTTAACAAATTTAATCTAATAAAAAAAGATGAGATATAATTTAGTCTCTCTAAATAGTCAGATTCCATTTATCGATCTGTGACTTTAACTAATGTAAGTAATAGGCTTTACTAATTGTAAGAATGAACGAATCTGTGCTCTATTTATAATATACTTCTGTAAAGCAATAAAATAAAATAAATACCAATACAAAGGATTGATCCTTTTACCCAATAGAAAGACAGATTTAATTATCGGTGATGGATGAAAGATACTTACGTCCATGGAAAAATAGGAATAATCGTAGTTGAAACTCTTAATCGCATCTTTGCTGCCCGGTGGTGCCTTGGGGTTCAATATTGCTAGAACACGCAAAGGAAGGAATTGATAATTGATGACAGAAGGAAGCTATAACTTAGGTTACTTATTTTCTTCCAACTTCTTCTGCATTATAAATAAATCATGATTCTTAGACAAGCTCTATAAAAACTGAATTAAAAAGTATAAACTTTTTCCATCTATGCATACGTACTCAAAAGATACAGAAATCAACAGATATAAAACAACTTGATCGATAGACAAATAAATAACAAGATTAATACATGTGTCACGATCAAATAAGATCAGAGGCAGATGGTTATATAATAAAGAAAAAAAAAATGACTATAAAATACAAATATACGAACGTAAAAGTAAAACGTCAGTAAAACGTGTGAAAATTGACAGAAAATTGACAGAAACGTTAATTGTATTACAAAATTTCGCGACAAGACTATTATACACTGATGAGTTGACGTCAATGTAGTCTCCGAAGTTTATCCAATATTAAACTTTCCCTTCGATCCATTAGCATTTTACGAGACTTAAGGAACCGAAGTTGCTTCGTTCAATTCGTGACACATCAAACTTGTATGAGGAATTGCATTCAATATTGAGTAAAAAAGTTTCACAAAAAAAAAAACAGAATTTTTATCTCGTCATTTAAGCAGATTTTTCTTCTAACAAATAACGCATACGAGACACGCGATTAGCCAAGTTTGTTGAATTCAAATTGTTTAACTTTGAAGAACAAAATTTTAAATGAATATCTGTACGAAAGGTAAGTATGTAAAATGTTAATGCAGATACGACCCGAATTATATTGTGATATTTTTCAAAATAATGCCGTTTTCCGCTTACTTAAACTCTAAATCGAACATGTTAATTAAATATTTCAATTTTTTAAATACAATTAATTAAAAAATACAAGTGTACGACTGACTAAAGAATATTATAAAATTTGTATATAATTTGTAGTATAAGAAAAACTTACCTTCCAATTAACCTTATGAAAAACAACTCTTACAATAAAAAAAAAAGACGTATATAAAATACACACAAAATTTAAAAAAAAGCTCTAAACCTCTTATTATAAAGTATAAATAATAATTGAAAATGATTCAAATAATCAAGGACCAGCATAGAAAAGACACATCAAATCAAACGAAATAGCAGACACACTCGCAAAGAGAAATTTCAAGTCGTTCACGTTCATGCTTGAAATCAAATCAATTAACTAATCATAACAAGACCTCATCGTTTTATACAAATACAGTCGTGATAATTGAACAAACGATCAAAAACCCGTGTAAATTCGACAACTGTAGAAGCAATTGTTCCCGATACGAAAAAACGTGACAATTATTTTGTTTCCTTGGACGAAGGTCTATTTTATTTACAAAGGAAAAAGAAAGGAGAGAATAAATAGTAATCAGGCCATGACATAAAGACAAAGAAAGAAAACGTAGGATAAGATGTTCGAGTGAACATCAGCATGAAGGTATGGATAATGCACAGGGATTAATTATACTCACAAGTGGTACTGCCGGACATTTCGATGATGCATTGTGCCTCACGGGAGATCTCCCGATTATTAAAGGGCCGTACCCTCACCGCCACCTTTACCGACGACATCTTCCTTCTGTTTTTAATTCAGCGTCGGATCACGACGGCGGCGGTGCTGGCGGATTGACTTTTTCCTCGTTTTCTCTGTGGCAATAAAGAAGCATCGTTAGGGAAGCTGGCAACGCGGAAGAAAGACACGATTGCTGGCTCCATTCAGTACCGACCACGCGCTTCTCTTAATTGTAACGTTCTTTCGAGATGATCTTATTCGATAATAAATCGCTAAACATTTCAGGCGGAACGTCTAAAAGAAGAACGAAGCGGTGAGGAATTGCAATTAAAAAAATTTTTTAAATGCATGTATAAATTCTAGCATTGTATTCCACGGAAAGATAAACTCAGAGATAAAGAGACGGTGGTCATTCATTTTTCAGCATCCATTTTTATTTTATTTGTATTATTCTGTGCAATTCCTTTTACAGGCTTAAGAAATGTTAAAATATCGAAGTACAACGGGTTTCAATTGAGAAATTCCTCGCCATCATGTTCTTCTTCTAATCGTACATTAAAAAACATTTGATACTGTATAAATATCAGAAAATAATTAATACACAAATTATCGTTTAAAATGAAGAGACATCTCTTCTGGCAGACAAATATCTTTCCACAAACTCGCATGCGCATAATTCTTTTCAATTCATAGGGGTCGAAACAAATTTTTGAACATTAATGAAACTACAACAAGGAGGAAGATGGTAAACGTATCAACGTCGAGACAGTTTGATTGAGTTTATTATGGCGTATTTCATTAAACCGTAATCGAATCTCAACGGCGTCGTAAGGTTCGTAGCATTGTCAATTATCTTCGAACAAGAGTAACATAGCGTATGGCGTCGATATCCACTGACAAAAGGTTCGTCGATCGGTGGATAATCATCTCTCTATATAGGGCAAACTCTCTAATCGGCAAACGAGCAAATATCTAACGTACCAACGCATGACCGGAAGAGCATTGGTTATAGTTTGTCTCCGTATATCCGATTGATTTTTGTAATTGCTGAAACTGAGCAATTCAACGTGAATATTCGTGTTACTAAATAAAGCTTTAAGATTCTATTTAAAATAAAAAATATTCAACGTTTCTTGATCAGTGAATTTAATATTTCGAAGTCTATATGTTATGTGTATAACTTTACATCTATATGTTATACATTACATATAGATTACATTGTATATATATTACATATATTACATTGTATCTATATGTTATATGTATAACTTTACATTTTACAATTTAAATATAAGAAATGTACAAATAGCAATATCTTTTGTACAAAGGAATATTCACCCTGGTTTTTTCTAATTTAATGATTAATTTTCAGTATATAATTTTACATCAATGTTAAAATATTTCTACGCAAATGATAGGTACGTAAAAATCGATAATTTAAGTACGCGTTCATTAATGATTAATTTCATTAATTGACGACTCCGATGTTTTCGTAAATATAATTTATTAGTTCGTGCAATAAGGGATTGAATACCAGGAAAAGCATAATTTTAGCTGACTATAGGATATCTATATACCATAAACTGTTGGTCCTGTAATACGTAGTGAATAGCACTGAAGCACTGTAAACTAATCGAGATTCTTTTGTCTATTCAGATGAAAGAATCTATAATAAGTATAAAATTAGTTCTTGAAATCATTAAATCTCCTTGATCAACTATCCATGAAAATTAAGTAAACGTGTAACTTCTACCTCATGGGCACAAGCTATATGTAAAAATCTCAACATTAAAATTAAATTCCAACCCTATACTTATCACATCGAGGATGATAGAACTACTTTTCAAATTTTAATGAAATTATAGTTAAATTTTAGTAAAATTTTATTAAAATTGAACCGATTAAAAAATTTCGTCCAAAAGTATAACATTCAATGAAACGCGTAATGTAAAATAAAATTTAATAAATTCTATATTATATTGTAAAATTACATTCTGTACAGCTAATTCAATATCTATATAAAATTTTATTGCTTTAATTATAGATTCTATTGCACTTTATATTGCAAGACTATTAAATTAATGATCTTCATTGCGTTTTTTTTTTTTTTTTGTGTGTCATTTTCGACTCTATTATATCTTTCTATCGTTAAAAAATTCTCCAGAAAAAAACGAAACAATTTTTCTAACATGATTTTATTAAAATATTAGAGATCTTTTCATTTGTTGAAGCGAGATAAAAAATCAGACTGCAATAGAAGTTAAACTATGTTATTATTAGTTTATTAATAGTTCAGTAGTCAAGCTGAGTTGCATTTTTTCTACGGACGAACTACGGACTACAAGTTTGAATTATTGCATCGGAGGATCGATACAATGCATTTGAAGCAAAGGAAATGTATAAGATAAGAGTTGCTCTCGAGCATCGTGCCTTCTATAATTCAATATCAGGACGGATGATAACAATTAACGTTTCCAGCAAACGTATTATTGCCACTCTGACAACATCAAAGATGCCTATTTTATGATCCTTTTCTGAAAGCTTGATCTGATGAATTGGAAAAAAATAACAAAGAATGGTCCCAATACAAGAGTAGTTGAAGTTACGATTGAATATCGTGATCTATTTTTAAAATCCTCTTTGAGCAATTGGTTTGTCTTAAACCATAAAGTTTCCTCTTTGAAATCCGTATAATAGAATTAATTTATGCGAACTCTATTTACACAAGGAAAACACAATGAAGAGAAATAATCTTGGACGCTCTATTTAAATTTATAGATGTATATATTTTATATTAATAAGGAAATAGGTATTTGATTTGTGAAAATATGAATTTTAAATTAAATTGTACTAATTATCTTTAGTATTTGTAGTATAAATATATACGTCAGAGGAACAAATACATCGAAGAATTCTCTTCGAGAAAAATTTCCTACCTGATTTTCGATGGAAATCCTTCTGTCATTATCTTACGCGAAGGATGAACGGAAGTGACATTTCAATAAAAGAAAAATCCTCCTAAGTGATGCAATTCTATTTAAGGTATTAAGTTACGTCAGCGATAAACCGTGGAAATGGTACACTTTCGTAACAGAAAACTTTCGATATTCCTAGAAATCAATTTATTAAAACAAAATTGAAATTTTTCGTAAAAATAAAAGCAAATTAAATAGGACGTGTATAAATCGATAATATATACATGTTACCAATTTTGTATAGAAAAATTTTAAATCTGTAGATTGAAATTAAAAGAATTCGAGTTTAAAAACTTCAGCGTTTAATTCCACGTTTCGAGTTTTTTAAAACGGTTTTAAGTCCCGCATCTTGAGTTCGATAATTACTGCGTCATTTAAAAATAAAAGTAAACAGCCATGCTGGTTCGAGTTTACAGCATCGTTTAGATCAGAAACTGATACGACGCTTTATTAATTTATTATATACGAATATATGTAATTTAATAGGATAAATATATGATAGCACGAATATTCTTGATACGAGAATAACAATATCATTATTATCGATCGACCGATAGTCACGGCCAGATTGAAAAAAGAAACTGTAACCGCTGTCTGATTACGCATTGACACGAATCACTTGAAGGGTCTGCACAAGCACTGTGCTCATCCCACTCAACTTTACGAGCTACGACGATTTAAATCGTCGTAATTACTACGCAAATATGTTTCCATATACTTTATTGCTTGATCAAACATCAAAAAAAGATCTCCCAAAATCATGAAGATATTTTTGAAGAATTATATATACTAACAAATATTATCAAAAATAATATTTCTTGCGTGAAATCAATACATTTAGTAAAAAAAGCTAATCCCTTCGAAATTATCAAAAGTAAAATTTAACATATCTTACAAAATGGAAAAAATACTGTATGAACTATAGCTTCACAGAGAATGATGTACATCACTCTTTTCTGAGGAACAAAAAATAATTATCTTACTGTGGACTTAATAAATTAATAACGTTATTAAAATCTACTATCTAGTCATAAAAATTCATTCGCTAAAATAAATTCGCTTCGTGTAAAATAAAAAATATTAATTTGCATGCAGCATTTCATTTTTAATTTCGCTTGTTAAAAATTCAAGTCTTTTGAATAGACGGTTTCGCAATTGTTCTCCACAACATATAGAGCCATTAGGGAAGAAGGGGTATCGGTATCCGTTGAATATTCTACTGAATATTCTTCATTATTGTAGCATACAATAAGGCAGACCTCTTTGTCAAAGAAACATAAATAGTATTTAAAAGATATACCGCACATTCGCAAATAAATAATTTCGGTATAATCGTATTATGGTTTTGCATATATCTGTAAATATTACTAAAAATCAACAACAAGAAAATTTTAACATTGATCGTAGATTGAAGTGCAACAGTCAGCAAGTTAGTAATTAACATCAAGCTTCTTTACTCGATTATCGATTGGTACGTTACAAGGCAAAAATAGATTTAAATCTGTATTAGCATCACTCAAGTAAATTTAAATTAAATATTAATAGCAACAACAAAAAATATCCCTGTCAATCAACATTCATTTATAATGCTAATAATTCATTTGTAATTTTATTCAAGATCACTTGACTTTTTGTAATTTTCTTTTTTTAAGATTAATTATATACATGTATTATTAGATTGGAAAAGTTTTTTTCATATATTTAATCTATTGCGACTGTTAAAGAAACTCGGAAAAGAAACTACAAATTAAATTTAAAACCACGTATAATAGGAAATGAAGTACATACTGCAATTTCATGAAAACATACACCACTGCGCGTGCAAGTACATTCTTGAGATGAACGTAAAAACATAGCCACCGCGTAATCGATAACAGCAACCGAGTTCGAGTTACACAGCGACTCTACGAAATTTGAATTTTCTATCTGTTATAACTCGATATATTGTAACTCGACATTCATCAACGATACGAATATAACGAATATAATTAAATATTTACTTAGAGTATCTGCTTTGATTTTCAATTAAATTTATGTCGTTCCCCACTCAACATAGGCTTAATTTCTTCATTCAAGTATAAATAAATTCCATTTTCAATACGTTTAACATCTAAAATGTAACGTTTAGTTTATTCACAATAATTATTCACAGTAACTATTGATGGTGCTATATATCAGGTCATTCAATTCAGTCGTTGCACCGTGCAATATGGAGATTCAGATTAAAATGATATATAAATTATTTGATAAGAGTACAATAAACTTAAAAGAAAAATTATCATTTTTGAGATATTTGTAAAAATTAAGTTCAAGAGTGAGTTATCTATCTATCAGAATAAAAGCGTCATGATTCAACATAATCATTTAACAAATACAATAATATAACAATTCAAAAGAAGAATTTAAACCTTTTTTGAATAATAAACAATTCATATAAACAACATTTTCTTATATATTATTAATACATGATTGTACATTACTAATTAAACTTCAAAAGAAAAAAGGCAAATGACTGAGAACTAGTGTTTTAGGCAAATTCTGAAAAACTTATGCTTCTTAGTTGTGTTACAGTTCGAACAAACCAATAAATACGTACGGTATAAAGCAGCGTACAATGTATACAAAATGTCGTCGAACGACTGTTGACAGAGCTCATTTATTGAAAGTAACTATGATGTATAGACGCTCCTTTATCAATGAATATTCTTAGCATGGAGTGTTCCATCCAAGATGTATGTACATCCTGGATGTACAAACTCGAACTTATGACATGGTATAATCGATAAAACGGTGGAAAAGTGTCGCGAGAAGCGGAACGGGCGTAGGTGAAAGAACATCCACACGCGTACACATAGATTTTCACGATCGATCGTCGTGGCGAAGACGTTTCTGCTGTTCTTACCCTGAACTACTTGCTTGAGAACGAAGCTCAATCTGTTATTCGTTTCCTTAGAACGAATTCAAATTGAGTGTTCACTGTTGATTCGGACGATCGAGACGATGAACGATGATGACAGTCGCCGTTGGTGGACGCGGCACTTGACATGAAACGGTGGAAAACGTTAGAAAAACATTTACGTAGCCTCACAGTTGGCAATCACTATTATGTTGGTGCACTAGTTGTACTTGGACGATCCTCGAAATTCTTAGCGAGCACGTTATACGTGGACATTATAATGCATTCATCCACGTATCGCTCACGGCTGAGCGTGTACGCGCGCGCACCAACACACACACAGACACTCACTTTACTTTGAACCACCCTGCTGCTCGAGAACGAGTCACTACACACCTCCGGTCGGTGGTCGGTCGTCGAGTGACGAACATAATCGAAGCGCTTGCGCACTTACCCCCACGGCGTCTATTAGCCGGTGGCCGAGTTACCGCGTCAGCGCCATCTGTCGGTCACCTGATAGTTACCATATCCCTACCCATGCGGTGTCCTTTGAGCCCTTCGGGTCACCCCGATTCTAATTTATTCCTTTTGGCTAACTTCTTTTAATCTTCCTCTTTTTTCCCTGGCGGAATGATTCGAATTTGAAGCCACTCTGTTTAATAAAATGACTTTTGTAGGATAAAACTTCAGATACGTCTTCTGGGTATGAGTCTTTAAGTAGTCATACTTTTGGCAACTTGATGTGCAATTATGATTTCGATCTGTTTATCCTTTTTAATATATACGCAAAATGAGTCGTATGCGATGAAAATGGAGTGATTTTAGTAATTGTAAGAAATGAGATACTGTCAGGGTTGCAGTGATGCAGCTGTAGAATGTAATTGCATTTGAATAGAATTGTCATTTATTTTTACGAATAAATGCAGTTCATAGCAAATATTTTACGTACGTGAGATTATTCACTATAATTCTGTCAAAATATTATTTTGTATTAATAAATAAAGAAAATTTCAAACCAATCAAACACACCAAACAATAATAGTACGTTTCACCAAAGGCGTCTGCGTAAAAGTTCTAATTGAAACTATCGATAGCTTCATTCGAGCTGGCATTTATTGTTACAAATTCATTATCCAGTTTGTAATAAGCTCTCATCTTATCGGCGTTTATAAGTTTTTATTGATTCCATAAGTTTTTTTGCTCGGATTACTGGCGAGTCGATATTTTTCTATGCACGCGGAAGGGTTGAAGATTCAGCTTTTCCCATAGGTATGTTTGGAGTGCTGCCAGAGATCTTCCTGCTGACGTAAAATTGCAATTTCCATGGCTTAACGTAATTTTCAAATTGGAAATAAGGTTTAATTAACGCATCCAGCCAGATTACTGGGATTATCGATAGATATTCAATACAAATATATATTTCACAGAAATCACAAAAATATTTAAATAATCAATTATTTATATTAATAAATTATAATAGTCGGTGAAACTATTTTTAATTTTGCTTAGGATATATAGATTGTAATTTCTTCGATTAGAAAAGTTATTAACTTAAATATTAATTTATATCAAGTAGTATTAGTCAATGATTCAGCCACGTGCAGTTTAGGAACGAGAAAAAATTAGTGAAGCCTAATTTAATGAATCTTATAAAACGATTACAAAGGTTCGATCAAATGTTATGTAAAATTAATTTAATGATTCTTTTATAATTAATGTGAAACTAATATATTACATATAAATTCATGAATTAATTCCTGCTTTCATTTGTATCTTATGAAATGTAAACTATTTCCCAGTTATGCATGCGTCACAGCGATTCAGTAGTATCATAGTTCACAGCAGAACGTGACACTTTATAGCCATTGAACGATATCAAGAAAACCCTACCGACTATTTTCTTGAGAATGTTCTCGGGGGAATTTTTTACGTCTTCAGTTTTATTGAGTAGACTGACTGTAAAAAGTATACAGTCAGTAAGCATCAAACGTGAATGGAGTTTTAATACAGATTGTCTTGTTGTACAAATAATTTATTGATTTTCAACTTGTCTAATTTGTAATTTATAATTCTTATATGTCTCGACGAAATAATATGCTTGATTATGGAAAAAAAAGAAAACAGACCGTATTTTGCAATCGATGCAAAAATAAATTAACAATATTTGTTCGATGACGATTGATTCCCTTCGTGTTGGTAATCCGGTTTAAGCTTCGTGTTGGAGAAAGATAATATTGTGCTTTTTATAAACAAAGTTTTAATTAAATTACGATAGATGATAAAATTATAACATTTTTATATAAAATACTTTATTAACATAAGAGCAATTAAATAATTTTTAAATATTTTATACAATTAGGTACTTTTAGTATTCTAATATCTCGTTATTAAATCTCGTAACTCGTATAAAATTAAAATTTTTAATTTTTATATATAAATGCAAAATTCCAGTAAATGCAATATATTAACAAAATTTGCTTAAAAGTATTGCAAAATCAAATAGCTAAACTTAATGGAAGTTTAAGTTTCCTTACGCGATAAATGTTTCAAAAATTCGGAATGATCAAATTTGATTTTTTCTGAACATTCATACACATCAATATATGTATATACAACACTTGTTTGGTCATTCCATTCGAGTATAAGCGAAAGGTTTGTGTCTGCCTATTTACTACATGAATATTATTCCTAAAGATGGGTTAGGGTAGAGGTTGCTCGGAGGAATAAAGGTCACATACCCATCCCTCGTTAGGATATCTATGACTCTGCTTATACTTGATATTAAATTCTACAAATAGATATTAATTGATATCTGTCAATATCGCTCAATAAGCACTATTTCGATGCAGTAGTTATGCATACAACAATAAAATATAAACTACTACGTATGTACATTATTTTTTCTCATTATTTTTTTAAGAAACAGAAGAATTAATCTCACGTTGAATACAAATTACACTATAGAGGGTGGGAATGTTTTCATGAAACATGAATCTTTACCGAGTGAGTCATATACTACATCAATGACGTCAAATACATGTGTAGTCAACATCTTGACCCTCGCTTTCATAAATTGCACATCAGGCTTCTATTCTGTTTAATATTGTCATTGTTTTACATAATTCTTTTAATCTTACTTACAAGCTAAAAAAGAATTCATTTCTATATCATTTCAGATTATTTCACTGGACCTACATAAATTTCCCTCTAAATTGCACTCCCGCGAAGAGCAAAATTTTATGGCTATTTATTTAATGTAATAATAGATTCGTCAGATAATTTTTCATAATTTTTCCATATTAATTACACGATACAGCGTTAACCGAAAATATAAGATATTATATGATATAATAAGATATTATAAGATATAATTATGAGCGTCAATTAATATCAAAATAAAAAGAAAAATAATAAGTTCGTAGTGACGCATTTTTTCCAATTGCCCTAATTTTTCTCATGTTTAATTCCACGCTAATTTTACGGAGGACAGCTCTTGTAATTAAGATAAACTGATCGTAAAAGCATTAGTCCTGATTATCACTAGAGATACGAGGTATTTGATTTCAAAGAATCACTGCGATGTCGTATCAGGTATGAGTTACTTTCAAGTGATTAAAGTAAACCATATACCCAACGCCGCGAAATCTCATGTAATCTTACTTCTCAACTGAAAGTGAAGTAAACTTTAAAGTAAATAAAAGTAAACTTTTAATCTGAAATCTCCATATTTTAATAAATATGCGCACATTAATTATTAATTATTATTAAATTTATTTATTAAGCTTTTTATATCAAATTGGAGTGTTTTATATGAGCGTCTTTAAAAACATTAAGAAAGACTATTCTATACAAAATAAAAAATCAAATTTGAAGGAGAAAGACACCATCTAAGAGAGAAATGACTATTTGACGAAAGATATATCAAGGAAATGTTTCATTTGTCAAAAGAAGCAGTCCAGTATCATCCGTAAATGAGAAATGGCTGTAAGAGAAATTATCAAGAGACTATTCCAAATTTAACGTGTCTAACATACATTTATGTGAAATTTTTCACAAAAACGTAAGACATAACTAGATCATCGGAATTTTCTGATTAGACGTCCAAAGATAAGACAACGAAGGGGAAGGGAACATCTACGATTAAAAATATTCGGGTAATCGATCTGAAGTTGGCGAAGGTATGCGCACATGGTTGCCTGATAGGAATTCGCCCTCGAAAAGTGGAGTAGAATCGAAACTGGATAATGCGCGATAGTAGGTGGAAAGCAATATGGCGGACTTTACTTAGGGGTGTCGAGTGCGCGGGCGCCGATCGACGTGGTCCAGGGTCGTGCATGCCGCTTTCTCCGTTTATGGACCAATCACATCGCGCTTAGAAGGGAAAATCAATAGACGTAGAGGCACGAATGACGTCAGCCTGCAACCCGACGATCGACCGATGCGACGCGGGCGGCGCCGGCCAATTTCTACAGAGCAATCAATAAGTAAAGATATCCATGATGTCGGCAATAGCACCCACGTATCTTTATTCTACCCTTATACGAATACCTATCTTCCCGCTTGCTATTAGTCGCTCCAAAATCGAATCCAAATTCTGTTAAGTACGATCCAATCACGAAAGCTATCACTAAAGACGGTGATAATTTTGTGAATATAGTAGCTGAATTGTTACTATTATTAAAAGTTAAAGACAAGATTATTTTTTTATTTATCGTTGTGTCTATTAATTCATAATTTTTAAATATTATGCAATTATATTCAGCTTCTACCAGAAAAGCTATCTTTAAAAGAATAATAATTTATCACGAAAGCCATATCTAAAAACGGTGATACTTTCGTGAATAGAATAGTGTAATTATTAATTTGTCGTCGTTAATTAAAATATTATCTGACATTTCTTTACTTTTTTTCATGAATAAATAAGAACAAAGATGATACAAGAAAATAATGTATTTTATCGAATGTTTCGAAATAGTAAATAGAATATTTTAATCAAGGATGGTAGTAATATTATTGAAAAAATTGAGAAACTTAATTATTTACTTACAATTTTAAATTGGAGTATAAAATACTATTGATTTGAACTTCTTAATAAAATTAAAAGAAAGTTGAAGAGATATTAGATAAGTATCTTCATAAATGAGCGATTTAGACGAAAAGAATATTATCTTATTAACTTGTTTTAACATTGTACTGCAATATCTTCTAAAATTGTTCGATAAAAATATTCTAAAATTGTTCGATAAAATCGTTGCACCGCGAGTAAATTATATGTGGACAATATCATTGACGTACATTCATATTTATAAGATTTCGTTCTTCGAACGTGATTAGGACATTCGGCCATTGTTACAAGAATGATAAATTTTTTACAAATTTTTTGTATCGATTCAAAGATTATTTTTATCGGTTTTATTGAAATTATTAAGCCATTATTACATGCCTTTAACTGTTAAAAGAACAAAAATAAGTTCAAAAGATATAGGTATTTTTATTTCTAAAAACTTGTTTAAGTTTCATAAAATTATAGGATTAAAATATTCGTATTTCGATGGTCGATAGTCAATTTCAATCGACATGTCCCTAATGAACTTAATTCAGCACAAAGGTTTAATTTGTGCTCCGCGATCTTTTCAGCATCGACCTTCCGTGACGTTGCGTCTGTATATCTTAATTTTAAAAAACCCAACTCTAGAAATGCAGTATAATTTTCTCTAGCAACGATTCGCAATTCAAACATATTTCTGTAAAAGTGTACCATCGAGTGGCTTCGTGTTTTATTAGTAAAAAACCTTGCAGCAAAAACGAGTCGATTTGACGCGCGTCGACTAGGGCGAAAGCGCCACCTTCGATCGTAGTTAACACTTCTGGAGATGCACTAATTTACAATCAGTAAATTATTCGAAACGTATTATAAACATATTCTTCAATTCATTGATCTTAAAATTAGTTACAAAAAAGTATGTGATACATATATTTATTTTTAAATATATATTGCATGTCATTAAATCCTTATGCAATTAAACAAACACGCATTAAGAGCGAATATAGATGAGAACTTTCTTTATCAAAGAATGCTCATGTATAAAAAAAAGTGTCAATAAAATCATCTGTTAAAAAATTCGAGTATTTAAAATGTTTAGAAAAAAATATACTTGTAATGTTAAAATTACGTCCTGATTTTGCACTTTGAATTTTTAATCTAGCACTCATTCTAATATACAAAAAGAAAAATTACTGACGTCTTCAAAAATCACATATTGATTTTTTCATTCCTCAAATTTAACAAATGTTTTAACAATAGAAAAACATGATTATGTTAAAAATGATCCAATCTCTAATGACGGTCAATCAAAATTTTTAACTATTTTCTTATAGTACATTTTTAAACTATCATTGTACAAAGTAAAACTAACCATGCTAACGGACTATTCATCTACCAGAATGAAAGAATACAATATCGTCAAAGTTCAGAAATAGCTGTCTGATTGAAGTTATACGTATCTACTGTAAATTCTAAGTAGACGAAGCAAGCAGAAAATTAATTTGTGACGCAGATGACGTTCCAAAAATTACAAGAGACGATAGATTTCACACAAATGTAGTGTCGACAACTATAATGATAGTATCGTGTTTGTGCGTTTACAACGAATATGCTATTATTAGTAGTTAAAGTGACAAGAATGTTTTTAACTCACCAAATACGTAGGCAGTGACGTGAAAACAGCTGAGGACCTCCGGCCATACTGGTTCTAGTTCCGCGATGTTCCTTGAGACATAGCGTGGACGCGTCGCGACGCAAAGCGATTTGACTTTCATCGATCGATTATCAAAGGCGCGAGTTAGTTGTCTTTTTCTTCATTCTCGGCACTCGCTTGTGCAGCGTACTAACCGTGTGGCGCTGATGTCTGTTTTCTCTTTACGAAACAATGTGACGCTTCATGCAAAATTTCCAATCCACATTGATATTGCGTCAAATGAAAACGGATTTCACTGTAATGGTTATCGACATATGGTAATTTGAATAGCGCGCCTTGATTTGAATTTTATAAATTAATTTCGATGTGAAAAAACCGTTTTATTTACAAATGTTTCAAAATATTATACTATATTTAATATTTTTAACAAATAAAGATAATCTTCATGAAAGAATATAATTAATAAGATACTGCTTCATATTTCATTTTAAATAATTTTAATAATAAATAATTTTCTGATCAATTTCGGTACTATTTATTATTATATGTGTACAATATATAGGAAACAAATATGTATAAAATCGCAGATATCTCTGAAAGACAAAGAGAACATACAGAATAAGAAATTGATTCTCGAAAAAGATTCATACTAGGTAAACATCATTTTCGAGACTATCATATTTTCTCTACCTCTCTAACATCCCGATGCATTCTTGTAGCGGCTATTCACATCATTCCAGTTCACTATGTCAAAAATAGCTTTAACATAATCGGGTCGAACATTCTTATATTGCAAATAGTACGCATGTTCCCAAACATCGATACCAAAAAGTGGTATTAAACCAGTTGTAGCTTGGAGAGGATCTTGATTAGCACAAGTAGCTATCCTTAAAGATTTTGTTTTTGAACAATATCCAAGCCAACCCCAACCAGAGCCTTGGATTGCAACGGTAGTTTCAGATAATCGTTTTTTCATTTCTTCCAGACTACCAAAATCCTTCTCTATTTGTTTGAGAAGTGCGACTGAAAGAAAAAATATTTAATGATAAATTTTTTTACAAAACATCTTAATAGAAAGATCAATAGTAATTTTTTTTAAATAATGAAGAAATATTTACCATCTGGTTTACCGCCATTTGGTGAAAGATTACACCAGAAAATTGAGTGATTTAAATGGCCTCCTCCATTAAATTTAATAGCAGGACCCAATGCAATCTGAGTATTAACATCACCTTTGGCAACAGCTTCTTTCAATTTTTCTTCAGCAACATTCAAATTGTTCACATAAGTTGCATGGTGTTTGGAATGATGAAGCTGCATAATTTCTGCACAAATGATAGGTTCCAAAGCTTTGTAGTCATAGGGTAACTCAGGAAGTGAATGCTTTGCCCTTATAGATGTACTTTTACTAAAAATGAAAGATACATACTAGAAGATTATCAGTAAAACATATTCAAAATTTTATTCTTAATTTTATTTAGAAATTTACACAACATACGTAATAAAGCTAATCATAATTTTTATTAAATAAAAAAATAAAATATATTTTATATATTTACAACAAATTATACAAATACTATATCTTCGAAATGTCAACTTTGTTTTCATCGATAATACGAACATTACCTGGCCAAATAATGTTTACTATTTATTATTTTTATCATGTTATAATCATTTTATTTTTTACTATACATAGTTAATCGCACAGTGAAAAAATTTTTGTATATATATTGAAAAGATTCTTGTCCAACATATATCTACTAATCAACTAAATTTATACTAACTTTTTATATATATTTAGTTAATTTAAGTAACTTTAAAAATCTGCTATATATATTTTTTAAAGTTATACCTTCGATATTGTCAAATCTGACAGATGCATCAAATGCAATATGTTGTTAAATAATAATTTATCAATTAACTAACAATTATTATGAAATGAATTTGAAGTAGAAACTTAAATTACTTAAATCGAATAGATTTAGTTAAACGAAGAAAAACCAATTTGTATCAAATATAGTCAATTCCAAAATTTTGTATTTTATATTTTAAAGCAAGTATAAAAAATATTAATCCCTCATATACATACAATATCAATAAACGTAATAATCTCACAAATAAAATAAAACATTTAATATTAACAAGTAATTTGATAGGTTAGAAATTATATAATATAAATTATGCGAAAATAATAAATGAAAAATAAAATAGACTCACATCGTATTAGAGAATAAAGCACGTCTTGCTGCAAACATTATTGAAAGAATAATAATTCAACTTGTTTTTATGAATTAATATCAGAAAAACGTAAACTCCAAGCGTAACCTTCACTTATAAACCTGTCACAGTCGTTGCAAAAATCTCAATGCGAGAGTATGTTAAAAAATAGCTCGACTATCAATTATACAAATATCAGTTATTACGTCACAGCTTTTTCCATTGATTGTAAGCACATACTAACTTTGTTTTAATTGAATATCTACTTATTTTGACGAATATTATAACTGAAAACTTAAATGACTTAAAAAAAAATTTTTTCCATTTTATGAATATATCTTTCTGATATTTATATTAATATAACTTAAAAACATTTCATATAACATCAGAAAAATACAAATAATTTTATTTCAATTGAAATTTTTAAATACGCAATTTTTGTAATTATAGAAGTTCATGAATTAAAAAATGTATGTTTTATCTTTAATTGTCATAAATAATTGATTCTGTTTATTGAAAAGTAATCTTTAATTACATACTGTACAATGATACTAAACAATTTTTATGCAGAATTGAATTATGCATGAATTATATTTCAATTATTGATAATTTTTCAAAAATTATATCCCAAGTATGATAGATATTGAAATCCAAATTGAATATTATATACAAAAATTATAAATTATAAATGAATTCAAAAAGAGAATTATATAAGAAAAATCGTAAAAAATATGCGCTTTTATACAAGATAGTATAAAGTAGCAATGTAAATATTTTGTACATTTGTTCTTGAAAACAATTTTTAGAATGTAACTGTTTTATGATCTATAAGATCAATGGCATGTTTTAGTGAAATTAATATTATTTTGTATTTCATATAATTTACAGGTATTCAATAAATCTAACAAATAGACCTCAATTTTATTATACACAATTAAAAGCACATTTTATGCATCGATAACGAATGTTGACACACACGTCTCACAATGAAAAAAACAATACACACACAAATTATTGCGCACACAACCGTGTATAAATCTACGTATGTGCGTCGTCGTGTATCAGATATTAACATTTGTGTATTTACATAATAGAAAAGGCAGAGCCTTGATTATTACTTTATTGTTATTTATATTTTTTGTGATCGTTTTAAGAAATCTAACAAGATAAACTACTATCAATGTTGTAATGAATTTACAAAAAGCTATTTAAAAATATTGAAGCATTTGTTCGAAATAACAAAGAATTATTAGAAAATTTAGTGCAATTTCATTGCAAAAAAAGAAAAGAAATGGTTTTATCTATCTACCCCTTTATTCCAACGCCACGTTATTTTGTGAACATATAATCATATGTAATCAAATGCTATTTTTTGGCATTAACGTGACTTCAAAAAATTCAAATTTACACAGATACATTATCAAAAATTATACAAAATCAACAAAAATAATATTTATCATAAGGTATTTCCATGTTATAATTTCTAAATATGAAATATTAGATTCAACTTATATTGTGTATTAAGTCACGCTAAGCCTTGTTTATATGTAACAAGTGTTATATATATAAAATCATTCTAGAAAACTGTTTATTCTGGATCGCTTTGAAGAGTCTCGCCATTAGTTAGAACTAACGCATCGTCATCAGCTTCATTATAATCGAGAGAAAGCATACTCTCTCTTCTTTTTTTCTTGTATGTCCTTTCATCGTCACTACCTGGTGCACTTTTGTCCCTTTTGGTCCTATCCCTACCCCTAGTTATTCTAGTTAGCACCTCTTCCCCATTAGTTTTATTGTTATTTCTATTATGACTTTTGCTTCGCAATATCCTCTTATTATTTCGACTTTCTTCATGTTCTTCTTCCCTATCACTTAATTCCTCATTTTCTACTTTAATGATCAAAGCAGCCGAATCACTTGAGCTTTCGTCGTTATGATCTGCTTGACTGGGTTTTCGTTCAACCCGTTCTGTTCTTTCAGTATTAGAAAACTCACACTGCGGCGATCGTTGTGATGATAACGGTGGAGTCCTAGCACCTTTGCACACATCACTATCTTCCATTGATTTTAAAGTCTTTATTTCCGAAATTGAATTTTCCTCGGAATCCTCCTTCTTTATTGGTGGTGTGTGAGGTGACAAACCATTTGTTAAATTATTTTCACTTGAATTTGCTTTTAACCCTGCATTTTCTTGTTGCAATAATGTAACTGATTCGCGAGCTTTACGCAATTCTTGTTGTAGGAAATAAATTGTGCTTTGCATTCCTTCAACGTCCTCGTCCAAATCTTGCAAGAATTCATCCAACTCTGTAATAGATATTACTAAATGTTAGTAGCTGCTTTAATCTACATATTAATGCTAGAATAATAAATAAATAACAAAAGCAATACCTGATTGTGATTTTTTCATTTCTTCACTGAAGTTTCTTTGAAGAGCAAGATCTCCTTCTAACTTAGCAATTCGTCCACTAGCAATCATACGACCTAATTCTTCATTTTCTTGATATAACAATCTGCATTTTGCCATTAGTCTTTTACCTGTATTACTACAAATAAAAAAAAATATAGAAGATAAAGATATTAGAAATTTAAATTTAGTATTTATTTTTATTAAAAAAAAAAAAAAAAAGTGAATTATTATTTACCTATCTGGTGTAAATTTCCAGGCACTAAGTTCATTTTGAGTGTCCTCTAATTTAGCTTTAGTTGTAACAAGTTCTTGCCTTAATTTTTGAATTAAAATATTAACAGCTGGATCTAATAAAGCAGATCTTAATGCCACAGCGGACGGAGCATGAGCAGCTTTCATTTCAGCAATCTGACTCTAAAAAAGAAGAGGAAAGAAGAGAAATTATATATTATGAAATTTTTTAATTAGTACTATATCTTTACTAAAAAGTGTAAAATCTACATACAATATATTCTTGTAACTCTTGTTCTTTTGAGGCAAGTCTTCTGACTAAAATCTTCTCTCTATGAGATGCTTCTGCATGTTGCTGTCTGTACTTGCTTTCAGAGTCCCTCAATGAAGATAGTTCACCTACAAAAAAATTTGTATCATTTCTCCTTTCAGTTCCTTCATTGTTTAAAGCTATCTATGTGTATCATCAATTTCTTTTAATTTCTTCATATAATTATTGTAAAATTAAATAGAACATATGACAATAAAGTATAATATGATAATAAATATACAATTATGATATAAATATACAATTTGTATTCTTTTTTAAAAAATTATAATTTTTAAAATTCTATTTCAAAAAAATGTATTAATTAATAATTAAAATTGAAGATATAACATTAAAAAATACTGAATTTCCATATTTTTTATAACTTTACTTATGTGTTTACATTATATAATATTTATTCACATATTTTAAATAAAATTATATTTTTATAATTAAATTATAATTATATTTTTATAATTAAATTTAGGCTATAATAATATTTTTTTAATTATTTTTTCTATTTTTAGTAATATTGCTTAAATGATATTAAATCATATAAATTTATGACACACATAGAGAGCTTAAAACCTTAAAATACATATGTATATAGTATAATGGTACAGAGTATTCTGTACAATCTTTTTTGATATTTTATAACTGTATACTTTTGGTGAAAGAAAGCATAGTGATAAAAATCTACTACATACTGTTTTGCCCTAAGTGCGCATAAACAAAATATGTTTTCATATGTATGTGACATTGATTGCCTAACAACTGACATTTTTAATTAGCGCATACTTTGAGTTTGGAGTCGTTGCATCGTGCCATTTGTGAGATTCTCTGTGCTTCCACCGAGACCAAGAGTGGACGTTATTTTTCTTCCATGAAAATAGATAGACTACTTGTTGCAGACACAGATGTTGTCACAAGATGACTTCCCGGCCTTATTTGATCAGGTTTGTATTTTTTGAGATTGGTACTTGGACATCAGGAAGTTATGGTGCAGGTACAAATGCATGCATGAATTGCGTTCATAATGGGAATAAACAGGAATGGATGTCTAGGAAGATAATTAAAATTGTTCAAATTTATCAGACATGTCTATATATAAGATGATATTAAATATATATTGGGATAAGAATTGTTAGGATTGGAAAAAGCAGCTGGAATTTCAGATCATAACTGCATCAATTAAAGGTTTCGTACTTCACCAAGACTTAGATTCACGCACCCCTGGCAAAGAGTTTTGTGAGCCAAAGGATGACATAGGGCCTTTGTTTTTACTCCTCTGAGTGGTATATTCAGAGCCAGCAAGGATGTTGTATTTCATTCAATCCTCGCAAAGTGGAAACTCGATATCCAATGTACACACAAACACACACGCACTTTCTCAGCTTCTGGCAGTGTGTTTTACTACACTGTAGATTTATACGTGGCACACTGCACGGTCACTTAAGAGCTCATATCAAAAGTAAGTTGTGCGTGTTTATTACAGTGAAAGAAATGATTCATAATGATTCACATAAAAAAAACCTTCAAATCTCTTCTTGTCACACAATATCACTTTTTTCCAATATACACTTTGCTTTTAGCAGTGAGTGATTTTTAATATATAGTAGCGCAATTTAACACCAGAGAGTGAAATTATGCATGTTTGCATAATATTATATTAAAGATTTATCTTTTTGTAAATCCAGTGTACATGACCGCCACATCACTTCTGCTCACCAAAAAAATTCCAAACACTGTACATATTGGCATCAATTTAATTACCCGCACTACACATCACAAATGTAGTTTTCAAAATATTACAATATTACTATATCACTAGCCTTATCTAAAATATATTTCCAAATTGATCTAATCAATGTTCTATATGGATACATAAATTTTCTACAATTGTAATTTGCTTATCGATGTCGTAAAAGATATTCTTAAAAATTTCATCTATATTATTATGATACTTATTTACTCAAAGTTTTTTCAATTTTAGGATTTACAACTTATCATTATTATTATCCAAAACACAGTACTAATAATATGTTTGATCCCTAATCTTAGCGTCCCTATAAGAGTCTTGTCTCATACAAGAGACTGTTGTGTTCTGGCATTCATAAATTCGCTTAAGAAATGTGGTGAGTGAGTTGGTCTCACTCAAGTGATCTCAGTACCTTCCTGAGCTGCCGCCTGGGCCTCTAGACACTCCACATACATGTCCTGTTCATGCCACTTGGCTGCTAGCTCGTCCTTTGTCATGCTGTCCAGTTGTTGCTGTGTTAGCTTCACACGCCTTGGCTGTCTAGGAGAATGAGGACTGCTTGGTTTCCCTCCTGTACTAGCGTTCTGAGGACTTCTTGGTGAGGATGGGCCAGCAGATTTAACATCGCTGCACTCCTCTGCCATTTTATTCCAGGTGTTATAAAAACCACACCCAGGTCCTTAAATAAATTTTGAAGTCTGCGTCTTCTTGTTTAACTTTTTAACTGCAACAAGTGCCTTGATGATATGCTGTCAGTGCTAGCATACATTTGTCTGAAAAGAATAAAAATATTTTTTCAGTGTAGTGCACATTATACTAATATAAATTAAATTTTCATAATTTCATAATTTAATTTGCAATTTCTTATAGATTTATCCTGACAGATCATTTCATATGTTAATAATAATATATTAATGTAAGCTGAATATTTCATTATTCATAATATAATATTAATAAATAATATATATAGTAGATTTTTCGATTACTTTCTCAGTATTTTATAATATTCCAGAACATATTCTTATAATTAAGGTATATGTAATTACAACTCTCCAAATTATAATACGAATTTGTTTTGAAACAATATATTAATATTAATATCGTGAAGATTTGTACGCACGAGTACGAAGTTGCTATGTATTGTTGTAGCTACATTGTAAACTTGTACAACTTGTACAACGGTACACTATACGCGTTATTTACTACTTCATTTTCATAGATAGATATTATATACATTTTCTGTACTAGAATAAAATTTTTTTAGGGCGCAGGTTCAGACCCGGCTTTTAGAACATACCGCGTGATTGAAGAAGATCACGTGGCACGTTTAAGGTTTTATTGCGACATGCAAGGTAGGGAATGTAGGATCCAGTTATCTATAGTCGAAGGGAACATTGACGCCATTATGTCGACATGTCTGCCATGAACGAGAATTTTGCGATATAAGATCAAAAATTATTTATTTGTCTTCTTTCGAGCATCATCGAAATTACTTACATGTATGAATTATAAAGTAGATTTAAAAATATGTCTGTAAAATAGTGCACTTATTGTCATACAGCCGTCCAGATGTTTAATTCAACTTCAATAAATCAACACTTTCCAAACATAGATCGTCACAAATTTATTACTATGTAATATCATCTAAGAATATAATTTCTGCTGTCTTCACATACCTGATATAGTGACACGCCTATCGTTCCATTGAAAAATGTTTGTGTCCAGTATTCGATATAACATGAAACGATGAAACACGACACCATGTATGTGTATACCCACAAACATGTATGTACATACATACGTATGTATATATATATATATATATATATATATGTTTTTGTGTGTGCGCGCGCGTGTGTGTGTATGTGTATATATATATATATATGTGTGTGTATATATATATATATATATATGTATACAAATGTAATTTCGTAGCCTGTTATAAGTGGAAGCTTTTGTTAGCAGGTTTCTCAATTAATCAATTGGCAAAAAGAATAAACGTTATGTACGAATATTGCCTCGGTGTCCTGCGCATTCCAAATGCGACATTAATATACGCACATAATATAAGTATCGTATAAATTGTCGAAAATCATATCACTACAGGCTAACACAGCGATGTAACTAATCACGAACAATGATTACTGCCGACATTACATTCAGAGTGACTAAAGAAACGAATATCAGCGCATGCTCCAATCACAATTGTCCAACTACAGTGCTGTCATAGAAATGTACCAAACGTTTTTTGTATAAACACAACGTTGAAAATGCCGAAATAAAAAGAAAACAATATTTCAAAAAATCACCACCGGTCATAGATCCCACAATTTCTTTATACGTTTCTTGCAACTATTTACTGTTGATCTTTATGGTTTATTAACTTAAGTCGAGTATTACGATATGTAAAGTATCTAGTACATATATTTCAAATATCGAATCATAAACTTCTGCACTGACAATGAGTACATTATTGTGAAGTTCTAACTGATCTAAAACATTTCAAGATGGCATGGAGAGCCCGCCATTTTCAAAACATATAATGATAGAAATACTTCACATAAATGTATGGTTTCTTCCAAATTAATGTACTTACTACTACTTGTTTGAAACAACATATATTCTTTTAAGTATTACAAAATAATTAAATACTCCAGTAATAAAATATCTGAGTAAATCTTCGTTTAAAATGATAATAATAAATGATGATAAAAATAACAGTTTATTCCTTTGAAAGGCTAACTCTTGAATTTTTCTTTATTCCTGGGCTTGTCTTCATAGATTTTGTTGGTTTTGCTGTTTTCGAAATTTTTGTAGGTGGTTTAATCATTGAGATACGACTACTTGTAGTTTTAAGTGTGTCCAAGTTTGACAAAGCTTGTTCAGGAGATGCAAGCTTCTTTGTTCTCAATGAATCTCTACAATTGTAAAATGAATTTAATTTAAATATTTACATATATAACATTAATAAGTAAGATTCAGTTATACCTGCTCGATAAATCAGAATTAATTGTGAGATTTGCTTTACTCGCGCTGCATTTTCTACTTGATGAAAATTTTTGTCCTACATCCGAAGATTTTAGCAACGAGGTATTAGAAGTAGCAGATGAAGGAATGTAAAAGCTACTGCGACGAAGTGTGGGTTTTACATTCTCTTGCTCAGATTTTACGTTTTTCCGTGTCATAGATTTAGAAAGCATTGGTTCAATATTACGTCGCACTCTCGGTATTATTGCTGGATTTGTTTTTGCTTGCGTTTGTTGTTCACGCATCAAACAACTTAATTTTGATGACGATTTGACAGTTGTAATTGTATTTGATCGAATTGGCTTATGGCAAGGACTGACAATGACAGCAGGAGGCATATTTGCCGGTGCTGATCTTACGGATGCGCTATCATTATCTATTACGATGATAAACAAATTTATTAATAATTTCTAATGGAATATTATTCTTTCAAATAATATCTATATAAGATAATCACCTTGAATAGGTGAAATGTCATTCAAAAGTTTTGGTTTCTTGACCAACAACACCTCAAGAGCCTTTTCTAAATTTTGATGTGCCCCTACGATATATTCAGTTATATTTCGGGGATTATCAGTTACACTCTGTAAGGAAATTTTTCCTAAAGAATTGGATAATTCAGAAAATACAGTAGGAGAACTTGCAAGCTTTGGAGGTGATGGTCGTGGTACTCCACCCAAACTTCCGGTTTCGATATCCCACGTTTTTTGACGTTCTAAAGTAGGTTTAGATTGTATTGGAGATGCAACATGACTTATAAATGGATTGGAATTTATACTTTTACTTCTTTTCTCAGGAGCGCACTAACAATGCGTAAACAAATTAATTAAAAAAATATGAAAAATAAAAATACAAGTATAAAAAAATATTAATATTATAAAATACCTGTAAAGTCATATCATCTGTACGAAGACACATTTCCGGTTCTGTATGACTTCGTGTAACTCTAATTTCTTTTGTAACTTTACGTTCATAAAAAACATTATTTGCTTGTGAAGCGTTTAAAATGTCTGTATTACGATTGACATTCGGATCGTATGCAATTATGTCGAATAATTTATGTGATACATCGCGTAATAGTCGAACAACGTCTTTTGATAAACGGGGTAAGAGGGTACTACCAGTTTCTTCGACTTTTTGTGAAATATTATCCTGCAAATAAATGCAATGTTAAATGGAATCTTTCATTATTAAAGTCTCATTGATTTTCATTGAAAATATACAATTAGCTAGACAGAAAAATTTTCCTTATTATATTAAATTTTAATTATTAACTCTTTTATTATCCGAATTGACGCTAGAACTATTTTTGATATATCTCAGAAATATTAAATTCTATAATGTATATTTGCTTTTATCTGCAAGTAATACATTATTTTATTATTTGAAGCTATTTATATACATAAGCATTAATTACTTATAATTTCAATTCTTATGCGCATTCTAATGTGTTTAATGTTCTAAACATTAATACAAAAGTTTACTCATTTTTGCATAAATATCTTTTTTATAATAAACCAGTATTGATAGAAATTGTTACGAAAGAAATTGTTAATTTTTACGTACAGTACTTCCAACAGGTCCGGTCCCACTAATACTCCAAAAAGATGCGTCTTTAATATGATCAGGATTAGGACATTTGCATGCAATTCCTCCTAATTCTAATACTGCTCTCATGTTAGAAATATTACATTCGATCGCAACTCTAAGAACTCCTTGCTCAGATGTTTCGATCTTATTATCATTCTTTCCCGAGACAAGTGGATCATTGTACTTTTCAAATGAGAGCAGTTTAAATCCAATCGCTTGTAAAAAGCTGGCTAACGTTGGTACGTCCGGCTTCGTTGAATGTGGAGTATCGCGCATTTCATCATTGTCCCAGTCAATTTGCGCATGTATGCCGGTTATCCATTTGAGGACCCACTGATAAAACTTTCGCTGTGCACTGGAAGCATTTTGATTACTAGAAACAGACGTGCCGATATCCATCCCGAAGAACTTGTAAACTGAGTGGCATGTAGAGATAAACGTTCTCGAATTTGTGTTCAAATTTTTTTTTACTGGTAACCGAAATTATTAGTAATGAACTTACACGTATACCGGTTTATTTATATAATAACAGTTCTTATTATTGGATTATAAACGTTCAAAATGTTACGGATAAATGAAAATATTTGTGTATAAATTTAATCTTAGTGCAAAGATTTTTTTTGCTATTTTTCTTTCTCAAATTATATACGTATATTTACATGATATATATTTCTTATAAACAGAATGTGAAATTACAGTAAAGTTTAATCATTTAATAGTACATAAAGAATATTATGTTGACGTTGAATAAATATTTATTTAATGCATATAATGTTTTTGTTCAATGATGTGATTAGAATAATCGTATAATATATGGAATGTGTATTTTACATTTGCTAAAGAAAAGGTTTATCATATTCTTACATAATTATTTTGTATATTTTGTTCTTACAAAATATGGATATTATTTAATAATTAATTCAAATTGTATTTGAATTCTTTTATTTAACATATTATATTGAATTCTTTTATTTAACATACATAAAAGTTGTATTGTAGATTTTATACATTATTCTAATTCACGTTTTAGCAATTATTTATTATATTGTATTAAATATTTTTAGGTTATACTTAAGTACAAATAAAATAAGTAGAAAATTACGTTTAATTCTCTAATCTATAGGTAAATAACAATTGGTATGAATAATAATTTATGGATCCTATAAAACCAATATATATGCAATGAAGAGTTAATTTTTTTAAATTGTGAGTAATAAATTAATGTTTTTTCGCTGATTTTATAAATTTATTTGATTTGTTATATTGTAAATTATTATTTATTTCACTTTTTTTATTTTAGAATTTATAAAAACGCAATTATTTTATAATGGGGATCTTAAGACCTGCATTAGTGATTATTGGTGCAAGTACACAACTATTGCCACATACTTATTTCCTAGAACGATATAGAAAATTTAGAGCTAGATATGAGTAAGTATAAAGAAATATGAGCAAATATTAATTATTTTATAATGCGATTTTATCAAATTTTGTAGCTTTGAAGATAATGAAATACCAGTTCGAGAAGATATTCAACGAAGATTTGAAGAAGTAGTAGATGATTTAAATCTATCCTGTTCATTAAAGATAGAAAAAGAACGTATTAAACTTTTTAATGTTCATGATATAGAAGTATTTCATGCTGGATCATTATATACAAAATCTGGTGGGGTAGTTGGTATCCCAGCAAATTTTGAATATGAAAATATTAACAGCATAACTGATGGAACCATATCCATTCAGTATCCAGCACTTAACTGGGATTTAGAGGCGATTAAGGAATTCCATACCTCTTTAGTACTTTCAGAAAATGCCCAAAAATTTGCTATGGCTCGAGAAATTTTAAAAGTTGCAACATTTGACCCAATATATAAATTTTGCAATGTATTTGGAGATATGATAATAGCAATTGTAGGTTATGACCTGCTTTATTCAAAATTAAATGGCACTAAACAACAAAAAGTCATACAAGCTTTCTGTATAAGTATTACTGCAATTGTAACTTTCTTTTTAACCGCACTAACTCATTCTGCATTGGATACATATAGAGAAAAAGAAGTCAATGAAATAATGTCTAAACTTGATAGTAAATATATTCAAGGTGGTGTAGAATATTATGAAAAATTATCACAAAAGAACAAAGCCTTAAGAGTATTATTGGGAACAAAGGGTACATATTTATATACACCTACTGGAAATCAAGTTGGCTTGTTTGGAATTTCAACAAAACTTCCAAATTCTGATCAAATAAATTACTTTCAAACAAGATTGCAGAATATTTCATCACAACTAGTGTAGTATTTATTTTTCAAATATCCTGTATAGAAAATAATGATAATAAAACTGATAGTGCTTTCTAAATTGATTTTATTTATTAATACATATTAATTATACAATTTATGTACAATAAAAATATTATTTTTAAAGATACTTATCTATATAAAATGAAGTTTCAAGTTAAATTATTTACAAAAAATATAATTTTTCATTTTATGTAAAAAGATTACAAGAAAGCAAATATATCTTCGATAATTTTATAACGATAAGTTTTTATTCTATTAATAAATTTAAAAACGGTTATAAAAGTTGATAAATTGTAGCTTGCTTGTAGATAAATAGTTCGTAAAAATGGTTAGACACTCAATGAAAACTTGTCGATATTTTAAACGGCTATAATTTCGTGAAAAATAATAGTATAACAATCCATCGGCTCATTTTAAAACGTATTTTGACTTTAGAGTTCAACTATTTTAAAACTGTATTATGTAGTGAATAGTAAAATGGGGATAATTTCCTTTAAAAAATAATAAAAATTTAAACATTTGTAAAAACTCGGAAATTTTTTAATGAAACTTTTATAATTATATCTATCAAATCTTGAAAATTGATTTTTCTTCTTTACAACCATTTCTTAAAATTTGCCGTATGATTGTCTTTTTTGCTATTTTATAGAATTTTGAATATTAGAATTATGCAATGAAAATTCAATGAAATATTAGAATTTTCTAAATTTTTATCATTTAATCTCAACATTTAAAATTTAATAAAATAGTGAAAAAAGTCGTACAGCAAGTTTGAAGGAATCGTAAAAGGAAAGTTTCAATCTTCAAGATTTTGATGGATTCAGTTATAAAAAAAATTACAGGAGAAATATCACACTTTAAAATGGGCCCAAAATTATGATTTTTTTTTCACAAAATTATAACAACTTAAAATATAGACAGATTTTCATCGAGTATCCAAATACTTTTGCGGACCGGTGTATATATATATTAAGAAACAAGATAACAATCTAACATTGCTTCTATCTGAAAACTGTGTAAATCTTTTACAGTATATATTCTCTACATATTATGTATCATATATTGGCAGAATAATAGTCATCTTTAAAATATATATTATAAATAAATACAAGATACTTACAATCTAATATACAAAAGTACTTACATAATTTTTAAATATACAGAATTTTGCACTATGTGAGACCTAGAGAACCAAGCTGAAATATAAAAAAAATCAAGATTGTTTTATACTGTTTTATATTAAAGTACATTTATATATAATATATTATAGTAAAGGTTATAAGTATGTAATATACATTAAAATAAATGAAATATGCTTCAAAGAAATTAAAAAAGTTAATCAAAAAGGTAATTTCATTTATGATATTTGTTTTTGTTAAATTCGCTGCTATTTTATAAAAATTTTTGATTTTTGTTGTATCAAACATTTTTTATTTAAAAAATTTGAAAAATATTTTACCAGTGTCATTTTATCTTCTTCTTTTTTAAGTACTTTTGCTGTTTGTTCTTGATCAAACTTGACAACTGCAGCAATCACTCTAGCAAGCACCATTGTTTCTCTTCCCATCATATATTCAAATAAAATATTTCTGAGATATTCAATCTCTGTTGAATCCTCTAATGTATCATGTCTTAACTTCATTAATTTTCTAAGTTCAGCTAATTCTCGTCTCTGTGCTGTTAGTGTTTGTTGGAGAGTGTGGAAAGAACCAGTATTTGATTGTACAGCTGCCATTGCAACTCGTGAAGTGCTCTCTAATTCCTAAATAAATTAAAAAAATGAATAGAAATTAATTTTAGTTTTTTATTTTATTTAGTTTTTATTGATTATTTTCATGCAATTATACATTAAAAAATAATATGGCAAAAGTATGATTAATAAAATTAAGTTGTTTAAATTTGAAAAATCTTTACCTCATGAATTATATCAGTTTGTATATCAGGCTGAAAAAAACATAAATATAAATAAAATTATAAAAAATAAAATTACATGAAACTAAAATAAATACAAAAAAAAGAATATTTAAAAATAAATAAAATATAAAATAAGACATAATTATAAGGTGTGATAAATTTTAAACTTCATTTTAAATAACCAACCCTTCTTTCATTTCGCCATTCCCGTGTTAATTCATTAATTTCTTCCTCGTGTTTTGCTTCCAATGTGTCAGTTTTTTGTTGTACTATTGATTTCCATTTCTTTTCTATTTCTCTAATTTCATCTGTATGTTCCTTCTTTATTATTGTAATTTTTTCCATTAACTGGTTTATATCTTTTGTTTTTTGTGATATTAAATTTTTATTTTCTAAAATTAGATTTTCTATTTGTTCTGATTTAGCTGTCAATTCTATTTGAAAATCTTTTAATTGTTCTTTATATTGTTGAATAAGATTTGATTCATAATTTTGTTGACGATCTAAATAGTAAAAACAATAGTTTTATATTTAGTATATTTAGTATTATTATTGAATATTTATGCATTTATAAAAGACTTAAAGGTAGAAAATTGAATAAAGTATATTAAAAATATATTAAACTATATTACCAAATCGTTTCTCCAATGCAGCATGTAATTCTTCTTCCTTATCATGTAACTGAGCTTGAAATTCCTTAACTAGTTGTTTTAATCTCATACTTTGTTCTTCCTCATTTGTTTTCAATTCTTGTTTCAAAGTATCCACTTGATTTTTTAATTCATTACTAATGAAATGCATTTCCAATTCTTTTGCTTGGAATGTTATTAATGCTTCATCTAGTTGTGCTTCTAATTTTTTATTTTTTTCCTCTAGTTTATCATTATTTTTGGTAGAAAAATCATCTACAGTTTTATTATTATTTATATTTTTCATTTCTTCATTTAGCGTAATATTCGATTCTCTAAGAACTTTTATTTCATTTTGTAGTTTAATAATCGTTTCTTTTAAATCTTCAATATTAGTTGTTGATGGGTCAGTTTCTATTGCTACTTCCTCCTCTATTGATGAAGATTTCAATCTTTCAATTTCTTCCAATAGTTCCATATTTTTAGTATCTAGTAATTTTAACTCTGCCACTTTTTCATCTAATATAAGTTTTAATTCATCTATTTCCATCATTAATTGTTGTTTTGATACATCATCATTCTTTATTTGAGACAATAGTTCCACATTTGTATTTTTTAATGCATCAATTTCATTTTTGTATTCAGTATTTTTGGATTCTATTTGATCTAAATTAAAAACTGCAGATTTTAAATTATTTACGTAAGATTGAAGTTTTGTATTTATATTTTCTAATTCTGCAATTCTATTTTTTAAAGATAAGTTTTCAGTAACTAGTTTACTGTTTTCTGATTGTATTTCTTCTAAATCAATTTTTATTTTATTTAAACTATTTATTTCCAATCTTAAGTTATTCATTTCTTCTTCAACATTTTTTAATCTTGCCACTTCTTTGTCCAAAAATACTAATTTCGTTTGAAGTTCTTTATTTATTTCTTCCATTTTCGTATTATTTTCTAATGTTAAATTTAATTTATCTATTTCATTACGTAAATTTGTATTTTCTTTTGCAAGATATTCTTTAGTTTCTTCTGCTTTTTTTTTATATGAAGTTAATTCTTCAAGTTGGAAATTTAGTTCCTGACTGTTAGATTGTAATTTTGTATTTAATAATGTAATATGACTATTTAAATTATCTATATCTTGATTTTGTTCACTTAACTGATTTTTGCATGATTCAATTTCTTTTTCTAATTGTGCATTTTCAGTTAATAATTGTTGATTATATTTGTCATAATCTATAACTTTTTGCTTTAAATTTTTATTAGATTCATTTAATTCTTGATTATGCTTCAAAAATTCGTTTTGTTTATCTTTTAAATTTTTATTTTCTAAATTTACTTCATTTTGAATTAATTTTAACCTTTCTAACTCAGCATTGATTGCTGTATTATTATTTTTTAATATTACTATTTGGCAGTTTTCAGATTTCAACATATTCATTTCATTTTCTGATGTTTTTAACTGCTCCAATAATTCTATATTTGAAGCTTTTATTTCACTAATTTCATCATTTAACTTTTGGATAGTGGCATCTTGTTTTTGTTTAATATTTTTTAACTTCGTTAATTGCTGAATTTTTGTTTGTATCTTTTGTTGTAGAGTTTCATTTGATTTTGTTAATTCAATGATTTCATTTTCACGTTTTTCAATTAACTTTGTATGTTTTTCATCTTCAAGTTTTAAATTAACTAAAAAACTTTCTTTATTTTCTAATTCTTCATTTAAAGTACTCATTTTCTTATCCTTATCGAATAAATTTTCATTTAAAATTTTAATTTCCAATTGTAGAATGTTTATTTTTTCTTTTAATTTATCAGAATTAAGGTTTTCAGATTTCAATAATGCAGCAGTTTTTGTTGCTTGTACATATTTCTGTTCTAATTCTTGTAATTGTTTTGTATTATTATTTGCCTCTTCAAGTTGTACTTTCAAATCACATATTTCATCTGAAAGCAATTGATTTATAGCATTGACATTATTAAGTTTTTCTTGTAAGGATTTAGATTCTATCATTAATAATTTCACTTGTTCCGGTAAATTTTGTAAGTCGTACAATTTGAAATTGAGATTATCTATCTCGGCTATAAGTTTACGATTTTTTGTATTAACTTCACATTGTTGTTCCAATTTTATAGACATTTCATTTAATTGTTTATTATAATTTTCCAAGTTTATTTCTAAATTAGATTTAAGATACATAGTATCTTTTAATTCAGTTTGTAATTGATTATATTTTTGTTTAAATTCTTCAAATTCTTTCAGTTCAGTTTGAAAATTTTTTATTTGCAAATTTACATTATTTTGAATAATATCATTTGTTTTCAGAAAAGTATCAAATCCATTCTTTAAGACAGAAATTTCATTATTAATCTCTGTGATGTATTTTACTGCATTGTTTTTAATATAAATGTTATCTTCTTTTAATTTTTTTGCAGAAATTTTATAATTTAAAATATTTTTAATTAAATTATTTTTCTCTTCGTAGAGCAAATTAATATTAGAACTATCTGTTTGAAGTCTATTTTTAAGATCAGAAATAATAGATTTACAGGTTTCAAGTTCTGTGCACACTCCTAGTAATTCCTTGTTTTTAATTTTTAACTCATTGTTCAACTTAATTATTTCTGTATCGTCTTGTATTTTTTCTTTAAAAGTTTTTATTTCCGTTTCCTGAATTAATAATTTTTCTTTCGTTTTTTCAAGAATTGTTTTATATTCATGAACTTTAGCATTGTAACTTTCACATACCTTATCTCTATCAATTAGAGCATTCCTCATATTTTCTAGTTCCTTATCAAGACTTTGTATAGTAGCCTGCAATTTTTCAATTGTTGTTTCTCCTTCTTTTTTTCTTTCTTCGGCAATAATTTTTTGTGCCTCTTGTTCATTTTGAAGCTCTGCATATTTTAATTTGTAATTTGAAAATTCCATATACAGTTTTTCTTTATCTGTTTGACATTCTTTAGTAAGCTTTTGTAATTCTTCTAATTTATTTTTTGTTTCTTGAAGTTCAATTTCCTTTTCATCTAATTTACATTTTAAATTTTGATATATTTCAGTATCATGCACTTTTGTATTTTTTTCTATATTCTCCTTATTACAATCTTCTTCATGATACTTTAAGCCTATCTTTTCATCCAAATCAATTAATAACTGCTGCATTTCTGATTTTCCATTTGAGGTATCTTGTACAATTTCCTTTTTTTCCAAATCTGCATTTTGAGTATTAGATGATAATTTTAGTTTCTCTAATTCAACTTTATATTTACTAACAATTTCACTTAAATTCTCTTTGGATTCTGTCATATACTTCAAATCCAATTGTAGCTTTTTGATTTGCTCTTCTTTATCCTCTAATTCTCTATGTATTGAAAGTTTATTTTCAGCTAAAGATATTACAGATTCTTCTTCACGTTTTTTTAAAATAATCATTTGATCTGTTAAATTTTTAATTTCAGTAGATACAGAATTTAATTCTTTTTCTTTCTCTGTATAAGAATTTCTTAATGTTTCATATTGAGATTCTAATGTATTTTTTTCTGTTAATATTTCAGTAAACTTTTCTTTATTTCGTTTTAATGACTCTTTGTACTTCAAAACAACATTTTCTAATTTTTTTAATTTGTCTTTCAGTTGTGCATTTTCAACTACCAAAGCATTCTCTTCAGAACTAATTGATGATCCAGTACTTAGATCAATGAGATTATCTTTTAAATTCCCTTTATCATTAGTAGTATCTGATAAAGTCATTTCTAAGTTTGGTCCAGTTATTTGTAAAAGTTTAATCTGTAATGTATGTAACATTGAAATATGATAAACAATAATAGTAAACTTTTTAATATTACCTTTGTATTCAATGTACTTATTATATGATCTTTCTCTTCAATATCATTTCTCAATGCTTCTTCTAAATGAGCTTTGGCCTGTTGTTCTAACTGACACTGTTCTTTCAAATCAGCTATTCGTCTTAATACTTTATCTTGGGTTTCCACTAAAACTGATTCTAACTTGCCTTTTACTCTTTCCAATTCTTTATAATGTGTTGCTAAATCTGTATATCTCCCACGATATTTATGATATTTTGCTTGCATTTTCCTATATGCTGAATATATTTGATCTTTTGAGACCTTGTCCAATTGTGGATTTATATTTTCGTCTATTTCACTAGCAGACTGATCTATATCAGACTAGAAGCAAAAATAGACGATTAATTACATTTAAATATTAATCATTTTTCAAACTTCATATTTTTATAATCATAAATGTCCTATGATACCTGCAAATGATATAAATTAGCAGGACTTTCGTAAATCGGAAAAAGAGATGAAGTGTCACTAGTAATACTACTGACTGATGATCTTCTCGAAATGCCTATGGAATTCGATGTAGGTGACATTAAATCTACATTTTGAAAACCATGTTTAGCAGGACTGTTTTTGGGAGTTTCTGTAAATAGTTATTTTTATATTTAAAATTTTTTTAATTTAAAAAAATAAATAAATAAAAAAAAAAAAATACAAGAAAAGAAGAATGGCTTACCATCCCCTTCTTCTGTTAAACTAAAATTCTCATTAGATACAGGTAATTCTTGTACTGAATTGTTGGATAAAGCAGGAGATACAACTGCCTAAATTAAATCAAGTTATTAAATATAGATATGAAAAATATATTCTTACAAAAATAACAATTTCCTTTCAATAAGTTTCGCAATAATTTCATTTTACTAATATATATTACATATTACAAGAATACATTATTTGTGATTTAATTCTAAATGAAATGTCAAACCTGTGCTAGTTGTTGCATGCTTGCTTGTAACCTGGCAGGTGATTGTTTCATTTCTTCTGCAAGTTTATCTTTAAACTTTTTAAACATTTTGACAAAGTTTGTATGATATCCTCCAGATTTTATTAAATTACATGAATTTCCATAGACTTTTATTTACGTCAAATCAGGTTGGAATTGAAAGCAAAAGCTGTAAAAATTGAAATGCAACCACAAACATTATCCTGTATTGTTCGAGTAAGTACTTTCAGGGAATAAACGAATCATTGATTATCAAATGTAATATTTAATTCTTTGAGATAATGTGTCTTTACTGCGATGTTAAAAGTTTCACGTGAAAATCATGTATACGTAGCACAGTTATTGCCATTGATGTTGATAATAGTAGATTGAACTGACATGAGATTATTTTTGAATGAACATATTTGAATTGGTTCATTGTGTGACTTTTTTTTGTACTATACACAATTTTATTTTTTTGAATTCATTGACTTCTTTTAGAGTAAATAAATAAATGAATAAATATAGTTGAAGATGGAAATTATTGCAACTAGAATTGGAATTAACATATATTATAGGATGATCGTACAATTTTTATTTGTGAAAAGATATTTTAATTTTTTTATAATATATTCAGATATTTAAAATATAAATTGAAATGAAACATTGGAATAAAATATATAATTGTCTGATTATAGCATAATTTCTTCGATATTTCATTCGTATTTTACAATCACCATATGTGTAAAATCTAGTTACTTTCTTGCGTTAAGAATAAATATAAGCATATATAACATAATATTAGTTTACATGTGGAGTAGGATACTATTGCTTAGATCCTTTAATTTGCAAGGAATTACAATAATTCTATTTTCAATGATTTGATGCAAGGGGAGAATACTTTTATCTTGTAAAAAATGGTATGGTATTATCAAACTTAAAATAAATAAATAACAATTAATAACCTAAAATTAGTTTTATAGGTGAGAAATTCCTACAAACGATCAATTTTATTTAATTTATCTTCAAATAAAATTTTTATAATTTCATCTGAGTATTTAAAATTTTTAATCTTTTTTTATTTTATACTTGATAATATATAAGAATTGTAATATATTGAATCAAATTTGTCGAAATATATTTCAAAAATAATTGCATACTTTTATAATTTTTAATGATATATGTAATTCCATATGTACATATTAACATACTTAATTATTTTTAAATTTAACTCATATAATACATTGCAGGCTTCAAATGATGGTATACCTCCACCTACTGCTGTGCCAGGGTTTCCACCGGCGACTCCAAACATTGCTTCCAGTTTTGTTCCACCTATTATGCCTACTGCACCATTTATTCCTCCTCCTAATTTACCACCTGGTCCACCTGGTATAATGCCTCCACAGTTTTCTATACCTCCACCTGGTTTTAGCTTTCCAATTAGTGCTGCTCCTCCACCTGATGCTGGAGTCATAGGTTAATATCATTAATTTGAGAATATTTATTACTTTTTAAGAGTAATATACTTTATTCAAATATGACTTATATTTTAGCTGCACCTCCTCAAATAACAGCACCAGGTATTCCTCCTCCCGCACCTATAGCAAGTGAAGTCACATCAGGTGTTCAATCTATTGCAACAACAGATAAAAAGACTGATTGGACAGAACATAAGGCTCCTGATGGAAGAACATATTATTATAATAGTGTTACGAAACAATCTTTGTGGGAAAAACCAGACGAACTAAAAACACCTAGCGAATTGCTTTTATCACAGTGTCCTTGGAAAGAATATAAGTCAGAAAATGGAAAAGTATATTATCATAATGTAACAACTAAGGAATCCAGATGGACTATACCTACAGAGCTAGAAGAATTAAAAGCAAGAATTGCAGCTGAAGAAGCTGCAGCTGCAGCTGCAGCAGTTGTTGCAAGTGCTACAAATACGTTAGTAAAGATTATGTTTTTATTATAATCCATGATATAATTAAAAAAATTTATGTACAATTATCAATATTTTGCTTTCTCAGTATAGTTCCTGCAGGTATTCAACATTTATCTCCAAACGTTGCAGTTACTAATACATCTCAAACTAGTACACCAGAACCAGGTGGAAAGTCTGCAATTGAACAAGCTATGGCTGCAACTCTTGCAGCGATTAATATTCCTACTCCACCCGCAAAACCAGATGAAGACAGCAATTCTGCAAAAGGATCGGCAAATGATAGTCGTACTAGTACCCCTGAACCAAAAATGCAATTTAAAGATAAGAAAGAAGCAATTGAAGCATTTAAAGAATTGTTAAGGGAAAGAGATGTACCATCGAATGCTACATGGGAACAAGCAGTAAAATTAATTCAAAATGATCCTAGATATCCACAAATGAAGAAATTAAATGAACGTAAACAAGCATTCAATGCATATAAGACACAAAAACTTAAAGAAGAACGCGAACAAGAAAGATTAAGGTAAGTAATATATGATATTAACATTTTCATATGATATTAACATTTTAATATAAGAAACAAAAAAAGAAAAATGACAAGTTGTTTCAAATAGATTGAAGAAAGCCAAAGAAGATCTGGAACAATTTTTATTGGAAAATGATAGAATGACAAGTACAACAAAGTATTATAAATGTGAAGAAATGTATGGTAATTTGGAAGTGTGGAGAGCTGTTGGTGATTCAGATCGCCGTGACATTTATGAGGATGTTGTTTTTAATTTGGCCAAACGTGAGAAAGAAGAAGCAAAACAATTGAAAAAGAGAAATACTAAACGATTAGCTCAAGTTTTAGATACTATGACCGACGTTACATACAGAACTACTTGGCAAGAAGCACAAGCATTGCTTTTACAACATGCAGCGTTTGCAGAAGATGCAGATTTGTTAGAAATGGATAAAGAAGATGCATTACTTGTCTTTGAAAATCATATACGTCAACTAGAAAAGGACGAAGAAGAAGAGAAAGAGCACGAGAAAAAACGTAGAAAAAGACAAGAACGAAAAAATAGAGATGCATTTATAGTAAGTTGTAGAAAATTATGAAATTTTGTATTATAATATATTATATTGTTATAAATAATGTTTTCAATAAGAATAATTGTTTTATAGAGTTTATTGGACGAACTTCATGAACAAGGAAAATTAACGTCAATGTCATTGTGGGTAGAACTTTATCCAATGTTATCTGCTGATTTAAGATTTTCAGCTATGCTTGGACAATCTGGATCAACACCATTAGATCTTTTTAAATTTTATGTTGAAGATTTGAAATCTAGATTTCATGATGAAAAGAAAATTATAAGAGAGATTTTAAAGGACAAGAATTTTGAAGTGCAAATTAATACTACTTTTGAAGAGTTTGCAACTGTTGTATGTGAGGATCGAAAATCTGCAACATTAGATGCAGGTAATGTAAAATTGACATATAATTTACTACTTGAAAAAGCTGAAGCTCGAGAGAAGGAACGAGTAAAAGAAGAAACTAGAAAGTTCAAGAAATTAGAAACTGGCTTTAAAAATTTACTGAAAACTCTTAACGTTGATTATCAAATGACGTGGGAAGATGTAAGAAGCAAAATTGAAGAAGAACCAGATTTCAAAGCAATAACATTAGAAAGCGAGAGAGTTAGAATTTTTAAGGAATATCAACATGAACTTGAGGAAAGTTGTAGTCATCATCATATTAGAAGTAAAAAAAAGAAAACAAAGAAGGTAAAACGGAAATCACGCTCACGATCACATAGTGTAAGTAAATTATATAATTTTAAATTCTGAATATTTGTTTCAAAAAATTATTTTATTCGTTAGGAATCTGAAGGTAGTGATAAAGGTTTGAAGAAAAAAAGACATAAATCAAGATCACCGAGTGTTCCCAGCAAATCCGACAGTTCCGAGTCTGATACTAGGAAATCAAAAAAAAAGAAGAGCAAAAAGAAGAGAGGTCGTAGTCACTCTGTAAGTCCAAACAATTGTGCAATATAATTAATAATCTTAAGTTTAAATTTACGTTTAATAATTACACATAATTGAAATAGCGATCGCATTCGAGACTTCCATCTTCCGAAGAATCACCGGAAAGAAAACGGAAAGAGGAGAAACATAGAAGAGCTTCTGCTCATAGTGAAGGATCTATTACTGAAAATGCTGAACATCATGAACTTTCAGAGGATGAATTGGAAAAGCAAAGGGCACAATTACTTCGCGAATTACAAATGCAACAAGAAGATAATTGAAAAGAATCTAATATTCTATGTTATTTTAGATAACGGCAATATTAAATTAAATGTAATTTTATATAAATTGAATTATTCTTTTATTTCGTTAATATATTGATAACATTTTCTTATAAATCACACAAGACGGATTAGTTGAAACAGTCCTATGGTATGTAAAATATGGTATAAATTTATGAAACTACATCCTTTCATATGACGTATATGAAGTTAATATTCTGATTACATATTTTTTTAAAGATAATTTTTACGATACATTGTTTCAAGATCTCGCAAAATTTATATTTACGCGTCTTTGATAAAATATACAATAAAAACATTTGGAATGCGAAAAAAATCTATAGATCCTTTGTGTATGTCCCATTCATTTTCCTTATATAAAAAGATAAAGTAACAATTACAATTACTGTAAACTGCAGGTTCTTTTAATTTCATTAATGTTACTTAGATGATTTTTTTCAATGTTTTAAGTATTGGATAATCTTTTACAATTTTTACGAAATAACAATCCAAATAAATTATCTTATGAATCGTTTAACTAATTTATATATTATAATTTTTCGTTGCTATGTTATATTTTTATTCGAATTAACGAAGGCACTACTTTTCGAAATGTCATTACGGCCCTGTTTCATAGCCGAATTGACGGAGGGTGGGGTATATATGGAGGGAGGTTTAGTTCGATGGTTGCCAGTTGCCACTGTCGACTTTCGTAGTTTCGACAGATCAGCATCCTGATCGGTCTCTCTCTTTATAGTGATTACAGTGTGCAAAATTCATTGACAATTTTGCAAAACTTTTACGACGAACGTGAAAGTGTTCATACAAAAAATTCTTACGGTATATAAGTCAAAAGAATCGAACTAACAATGTTGAGTCTTTGCCGTCAAGCGTTAATAGTTAACAGTCAAAAGTGAGTAATCAAACGCGAAACTATTAGTAAACTATATGTATAGATGAAACTGAAGATTCCGTAGTTAAGTGTTTTGTCTTTCTTTTTTTTTTTATCGGATATACTAAATCTCACTATGATATATTGATTATTTTCGCGCATTGACACACGTACTGTAACAACGGTAATAAATGAAGGGGCGCGCTTATATGTAGATGTCAGTTTGCTAGTGTGCATTGGTCCTCCGATTCGTTTTCTTTGTCTAAACTTCACTGTTCGCCTTCGTCTACAAAAAGGATAGAGTAGTTTGCGGGTTCCGGCGGAATTTTCCACTATAAAATGGACGTGAAAGGTGTTCTTTACTAGTTCATCGATCATTATGTTTTTTTGACAACGTACGTTCGTATTTTTTTCTCTGTTAACTTCTTTTTTTCAAATGTTATTTCTCAAATATTCACTCTAATGCGTTCTCCTTGCAATTTTATTATAAATCTATATATAATAAATGAATACAGGAAATCTATTATGAAATGGATTAAACGGATTATATGAAACATATTTGTCTAATTTAATATTGCTCTGATTTTCAGTATTGATTGCTAATGAATATATCTATTAATGTGTATAAACTCGGAAACACATTTTACATACATTTCATAAATTTCATAACTTTTATGTCATTTATTTCACCGACGAATGTGTATTGATTCTAATTTATATTATTGAACAATTCTTACAAAGTTATTTATAAGTATTCGTACTTTCCACGTATTAATGCTATTTTGAAGTAATATTTTAATTCGTTGTATGTATGTATGTGTGTGTCCTTCAAACATATTTTTACAGGCTAGCGCATATGCACAGGCAGTAACATCTGCTATAGCATAGTGGATCTTTATAAATGTGTAAATTATACAGCAAAATTTTTTCATGTAATGGCTTCCGCATTTCCTAATGTAACGTTTTTTTTAGTTTATTTCACTTTATATGTATTATGTAATAAAATATCTTGCATATCGAGAAGAGACATATTGAAAAGGAATGTTTCTAGTATTACTATAAATCGTGAATTATTATCTTAAGGCCGTTTTCTACAATTAAACGATTCCGTATGTATCGATTCAGTCAGTTCGTTCGTTTAAATAATTTGTAACTTCATTGATGTGATTTTATTTATCAATTTTTTTTCCGTATAATTAATAATACATATAACGATAACTGTAATAACAGGGTCAGTGAATTTATGTTATGTTATGTAATATTGTGTTGATTTGACACATGTGAGCAAGTTTAAAATAATATTTCACCCGGAAAATAATATCTCCCGCCATTTTTATTTATGTAACGTATACTCTTAATATTTTTGTAAAAATATTTTTCTTGTGTTATAATGACTACAAAAATAAATAACAATTTTTAATTTTCATTATTTTTGTATTATGACTATTATTTTCTGTTACCTTCGCCATTTATTATATTTATTTTCGGAAACTAAAAGAAAATATCGTGCTGGAGATAACATTATGAGTTTAACTCTCCCTGCTAAGTAGATAGATAAATATTTACAGATGATATCAACAAGCTAATATATTCTTCCCTTAATCTTATTGTATTATATGTCAGTAAATTTAGATAAGTACAAGATAGACAAATATATTTATAAATATTACGAACATTTCAAATTTGAAATAAATTTGATTTCCTACATTTTTGTTATTTGAAATTGTACACATTTCGTATTTTTATAAACAGAGTGAGTGCAAGGTGCTTAGGAACGATAATACCAGTACCAAATCCTATTGACTTTCCCTTGGAAAATGAACCTGTGCTTAGTTACAAAAAAGGCAGCCCTGAGAGGGCAGAATTGGAAAGGACTTTGGATAAAATGGCTAGTGAGTGTGAAGATGTACCTCTGGTTATTGGAAATGAAGAAATTAAAACAGATTTATGTAGATACCAAGTTATGGTAAGTTAAAAAATGTAATAGTAAAAAAACTAAAGAGTGATAAATAAAGTGTGTATTGTAATATATAATTGTAATACATCTATTTCAGCCACATAATCATAAAGTAAAGGTTGCAAAATATTATTGGGCAACACCTGATCTAGTCAAAAAGGCAATAGATGTTGCTGTGAAGGCACAGCGTGAGTGGGAAAAGTGTCCCTTTGAACAACGCTTAGAAATCTGGTTAAGGGCAGCTGATTTAATGGCAGCAAAATACAGACAGAAATTAAATGCTGCTACAATGCTTGGACAGAGCAAAAGTGTTATTCAAGCAGAAATTGATAGTGCAGCAGAATTAATTGATTTCTTTAGAATGCATGGGTATTTTGCCAAAGAGGCTTTAAAATATCAACCAATATCACCTAATTCTAAAGAGACATTAAATTCAATGAGATATAGAGGAATGGATGGTTTTGTTGCAGCAGTATCTCCCTTCAACTTTACTGCCATTGGTGGTAATCTTAGCTATACCCCTGCTTTAATGGTTTGCATTTTTTTTTTTATTATTTCACCTTTATGCATCTTATTAAATAAACGATTTATACATTGCAAATTCAAATATAGTACATATACAATAAACATATATTACAAACATTGTATTATATATTTTTAGGGTAATGCAGTGCTTTGGAAGCCATCTGATACAGCTTTACTTTCTAACTGGTGGATTTTTAAAATATGTAAAGAGGCTGGTGTACCACCAGGTGTAGTCAATTTTGTTCCATGTGAAGGTCCCGTTTTTGGTGATACTATAACTGCTTCACCTTACTTATCCGGGATAAATTTTACTGGATCAGTTCCAACGTTTAATCGTTTATGGATGCAAATTGGTAAAAATCTGGGGAAGTATAAGAATTATCCCAAATTAATAGGCGAATGTGGTGGAAAAAATTATCATTTTGTACACATGAGCGCTGATGTGGAGTCAGTTATTAATGGGACCATAAGAAGCGCTTTTGAATTTAATGGTCAAAAATGTTCAGCTTGTAGTAGAATGTATGTTCCAGAATCCTTATGGCCAAAGGTAGATTTCATACATAGTTTTAATTTCAACTTTCTTAAACAAAATTTTTCAATTTCAAACATTATTGTGTATATAGATAAAAGAAGGCCTTTTATCGATTCGTGACACACTTAAAATTGGTGACGTTAGAGATTTTACCGTGTTCGCTGGAGCCGTTATAGATGCTACTGCATTTAAAAGAATTTCTGGTTATATCGAACATGCAAAAAAATCATCTAATTTAGAGGTTATCGGTGGTGGCAAATACGATGATTCGTACGTTTCATTGTACATATAATCTGTTAAATACCTATTTTCTTATTATTTTTAAAATCTTTTTTTTCATTAGGATCGGATATTTTATTGATCCGACAATAGTAGTAACAAAAGATCCCAAAGATAAAATAATGACAGAGGAAATATTTGGACCTGTTTTAACAATATACGTTTACAAAGATTCAAATCTCGATGAAACAATGAAATTGGTAGAATCCTCGACACCTTATGCTCTAACTGGATCGATATTCTCACAAGACGAGTAAGCGTTTCATTTTACTTTAAAATATTGATATTGTATCTTATCACACCTTGGTACCTTTCAGAAAATGGGCGAGAAGAGCTCTTGAAGAATTTAAGTATACAGCTGGTAATTTCTATATTAATGATAAATCAACGGGCTCGGTTGTTGGTCAACAACCGTTTGGTGGTAGTAGAATGTCTGGAACAAATGATAAAGCTGGCGGTCCTCATTATGCTCTTCGCTGGGCATCGCCACAGTCAATCAAAGAAACGTTTGTTCCTTTGCGCGAATACGATTATTCGTATATGAAGTCTTAGATGTAAGTATTATTAAAAGCTTGCAGTTATAATGTGAAGATACATATACTGATGCAGTAGCATCTTATACTACAAACTGAAAAATGCAAATTTTTTGGATTGTTCGGCAAGAACTAATGAAATATCTTCATGCATTCCTTTACGTGAATTCAAGGAATTCGCGTATAAGGCGCTATTTGCACTCACAATGCAAGTGATATGGGCTTTGTAGAAATTTATACTATAAAGCAAACTGCTTAAACACGAAGTAATTCACGAAAAAGATAGTTGATTTTCAGAAAAAAGCAAGTATTCAGTAGTTGGTATGTATACCAACTGAACAGTATTTTGTGTTTTTAATAAGTATGTTTGTCAATTTAATATTACGTAGCATACAAAAAAAGACAAACATAAAAATAAATATTTCTAAACTACTTTTAAAGTAGTCGCGACATAAATGCAAGTCCATCTTAATATTTGCTGCCAATAGATAACATTAATATTCTGCAAGTTGCAGCGTGTAGAGTCTATATATTAAGATCAAGTGTTTCAGTACAATAATATTTTAATATCTCAGGAATTACTATATGTGGTTGCAAACAAAGAGGCATTTTTTTGATCATACATTACAGTGATATATGAAATTTTATAACAATATTATTCAAGTATGGTGATCGAGATACATAACATCTGGGAGTGTGTTTGAAGATTGTGATAAATACGTACTAGTTAGAAAAACCATTCGCTGTGTTTTTCGGACTTTACTTTTTTATATTCTTATAGAGAGATCATTTACAATGACTGATATTATGTTAACGCGCAGCGTGAAACATTCATTTTACTGTGTAACTCACAAGACAATATGTAGACGCGGGACGAACACAGTAAAATGTAAAAGTTACCCTTAAATTATGTTATCAAGCCTGATCGTCGATCGTTTAGGCACGTTATTGTTGACAGTGTGATTGAGATAAAACATCTTGCAAATCGAGCAGTGACTACTAATTAAATATACAATAATATGTTAGATGTTGTGGCTGATGTTATAATGTAATTTATTTTAAGTGTACCATAGCAATAAAAACACTATACAATTAGATATTTCTAATATAAATTCTTCAACTACATCGTCAGCAACATCGATCGTATAACTTTGATTTATTATTGCATTCGTTAAAAGTATTTTTTTATTCTTAAGACTAATATTAAAAATAATTACTTTTAGCAGTACACTTAATCATTAAATAATTTATCGACACAAATAATTGCCACAGCAGGTAAATAGAAGCATATCGTCTACTCCTGTATTGTCAGTTACCCTGTAATGATAATGTTGACAATAATATTGCATTCTTAAAAAGTGATGATTGTTATTACAATTTAGGTTGATATTTTAGTATATTTTATTACTCATTACAAATTAATAATAATTAAAGTGACCATATCACATATTGAAAAATTTTTTTTGAATTCATGTGTACAGAGGTGGGATAATATTGCATGAAATTTAATTGTTAAAGGAAAAAGTCCTTAGAGAACTATTTTCTTTAAATTTCGTTTAGATATTAACGTTTAATAAAAATTACCTTCTGTTCTTTATCTATTCTATTTTACTTACCTTTGGTAGATAAACTTATCACCTATAGAGTTATGTCAAGATATTTAATTTTAAATTATATGGTCACATTTAATTTTGAGTCAATCGATTAAATTATTATACATCTTAGATATTATTTATTTTAAATTTTGAATCATCTTTTTTCCAATCTATAATTGTAGATAGGAGAAATCATTTTTTCATCCCATGTACTTGTACCAGAAATACAAGTTTTATTCAAAGATATTTAAATATATATTTATAAATAATTAAACATATACATATTTATGGTAAATTAATCTAGAAGATATTTTAATTTTATTACTGTTAGTATAGTAAAGTGTACCAGTACATTTGTCAAGCTCTACATTTTTTTAATATACAGTTTTGTTATAAAATAACAAAGCTCAATAAGATATTCACGTAATAATCTCATGTATCTTCACTTTAACTGCTCTAATGAAATACACTAATTTTTCGATGGGATTCCATAATATTTTAATAATAATTTGAATCTCAACTTGTAGCTTACAATTATGCAATGGTTAAACAAAATATTTATACACCATTGTATTTGTTATAATATTTATATACTAATTAACTAAATAGAAGTATATTAAATTTTGTATGCTTTAGTCATGCAATTACAACTACAATTTAGTATTATGAAAATGAGAAGTTACTTAGTTAAAAAAATGAAACTCCTACATGTGGCCCAATTCGTTGATCAGAAACGTTTGAAGAAAATTTTGTATCTTTTGTACGTAATTATCAGCTAGAGAACAAATTACTTCCCCTTTTCCTCTCTCACGTCTTAATCGTACTATTTGCATTTTTCACAGTTTCTCACTTCCCTTCGTTACTCGTTTGGAACTTTACCTTCCGTCATTTACACTCGACTTTCTTCCTTGTGTTCGTCTCTTCTTTTTCTTCCTCTCTCTGTCTCTCTCTGTCTCTCTCTGTCTGTCTCTCTCTCTCTCTCTCTCTCTCTCTCTCTCTCTCTCTCTCTCTCTCTCTCTCTCTCTCATATCTCATTTTTTTTCTTTTAATTAAATCGCCATAAATTATTACATAAAATGTTAACAGTTAATACATAGTTAATGTACAACTATCTTTTCTTATATTATTATCATTTTTGTCTACAATGTTCTGTATAATGAACTACATTTCGAAAAGACACAAGGGAACATTGTTTCAATTAGATATACATTATCGAAAAAAATCTGTTTCAAACATCAACATTTTTGTAATTATTTTACAAAATTATTATTTTGTAAAATAAATATATTATGTAAACTATAATTTGTTACAGTTGCGTATCGTAAATCCGTGAACATGCGCAAGTATTATTCATAAGTATTTACATAGATGCATACATATACACATGTATTTCTCATTCTGGCGAAACATTCTGCAGAAATATGAACAATTATTGTAGAAAGTAGAATAAATCAAATAATTCCAAATACAATTGTATAAAGCCAGTAGTATGAATAATTATTGAAATTAATTCACGTTATTTTGTATTCACGATAGGCATTTGTGCTGATTGCTATTCAATAAATTGAGTTAATAGTTGCTCAGCAAAGTACGGTAATTCTGGGAGGCAGCAAACGATTATGGTCTCGTGAAGCGATATCGGTACGGTGTCCAGGCGAATAATTCTATATAAAAAGAATAGATATACGAATATATAGTATACTAATAATATAGTACATAGTATACATTCTTTTATGCATGTGTTTTATGCCTAGGGTTTACAACGTGCATAATGTTATCGCGTCCCGATACATCATTCTATATTTGCTGACAATTAATCTTTACAAATAAATTGTACGAAAATCTCTTGGAAAAATAAGTGTATTTACATACATACATACATATGTAAATCCACTTATGGATCAACGACAAGAAAAACGTGATACACTTATATACTTAACTTCCATTAAAACGAGTATCGAGATGCCATCGATACGATGTGTCGAATTATGTTTGCAAATTATCATAATTATATATGGATAAGTTTTAGCTAATGAACGCGTCTAAGTGTAATGATGCGCGTTATTATGCGTTGTCACGCATGCTAGGTGATCTTTGTAGCTGTTGTAAGAGCTGCAATACTACAGGATACGAAGATAAGATGCAAGTTGAACTTTAAGCATGCGTTGGTTATTACTTCATTAGTAGTAATGAAAATGAACGAGGACGTCGTGATCTCGTTTTTCGACATTTCGATTTGAATTCCGTGTCTCTCTTCGAATTTAATATGTAAGTAAACATACATAATACATACATTTCTATAGAAACCTGAGAATTGTTAAATATTACATGAAAATAAATTCCCTCGATTCGTAGTATATATTCATAGTAAGAATTTCTTGTATAATATCTCGTACATAATATTATGTGATATTAAAATATTATGCATATTGATCAATTTGATCAATTTGATCGAAATATCATAAAATTATCTTAATGTTCAGTTTATTGTGATTATCATTATCCTCCGAACAAAGATTCTTACTAAATCAAACAATAGTATCAAAACGACGCGAAATAAAAAAATTAATGAACAAGAGATTATCCAGTAGATATAATATCTAAGTTTCAAATTTCTCTCGAATTTATATTCAGAACTTGAAGTAATGGCATTTAAAATAAAAGTAGCACCAAAGAAATTTTAGTTTCGTCCTCGAACATGAAATCACTTACTATCATAAATAATATACACTACCATTCATAAATATTCGACCGATTAATGCCTTGATAATAATATTTATACAAGAATTTAATCCAAACTCAACTCTACAACATTAACTCAAAAACATGATATAGAGTAATAAAAATATTTTTGCGAATATTTCGGAAATTAAGACCAAGCAGTGGCGAATATGTACATACATATAGAGAAAAGTTGTTTAGAATTACATTAGAATTAGTTTCTAGAGTACCTAATTTATATAAAACCAAGATAATAATTAGTACCTTTTTATGAGATCAGCGGATTAATAAATAAATTCCCTCTCTCTTTGCATATCTCTCTCCCTCTATGTATAATATATATTTTTATCTGTGATCTTATTTATATTTAAAAAATCAGAAGATAAACTGCAAATTTAATTTAAATTGCAAAAATATTCCATCACATGATATTGTACATTGCAGGTTCCCGTCTTGAAAAAAGCAAGTTTTTTAGATATTTATGAACGATAGTGTATATGAAATTTTTATATGATCAATTAGCTTCATGATTGGAGAAAAGAAATTAATCGCTATAAGAGCGATGCAAAGCTACGATGTTTGAATATAGCGGCAAAATCGCACATGTTCACTAAATTCGATTTACGCCCTACGATTTACCATTGCTAGTGAAGCATGGGCAGAGCGCGTTCAATATTCGACTGCAGAATCCACGGGCACGATGATTCCAACCAGCGATACTAGCGATACCCTTCAGTCTACTTCCTATACAAACAAATATTTTGTTTTCTTTTATTTTTTTTTTTTCTTTTGTTACTAATCTGAGAAAGAAGCAATGAGTAAAAACAAACTTGAATTATATAGACAAATTTGTCTTTTCTTTTCATTGTACCATTCTACCAATACGATATCTGGTATCGATATCTAATTATACGATATCAGATTTCTTTTTTATATTTTATTAACTATATTTAAAGCTTACCTTCGCTAGAATCACCTTTCTGAAATATGAAATCATCAATGAATAATTGCATTCGACAGCATTATTTGAAGTATCGCGAGAATAAAACATATTTAAAAGAATATTTACCTCTGTGAACATTATTCTTTTTGATGCTTCCGTGATTGCCATTTGTATAACTTCACTTACAAACTTGGTCGTTTCTCTCATTAGCTCTTCGTCATCTTTGAAAGCCTCTTTTTTCTGCTCTAGCGTTCCAGTAGCTAATATTTTTTCTCGTTCCTCCATGGTCCATTTACAACAATCGGTATTATATGTGTTTTCAGTCATAATTTCTATGTTGTTGGCTCTTGATTCAATTGATTTTGGTTTGTGGTACTTTTTATATCATATCATTATTGATTTTTCAGATTCACAAATAATCATAGTTCAATTTTTCTTAAACCTGTTTGATGAATGAAAACGCTTTTCATAATTAATATAAAATATACAGAGTATGTATAAAGACTTTGTAACATTACATTAACGAGCATTATTTTCCTTGTTTAAATTACACATCCATACATATTAAACGAAAGAGAAAATAGGAAAGCGCAGAAAATATTTGTTTTACTTACATTTGCAGAAAAACTCGAGAAAAAGGCGATTGACCTTTTGGACATAGATATCAAGCTACAGGTGGTGCGCACTTGTCCTACAAGGGAGACTGAATACCGAGCACCCACTGTCGATGTGCATCTATACCGATATTAACTAGCAATTTCATGATTATTATTTCAAGTTGATTTCTTTTCAATCTCTCCAAAATTTAAATCCACTTTAATCAAATAACTCGAATGTTCTAAAAAATTTTAGTACAACTACAGTTTCGATATATTTCTTCTGTTCACATTTAGCTTTCTCTTTTTCTTTCTTCCTATCTCTTTCTCTTCTTCTCTTCTTCCCCCACCCTCCCTTCCCTCCCGCTCTCTCTCTCTCTCTCTCTCTCTCTCTCTCTCTCTCCTTTCCTCCCTTCTCTTCTCTTCTATATTCTTCCTTTTCGCGAGAAAGCAAAATATTAATATTTTCGCACAAACTAAACTAAATGTTAGAGTTGCTATTACTAGTAAAAGATATATTTTCAAAAAAAGAGACAATAAATAAATGTGAATGATAACGATCGATACGCATGTCCAAATTATACTCGGTACGCCCGACCACTGGATTCACTTCGTAACGATCGAACGTTTGCCAGCCTCGGCTGCTGGCTCAGTTTGCCTGACTGAATATCACCCCGGGGAAACGTTTCGGAGCATGCGTCGACCTCCGCACGATTATTAAGCACATATACTTGCTTCCTAGTTACTTACGATTTATCAACCTCTTTTTACTTTATTTCACTTCTCTTTATACACTTGAGAATTTCTACTATATACGATATTAAACACCATTATCTATCATCATCTATGTATCATCGTTACAGCTACTCTATCATATGGAATAGAAACAGAAAATACGAAACAGAAAAAATTCATTCGATACATTTTCAAATAAAATAATAATTATAAAATATTACAATGAATTTACTTCTATTATATACAGTATAAAGTACTTAATGTAAATTACTTTTTTTAAACATGCAAACATAGACGCGATGCGCGCGCCTAAGAGTGAAAACTCTGGATATCTGGTAAAGGTAAGCGAAAAAGAAGCGACACAGGAAGAGATAGAAAAAGGGATAGAAAAGAAAAAGAGAATGAGAAAGAAAGAAGGAGAGAGAGATTTCTAAACATAGTAGGAAATCAATATAGTTAATGTATTGTTGATATATAGTTAAAATTCTGTGAATTGTCCAAATTACTAACTAACTATTCAGCGTAAATATTGCAAAGAACAATAATTTATTCATACAAAAAAGACCATTATAATTCATTTTAGATAGTTTATTTTACTTTTTTAAAAATTTCTCTCGCGTCTTAATATAACACAATACGAAATGTTTTATACCTGTCCGGAAAATGTAGAAATCTTTTCAACTGCTTGTCAATTTTCTACTTTTTCTTTTTTTCGAAGGCACACGCGTACAATATAATTTCCAATTTCGTTGAATAATTTTTGCCGCGTGATTTCGACGAAAATATTCTACATTTGCTAAAAAAATTTTTTTTGTATTCACCTCGATTTCCTCCTTTACTCTTTCGTACAAACTACGTTGGATAAGAAGTTGATCCTGTAAGTAAGTTTTCCTGTACGAAAATTCACATACATCATACGAAATATGTTACATATGTACATATTTCCAAAATATTTAATTTTTGAGACTTTCGAATTGGTCAATGCGAATAATAATGATAATAAAAGATAAATGTAAATTGAACAAACCTGAATAATGATATATTCTTCGTTGGTATAGTTCTTTTTCAATAAAAGACTAACTTTGCATGCATAAAGTGATCCAATATTCTTATCGTATTTTTCAAATTGATCCAAATGTCGTTTTCTCATTCTGTAGCTGTGTACCACTTAATTTCATTATTAAATATAATAATCATAACATGGTTGTTCATCATAATCAGAAAAAAGAAATTTTTTCTTTACCGTTCGTGGCATAAAGCGTTCATTCTCAGACAATATATTTCGTCAAGAGACTTTAAGCGAAGATTGAACCATTCAATTTCTGTTTCTATAGATTTTTTCCGCGCTTTGTTCTTCAAATTTGAAACTAATAACATCGATGAAAATTCCGCTCTAAATATTAGTATTATCGATATAAATATTATATAATTACATTACATTACATTACATTACATTATATTATATTATATTATATTATATTATAAACTAATATAATATATAATTAGTAACATAATAAATAATATTGAATTATTAAATTATTATTGTTAATTTGCTTGACAGAAAAAAAATAAAAACCTATAATACTTACGTTCGTATTTTTATTTTTTGTTTCAAGTTTTCTTCGATATTTTTCTTTGCGAATTTTGTTGTTCTCCAATTTAATTCAACATTTCGCCGAAATTGATTCAAATTTGAATTCTCATTTTGAAGTAAAATCTCCGACTCTGTTATCCGTGGAAAATATACCACTTATATTATTTATTAATATTAATATTACGTCTATTAATATTTTATGCAGAGGGTTAAATTAAGCAAATATTTTTCTATTAATATTATAATAATTTACTGTATCATTATCATTAATATTATACTTATTTATGTATATCCACCTTAAAAGAAACTTATACATATATTATACATACGTGTCATTTCGAGTTTAACTTTTTCAATGTTTTTTTCAAAATCGCACAATTCATTGTTCCAGATTATTTCTTTCTCTAAAGGTATTAGTTTTGCATTAGTCTCGATCAAAGAACAAAGTAACTCAATTTTTTCAATTAATATCTTTCTTCGTAAATAAAATTCTTGTTCAGTTGTTTCTTGAGCTCCAACATTCGAATACTGTACAATTTATTTATTAATTTTACTTAACTTACAAATAACATGTAATATTGCATGTATTATTAAAATCAGTAACTTTATACATTCAAAAACAAAATAATATGTACAATCATTTGAAATTAATCTTATCTATTATTTACCTTTCTTGTCAGTATCCGGAAACATCCATCCATTTGGTCCGAATTTAAAATTAATATATATTTCCTTCTTGAAATTAATTGTGCAATTATATGAAATGTAATCCATTAATTTGAACACGTATATATACGATCGCTCGCGAGTTAAAATTAAACGTGTGATAAAATACGTATATGTAGTATATATAGACACATAACCAAATTCATTAGTTTTCCGTGACCATAGTTACGAGTTGAATCTATTACTGATTATTTACTTGTCTTCATATAATGAATATCAAAATAAAAGTATTAAATCAGACTTATACTATAAAATAAACTTTATATACTAACAATAAACTTCATACCCGATTTAATAACGTTTCGTTCTGCATAACGTTTAAGAAACTATATATATATATATATATATATATATATATATATGCACATGCATATGCCGTGTGCTATGTAAACACAACATGATGCATGTATATGTAATTGATTGCTTATGTACGTATATACATATTTTATAAGAATAAGAATAAAAGTAAATTTATATTTATAATTCAATTATTATTATATTTCTGCTTTAAATTGATATCTAAATAATTATATTCAATACCTAATCATCTTGCTTAACGAAAATGATATAAAGTAATAGTAATCAGTTAAATGGCTTCCATATGTATTTATTGTAAGTATATATATTGATTCCTTGCACTCGAATCAATATAATGTAAATATTTGTTTCTTAGGAAATTCTACCGAAATTTGAAAATGATCAGTGCTTTAAACTCTATAGTAGTACGTAAATACTTACGTATCGATAATAAACTGCATTTAAGTCACATTTAATATAAATCAAAAAATGTGATTGATTAATAAATTGACGAACCAATGATATTGCTTTGTTTCTTAATGGTAATCCGTAGACGTAATGTTGTTAATCAAAATTTTTAATGATACGTAATTTGCCGTTAAACCGTTTAAATTAAATTGGTCGTTGTTTGGTCGCTCTAGTGTTAGTTGTAGAGCGCTAGTGCTGCTACGTCGAGGCAATTATTAGGATTATAACACTGAATTTTGAATTTCATTAACAAAGAGACTCGACCATCACGATTGTAATGACATTTGAAATTGTAATTTGAAAATATATATAGAAGTTGCAAAATATTTAAATATTTAATTCTTTTAAACACTTACTATTCTAAAAAGTGTTCAACTGTAAAAATGTAAAAACGAGTCTAAAACAGCCATTGATTGTAGTCTTTATCTGACAACTTCTGGACGATGTCTTTTATTGGTAAAAACTGATGCTTGTAATTTGTAGTCTGTCAGTTCTGAAATCGATCTTGAGAAATTATATTGATTATAATTGACTATCACAATGTTTTTCACCATTTCATGTCACTAAAATAAATTAAAATCATTGCGCACGCATTTCCTATAAAAATATACATTCCCTAACTTGAAATAGAAAAGTTTATTATTATTATTAATCTAATTATTTAATTCAATAATTTAGATGTTGGCAGTATTATTTATTATAAAACTCTAACAATAAGTCAAATGAGTGATTACTCAAAATCATGAATGGGATATATGTAATTCCTACATTCGCCGTAGCGAAATTATAGAGGGCGTAAGAAACACTTTGATGTCACGTCTACTCTATCGTTAGTCAATGGTTATTAGTCGATTTCAAGTCCAAATATTGTTGAATGTATGGTCTACGATACAATAAATATGGCGTACCGTGGTGTGAAAGGTTCTGATCCATTCGTTTCAAAAACATCGCGAAATGAACGTTTTGCGCAAATGTCGAAGCAAGAGCAAATCATTCAACAAAAAAAGCTTGAGATACAGGCAAAAATGCAAGAACAAAAAGCGAAAGAAGCTGTGGAAAACATGAAGAAGACAAACACGCTAGCTACGAATTTGATAGAAAACAGAACAAATTCTCCTAAGTGAGTGAAGTTATGTCACTTTCGGAATTATTTAATATTAAGTATTGTAAAAACATCTTCTTTTTCATAGTTTTGTGTTAACTCTTATTCTTTAACCGAAGTCATTTTTATTACTTTACTTACAGTTATTAATAGAACTGCAGTATAGATGTCAAAATGTTTCGAATGAAATGATTACCTATTAATTTAGTAGTGTAATTTAATATATCTTACAAATCAATTTAACATAATCTTATAGACAGACATTTTCATTACAGAAAAGACGAAGACAAATCAACTGCATCTCAAACAATTAACTTATTTGCCAACGATGGTAGCTTCTTGGATCAGTTTAAGAAAATTGCAAATAAAGGAACAGGAAACTCGGAGTTAATGTTTTCTTTGAAAATAGAGAAAAGGGAAGAAAACGTACAAGAGAAGGAACAAAAGAAAAATAATGATAGAAACAAGGACTGGGAAAATAGAAAAGATCGTGGAAAAGAGGATTGGGAAAAGGCACCTGATAAAAGACATAGCACTTCTTCTAGTCCATCTTCTATTAAACATCCAGCATCTCAAAGTATCCCAGAAACTAGACGTTCATTTAATCAAGTAACATCTAACGGACACCGTATGCAGCACACTCATCAACAGTTTCTTCATCAAAATGGAAATCTGACTGCTATTCCTTCTCACATATCTCAACCTATAACACATCTTACTGGTGTATCATCACCTAACATGAGAAGTATTGTAACCAACATATCCCCACCAAATTTATCAAAAATGCCTCCTTCAAAAAGTATGTGCAACACTTTTCCTAGAGTGGATGATCATTCAGGAGATCTAAAAATGCAAATATCATCATCCCATACAATTTATCCACCTCCACCTCCACTTGTATCTGTGCAACCTGTTCTCCCAAATACCAACATACCTCCACCAAATATCCATATTTCTCAGACACTATCGCCTAATTTACAAAGCTTGCCACCACCACCACCACCACCATCACCTTCATCAATTCCATTAGGATCTTTGTCATCTACAACATCATTAACGTCGTCAACACCATCAACATCGCCAACCTCCTCGTTGCTACTGTCATCACCACCACCACCACCGCCGCCACCATTGCTATCATTGTCTCCTTCCTGTTCTACTTCTACTATTTCTTGCTGTCACAATTCTTCCTCTTCCTCCTCTACCTTTGCTTCTTCTTCATCTATATTAACATCAACATTTCAACTACCTTCATTATTGACGTCCTCTTCCTCAACATCAACATCGACATCGACATCGACATCGACATCGACATCGACATCGACATCAACATCAACATCGACATCGACATCGACATCGACATCGACATCGACATCAACATCGACATCGACATCGACATCGACATCCTCTTCCTCGCCATCGACATCGACATCGATATCAACATCAACATCATCAACATCGTCATCTTCGTTATCGATATCGTCTTCGACATCGACATCGACATCGACATCGATGTTAACATCGTTATCATCATCAACGCCGTCGTTGTCAGCATCCTCTTCATCATCGTCATCATCATCGCCGTCACCATCGTCGTCGTCGTCGTCGTTATCGTCATCATCAACTTCAACTTCTGTGTCACTTTCTTCGTTATCGTCCACTTTATTGGTGTCATCAGAATCAAACACACGACAACATGTACTTTCAACTGGAAGGCAATGTGGTGTACCACCTCCTACACCATTACAATCCTTAAACTTACCACCTCCAAACATTCCCCCACCTAATATGTTACCAACAATGACACAAATGCCACCAACTATAATATCAATTCCGGCCTCACAGACAGTTGTAGTCAGTGTACCAAATGCGTCAAATGTGCCAAATGTTCCAAATATTCCAAATATTCCAAATATTCCAAATATTCCACCACCAAATGTAATGATGATGTCCGCTCCACCACCAATTCACAATGTGGCCTCAAATATGAATTCAATTCCACCACCCAATTTGAATATTCCACCTCCGAATGTACCACCTCCATCCTTAATGCAAAATGCCGGGCCACCGCTTTCTTTAATGTCGACCAGTTATCCTCTTCCTAATCAAGTCGCTCAGGTACCTATTGGACCACCTAACATACAAGTGCCACCACCAGTGAGGTCATTGACTGGTCTACGATCCTCTGAGCAGCTAGGTACGATATATCGATTATTTTCATTTATTACTTCATTTCGACGTATCGCCGCGTGTTTATCTTTGCGAAGAACAAGTTATTTCTTGTAAAATGAATTACTTGTTCGCGCAGTCCAGAATATGTAAGTGTGCGTGCGTATGCGCGCGCGCGCGATACGCCGAATACAAGACGCGTGGGCAAATATGAAACTTGCAAAAAGCAAATTCGTGCTGATCATTCGTGTAGACAAATACGTGTTCTACACTACAGAAACAAAAACAAAAACAAAAACCAGAGTTTTTAGCGTTGTTACGCATGTCTGACAAAGGCTTCTAAGTGTGTCCCGTAGAGGCTGAGCAGCTGGCACGCATCGTCGCTGACTGTGGGGATGAAATCGAACAAGAAGCGCGAGAGAAGAATGCCCAAGATCCTAAATTATGGTAACTACTGTCCTCTCTGGTCCCCATCTATAGTATCTTTATACGTGTCGTGTTTTTACTTATCAATCTTTCTGTATTTCAACTTACGTATCGTTCCTCTCTTTTCTATTTTAAATTGGAATAGCATCTGTGTAACGTTGTGATTTCTTTCAACGTGTTTTTCCATTCGCTATTTTTTCTAACTGCATAGCGAAATGATAATATTTGGTAATAACGATGCGTGAAGTTGTAATTAAAACTTGATCAATTCGTTTCTTGATTATCTGAAAAACATGTCTTTCTATCCTTTCTTACCATTTTTTCTTTTCTTTTTTAACATACAATTACTATTTCATAGTACAACATACGTTAGAATATATTATTTATATATTTTTCTAAAACAAAAACAATATTTAAAGATCAATGTCAATTGCCAAAATAAAGTGTGATATCATACATATTGCACAAACGCGAATATACCAATTGTTTTGTTTTAAATCAGCCATTATCTTCTATTCTGTTTTTCTATTTTTTCCTTTTTTTTTTTTTCTTGTCTCTTAATCTAAAGAAATTTAATTTAGGAGACAATGTTACTCTTCAGAGTCTTAAGTATTGTTTTAATCAAGGTTTCTGCACCAAAAGCAAAGTGCAGCCTATCTGCAGTACAGGGGATTGGTGGCGAAATTTCGTGCTGAAAAGTCAGTTAAGGAAGATAAAAATAATGGTGCGGAACTTTATTGTCCGGAAGAAGCTCTCAGTGATAATGATGATAGTGATCAAGGTCCTATTTCTAATAAACATGTTTCATCACAAGGTATATAATATGTTAACTTTTGCATTCAATATCCTTATAATATTATTATTTATATTTTTTGTGAAACAGAAAAGAAACGAGAGAGAGAGAGCGACAACAACACTACAGATCAATCAAAGGACAACAAATCAGATGACAACAAAGAAGAACGTAAACGAAAAAGACGAAGCCGATGGGGTGATCCGGATAGTAAAGTGCCTGTAGCAGAAATGAATATATTAACCAGCCATAATAAACAACAAACTAGTAGTGGCTTCTCACAGCCAGGTATCGCGATTCCTGGACAAATTGGACAACCGGCTGTTATGATTCCATCATCGAAAGTGCAACGTGCAGAAGCAAAGAATCCTATGTTGACCAAAATTTCAAGAAACGACCCAGCCTTGATACAATATGCTCGACAAACTTTCGGTACGTTGGATCTTAGTGAAGAGCAATGGAAAAAAGCCGAGGATCATTACAAGGTGACAAAATTTTATTACTTCAAGTGTTTGTAATTTAAAATTTGACCAAACTTATTGCTTTGTTAATTTGATTATATTTTTTATCAATTTTCATTCAGATAAATCTTCTTTATCAAAATTTATTAAGAAAAAGAGAAGAAGTGAGACGCTTAGAAGCACAGGGCAAGCACAAATACGAATACGATAGCGATGAAGAAACCGAAGGTGGTACTTGGGAACATAAACTCAGATCTGCTGAAATGGAGGCTACTCAAATGTGGGCAGAAGAATTGACAGCCCAAGCAGAAGGAAAACACCATATCGGTGATTTTTTACCACCGGATGAACTTAAAAAATTCATGGAACAATATAACGCGGTTAAACAAGGAAAAGAACCCGATCTTAGCGATTACAAGGAGTACAAACTGAAAGAAGATAACATAGGTATGCATAGGTATACATATTAAAACATGTATTTTCAATAATATATTCTTTAGGATTTCAGATGCTACAAAAACTTGGTTGGAGCGAAGGACAAGGATTAGGTAGCGAAGGCAGTGGTCGTATCGAACCTATTAATAAGTAAATTGTATTTATTGTATTCATATTGGATTTATTAATAATTCGCGAAAAAACAATTCGACAGAAGCTCTCATTAACCATTTTCTATGTTATTTACTACTTATTGTCTGATCATTCTTCCTTTTTCTGTAGAGCAACCAATAGATTTGATAGTGCTGGTTTAGGTTCAGAACGACCAGATGGTGTATCCAGAGATGACGACGAATTCGATGCCTATAGAAAGAGGATGATGCTTGCCTATAGATTTAGACCTAATCCTTTGGTAATTTTGTCAAATATAGAAAAAATAATTCGCAATACCTAATTTACATTTGACATATTTAATCAACGACCAAACTTTTATTTTTCTTTATTTTATTTTCAGAACAATCCTCGAAGACCTTATTATTGAGAAAAAGTGATATTGATACGTTATATTCGTGGCATTATATATTGATATTTCCATTTAGTTGGAAAAAAAGTTGTCGTTATTTTGTATATTTGAAATATTGTAAATGTATAAGATTATAATTATAGTAATTGTATGCTAGAACAATATACGATGATATAATAAATAAAATCCCAAACTTAAAAGTGTGTTCAATAAGTCTCATATACAGATTTAAACAGTTAAGAGCAATTTATTGTCTATACTTTGAGTTATTGAATGCAATTTGTAAATTTTTATTCATATCATTCTTAAATCAAATGGAACGAAAGAATAGTGAGGGACTAAGACAGTTGTAAAAATTGTAAAAATTCATAATTCATTAATACCTTTAATCGGTTTTTGTTTCAATTAATGCAAAATAACCTACTTTCGACTTTGTATATTGGCAAAAGTCTGTACTAAACACAGATAATTATATTATTGACTAAAGTTTTTAGTTAGACGATTAAGGATAACGTCATTATATCCAAAAATTATTTGGACTAATTGCATATAATTAATTAATGAAATTCAGAATAATATTACAGAGAGAATATCTCTGAGAATTTATACTGCAATGTACTTCTTGAACAGTTTAAATATTAGTCTATAGACCAATAAATTTAATTTTTTAATTTCATTCAATATCATCACAATGCAATGTTGGCATTTGAGTGTCCACGCGTCGATTGAATTTTTTCTTACAAAAAGGAAGAAAGCTACATATTTTAAGAAATTAACGCGTGAACTTCTGTAATTATGTCGTCATAATTACATAATTTCATACAGAGTTTCTCGGATATCTTCCTATATTTCACCGAGGTTACGAAACGAAATGAATAAACATTTACAGATTCTGCTCAATAGATCAAAACACTCGAAACACTTGAAACGGCAAATCGCTGTTCAAAGCTATATATGAAAATTATTGTACACTACCCACTTTTAAATATATTCACAAACAATTTTCATTCAAATTTCAAATAAACAATAGTTTACGAGATATTAAACATTTTACCAAGTGTTTTGATCTATTGAATATAATTTATAAATTTTTATTGCACTCCATGAATTTAATGAAACGCAGAAAAAAGGCTAAGGCTAGGATACAATTTTACAGACATAATTAAAAAAATTCATAAACGAATACCATTAATTAATTAATTTCTCATTTTTTTATAATGTATCTTTTTCTATCTCTTTGATTTTTTCCGCTATTTCTTCTTCACAATCAACGATTCACCAAACAATTTCACAATTTGTTAGTTTTTGATTTTTCTTGTTTTAAATAGTATTTGTATCTCTTTTTTTGCATTTCTTCCTTTATCATATTCGCCACTAGTCACTACATGCTCTTTATTAGTCACTATATCTCTTAATTTCAATTCGATTCCATATTGAACTTTTTCATTTCTTCGTTTCCAACGTTGTCTTTGAAATTGCAATGCATATTTAAGATCGATGTGCCCTAATAATCATGGAATGTTCGCAGTCATACCAAGTATGTTCTCATTTCTTAATCAATTATTGTATCGATCAAGGTTGAACAGTTTGAAACCTTCTCTTAGAACGCGCGTAGAATCATGACATTCTCAAATGTTTCACACGAGTTTAAATCCAAAAAATGTTTTCATTTGTTTGTAATTTTTCATAAAAAAATAGATGAGTAAAAAACCCAGTTATGAATAACAGATTTATACATTTGTTTCAATTAACACTGTTGTATATATACATATATATATATATATATATATACACACACACACACACACACACACACACACAGGCACCAATGTATACATAATTACAAATTGACATATCACGTTAATAATGTTCGGTTTAATAAAGATAAATTATAAAACTTTAAAAAAATTAAAACATTTTTAACAACAGTAAGAATTAAGATGGTGTGTGTGTGTGTGTGTGTGCGCGTGCGTGCGCGCGCGCGCGTGTGTGCGCGTGTGTATAATGCAATAGCATGTACTGGTATAATATAGGCTAACAATAAGTAAATGAAGATCATTAATCGTATACGTCTACTTACGTCTTACATAGTTTTATACGTTATGTCACCCTGTTCGTTCGTGTGGTAGAGACATCTGTTGGTAACGCTGCCAATACAACGTCGAGCAGGAAGAGGCAAGGGAAAGGAAAGAAAAAGGGAGAGAAGGGAAAAGAAGGGGAAGAAATTGCAACGAAACGGAACAGTACGAATTCAAACGGATCGAATCGTTTCAGATCGGATCACAGCTTTGCTGAGGGAAAGGATGGAAAAAGACCAGAATGGTCGATGGATCAGTGGGGAGAGCTACAGGTACTCTTTCAATGCGAACACGTATGTATGTACGTGAAAGTAACTCTTACAATTTAACGACGTTCTGTTACTTGTCGGTGCTTCATGGTGTCGGTGGTCTGGTTGTTTGTATCGAAATTAAAATACGGCGCGCATAATTGTACACCATTGTTGTGTATTTTGTTCATTATTTCAAGAGATGCATAAACAACAAAGTGAAAGACGCAAGAATGAGAAAAGGAGATAAACAGTGCTATTTGACATAAAATTTGTCCATGTCACAATACTGAATTAGGAAGTGCAGAAGAGAACGGACAAATCATCCATCTCCAGTAAAAACGGAACAGGTGCTTTGTGCAAACATCTGGTGTTGAAGAACGACTCTTTAAATAGTGTGATCATCGAGATTCAAAGGAATTAAATAATGACCCTGATTTTCTCTGTGAAACAATTGCACACGTATAATTCAACAATTTGATATCATTTTTTTACTTTTTATTATTCTTACTTTACTACTTTATTAGTAAGACACCTTACTCTCTGCAAGACACCTAGTGTTCCGGTTTTTAAGCCGTCGCGTCAACTTCGCTCACATCTTGAGCGAAAGTTGTTTCCGAGATATATAGTATAACGCGTGTACTGACATACATACACGTATATACTTTGGCTTCAGTATTAATATGTTTATTTAACTTTTTCTTCTCTTTTTTTCGAAAGCCTCCTATCTATCAATGTACAAAAATGAAACATTAATTACACCAGTTGCATCTTTGCCTCGTGTGCCTTCATTGAGATGTGTACAATTCGATCATAGCGAATGGATATTAAGAAGATTAAAATAGTGAATAGAATTGTTATAAAAAGGAAAATGAACTAAGTATAAGTTTCACTTATGTTTATTATTTCATTTAATTTTCACATGTGATTAGTGTTACATTAAAGAGGATCGGAAATAGTTATCGTTGCTAGAGTTGCTATGATAACGAGTCGTTCTTGAATAATTTCTGTACTGATTGTGAGTGTTTTGTGATTTATGATTCGCGTTCCGATCAAGTTGATTTTGTTCCAGTTGAAAAAGAACATTTGTATTTTCGCGTTTATACTTTCGATTCGAAAACAGTATTGTCAGTGAATTTACTTATATATAAACATTAACAGTGAATGGATATTTAGTTTAAAAAGAAGAGGAAGAACTTGCATACGTACAACTAATCGAACATTAAGTGATCTTCGGGAGTGCCGTGGGTACGTGAATTTTCGCGTATTTTTTTCGTTCCGTTCTTTATTTCTGCCCTCCATTTCTTCTTCTTCTTCTATTGTTTCTTCTTCTCTTCTTTTTCCACTTCTTTTTCTTTTTCTCCTCCTCCTCCTCTTCCTACTACTACTTCCTTTTTTCTTTTTTTCCTTTCTTCCCTTCTACATTTCCTCGCCATTGACATTGTTATTATATCCATTCACTCCCTTATCTTTCACATTCCCTTCATTTTCTTCGATTGTTCGATCATGAGAGAAGCTGTAATATTTGTCACATGTTTACTGGGTATCGTATTTGCTGGAAGTCCTAGACTACCCAGAACCTCTGCTGATGAACGTAATACACGTAACGTTAGTAACAATGGAGGCAACATCACTGGAAACACGATACCAATACCTAATCGCAATTCTCAACGAAACAGGTAAGTTAGCGTGGAAAATAGTAAAATACGTATTTAATAAATATATATAATATATTTATAAAATACGTGTATCTACATATGTATAGGTATAACTAATTCGAATCGTAGACCAGTGAACAATCAGTCGATTCAACTTTTCCTTTCACGCATCGGTCAGAGGTACAAAAAATCAAATAACTTTCGTTATTAGATAAATTTGTTATTTTAAAACATATACAATTCAATCAACGAATTGATTCGTCTATTTTTGTAGTTTGCATTAATATTTAATATTAGGAAGATTAGAACGAGTTATTTGTTTATCATAAAGGTAATTAGGACAGCGCCAATTCAGATAAAATTTAGTTTAATTAGTTTACCTAGATCGTATTTGAATTGTAAAAAATTGAAACAGTAATTTCCGCCGGTGTTTCAAACAGATTTATACGTATCTTTTTATCTTCATACATCTACATTATACCATTATAAATCCTTGAGTCGTGTTGTCTCATGTTGTGTTATCGTTCCATTGGTTCACGTTAGACATTCTCTTATATAACTTCGCGGAACAACGAAAGAAATTTGACTCTCAAAGTATTAAAAAATATTTTTGTTGCTTATGTAATAGAATCAAATGATCAAATTTCTAAATCTCGCTTTCATTTTAGAAACACACACACACACACACACACACACACATAGTGATTGGTTTCTCATCTTACTTTACCTACATTTACATATTTATATTAGTTAAATTACTTTTTTCTTTATTCAATTACCATTTTATTAACTAGTAAAGACTTCACAATGACAACGATCTATCATTACTTCAGATGTACAGTTTCTTAACAATCTCCTATTGCAATATTGACTTGATGTTACACAACGAATATTACCGTTAATTAATCGTTTGTTAAACTCGGTTAAACCACTTATCTCTGTCTCTTGAAAATTTCTTTATTTTAGTATTAATGTAATATTTGATTATTCAAAAACAAATAATTAACCCTGATGAAATTTAATTTTTATATAATTCAAATAATCTTTAACGAATAATATTAATATAATTTCGATAATCAAACTCAAATGATATGATTATATTGGTTATTATATTTTTAAAACTATTATTAATATTATATTATTTAAACTCGCAAGACGTTAATCAGAAAGACTCATGTGCGCATCGTTCATACATATATAAGTATATATAGTTATTTAATCTAATACTTGACACGTTACAAAATGTGAAAGATAGTGTTTCATGATATTACTTTTAACGTATGCATAAACGAGTTATATTTTATTTCATGGTATTGTATCAAGGTTATTGACGTTATTAGTGCACGTTATGGGACAAAAATTATCAATTACGAAAGAATTGACAAAAAGACGACAATCAAATGTAAATAAGATGAGTAGATAACTATCACTTTTAAACAAGGCCACGTAAAGAAATAATATCAGTTAAAATCTAACTGTTAGATCATAAGGATAGAAAGGACGACGCGGGGTCTGGTTTTCCTTTGGTTGTATAAGTAATCTATAAGATCTAGTTGTAACAATACGGTTGCGCAAGTTGCCTGGATTCCTTGAAAAGAATGGACATTGGATTGGACATACATAGGTATTGTATATGTATACGCATATGTGTATCATTTATGTTCCGCGTAAAATGTAAAACAAACGAAATTTTAAGCTCGAAAAAAGAAGCTTTCTCTCGTTTGATAGCGTACATCTGCTTACGTCAATCTACTATTTAATCGTTCCGCTAGAATCATCATGGTATTTGTCTTGCAATTTGTTACCTTTCTTTTTCAACCTTACGGAAGTTATCAGTTGCGGAATGTCGCCTGTTGTAATTCCGCTTCCACCTTCCCTTCAACCAGTCGTTGTTAGTTTTTGTTCGTTCGTTTCTCTTCAAACTACTTTTACACGAGTAATTTTGATAATATCTATACCTTTCACTATAATTTCGTTAAAAATATTGATTTATGAGACGATTATATATTTATAGTTTAATAAATGACTTGATAAAATAATAATTTCAAATTATTTTTTCAATTACTGAATGCACGAAACTCGAAAATGTTTTTAATTAAATTTATATTAATTTTTATATTGAGAAATGCTCTTTTATAAATGTTCTTTTATATTTTCTCTTCTTATGAGATATATTGTCTATTATATACAATTATATATATATAGAGAGAGAGAGAGACGCGCGCGGGCGCGCGCGCACACACACACACTTATTATATGCTCTGTAATAAGATATTTAATGAAATATTATTCTATATTATATTTATGTACGTATAGTACATCACTTGAGGGAACGAAAAGCGTTAAATTTTACATTTCACACGAATATCATTCAGCAAACACGTTTAAGCTTTATATTAGGTTCGTAAGATTCGAAAGGATCGTAATAAGCACAGAGAGCATGACTACTGACCTACCTACGGATTGCGTAAAATTACAGTTTACATCGTAACGAGAGAAAGGATATGTATGTCTGTGCAAGTTGTTTCAGATTCAGCTTTACATCACACACTAGTTTATAAGAAAAAGCAATTTTTCTTTATTCAAATGGTGAATTATCGCTCTTAAAATATATTCGTTCTGAAGTTCCTATTATTATATGATGATAAATCAAAAAATTGACTCCCTCAAAATTCAACTTAAAGACGATAGAAAATAGATAATTGTTTGTATTATTTACATAAACGTAATAATATTAAATTTCACATGACCAAATTAATTATATCGATAACATAATAGTAGTACATTACGCGTTATGTAATATATATTGTAGTATATATTAAATGTATAACACTGTATCAAGCATAGACCATAAGTTATCTTGTTATATTTAGCATATTTGAAGCATCGAAATTCTAAATTGAAGTATAATGATGTTCATAGGATACTGTATGCAACATGTTTCTTAATTAATACATAAGAGTTTTTTAATTAATTGACAAAACAATTTTTGACGTTAACATTGCATCGTGATTTCGAAGTAACTCATAAATTATTTGATATTATCGTATCACGTGTCGACAATATGTATAATAATTCGTGATTAATTGAATGTATAATAAAATTATTATAGGTATTCTTTAAGCTAATATTGCTTTTTTATTGCGCGTTAGTAACTAAAACGTAGAAACTTGGAAGTATTTACGTATCTTTATGAAAGTGAAAATGAAAATGAAATTTATGAAAACTTTTACAGGATTGTGAGTAAAGCGCGAGAAACATATTGTAGAACTATAAAACACGCCACAGTTTCAAGCTATGGCCAAAATACTTTATATTGTCCATATATTACAAATTCGACTGTGTGCTGAATTATATGTATACACATTTTTTGTAATAAATGAATCGCATCGCGTCGCGTCATCTTCGAGTCATACTTTATTATTAGTTAGCGCTCTTTTCAAAGCTTCAGTTATGCTTTTTTTTAAATCTAAATAATTCTTAAAAGATAAATATATCGTAAGTAACGTGTTGAGATTCATGGAACGAACTCTATAACCCATTAAAAAATGAGTACTTTCACTTCTGCTCCACCGCACAAGTAAGTAAATAAGTATTTACATACGTATGTACATATTTATATTTGTGTACATTGTTCTGTGTAATCAGCCGACACATATTATCCCTCCCCCTCCCCTTTTTAATTATGATTGTTGTTTTTATTTTAAAACAAGAAAACAGTGTAGAATAATTTATATTGTATTTATTACTGAAGATAATAAAATTAACTAAATTTAAATATACATCTAAGCTAATCTAAATATCTAATAATAATCTAATAATAAAAACATTTATTTCGTACAAAAGAAAAAAGTAAATATATACGTTATGTACACATATGGCTACAGTAGTAGACTCCAGTATAACGCTTTAATTTGTTCGGCGCTATATGAATTCGCGTTATAGAAAAATCGTGCTGTACGGGGATTTTTCTCGCATAACGCGTATAATCTGAAGGAATATGTTTGAAATAATTATTGCTATGCTAACTTTTATTCTCCATGTTTAATCAAATAGGACAGTGACACATTTTGAAGATAAAAGTGGCATACATACGCAGTGGGTTAAAAAAAAGAAACATTAATATATGTAAGAAATCTTTTGTTTTATTGAAACTTTAAAAAATTGTAAAATACTTTTGTAATCTTGATTATTAATCACTGTCAGAATCATCCAAATTATAACCCAATTACGGTTACATTCCATACATCGTCTTGTCGCGTTTTATGATTTGGCGCGTTATATGAAAACAGTGGTCGCGATTTCTTTGGCGCGTTGTAGGAACTCGCGTTAAACGGGACATACACATGTATGTGCATTCTTTAATAATTAATTACTCGTCATCTCCATAATAAAATCTCACCTATACCTCACAAATACCTCGTTTTTCTAAGCAAAAGATTGTTTAATTTAAGCGAGTTTTACTTTTTGATCGTAATATTTCTTGACACCTTTCTTTCAGAGAGCAATACCTCTTCAATGTTTTCGAAGTTATAGTTTCGACTTTGGAATCAAAATTACAGCGCATCGAAAATCTGGATAAAGCAGTTGAACACTTGATGAGAAGAGTGGAAGCTTTGGATTCACGTGTACACGATAATATCGATAAAACCGACGCAGTCATTGCAAAGCTACGAACCTTAGACCTTAAACTTTTTAATTCTCGTCAAATTGAATTTTCTTCAACCGAATCTGCATACTCGGCGATCGATGATAAAAATGACAGTGAACTTAGAAATGGTACGTAGTGCACATGCACACGTGCACGCTTCATATACATACATGCACACACACACATACATACATACATACATACATACATACATACATACATACATACATACATATATAATGCTTATGTAAGACATAAATTTGCAAACAGTGATATAAACAAAATCTTGGCTCGATTTGTTTGGTTCATTATCGATAATCTTTCACGAGTCGGCATTTGAATTGTACAAAAATGCCGCGCTGCACCGATTTTCTTTTATTTATATTTTGTTTGTTTAAACATGTATTTATGTATTTACAGGTATAAATACTTACACACATATAGGTATCTATACACGTGCACACATCCTGCTTTCCTTGTACTCCTAATTTTTTCGTTCTTTTCATATTTTTTCCATACTTTTATCTTTTTGCTAATACTTCTTCTATTTTTCTTTCTTTGTATGCCTTTTGCTACTCAATTCTATTATATAAATTGAAATTTATTCGATAAAACAGGCTCGAAGTTAAAAGCAATCCATCGTAAGCCAGAAGAAGTACCATCACCCGAGACCGTTGGTGAAAAATTGCTATCGCTCGATCAAAAGGTATCGGACATAGATAATAAACTGATCGATTTGAAACATCAATTGGATAATAATTTGTTACAAAATGAGGACATAAACGCCGAAGCTAGTGAAAAAAAGCCAGTTAGCATGAGTGTGATTGAAATCACGAAAGCGATGAGTAACGAAGTAATAAATCACATTACAATTGAGATAGAAAATTTAAGACAAGCGACTAATAATATGGACAGAAAGTTACAGTTCCATGTAAACCTAGTTTCGGATCGTTTGGGAAGCATTTACAACATGATGACCGACGTACATGATGCGATATTAGTCAGAGGTACTACGAACGGTCGACCAGCGTTCAACGTTACGACAATGAAAACCACCGAACCATCACCACCGAAACAAAGTAAAATTGATCGACTCGTTGAGCAAATATATCCGGTGTTGACTGTTTCGGAAAAGATGGACGAAGTTTGGAACGTTGTGGTGAGTTGAGGACAAATCATTATTATTCGATCGACTGCATTTATTTATTAACTACATTAATCACCGCATAGAACGTATAGAACTACATATATCTGTGTACCTATATATCTACTGTAACCTATATGTAATTCTTATGTTACATCTACTTAGATTTACATTTTCTCTCCGACAGGTTGGCACAAAAAGTTCCGTGGATGATCTTTTGCCAAAATCCGAGGAATTACTTACACAAACACAAAGACAAGAAAGAGCAATTAGTGAAATCCATGCAGATTTAAGATCGAAAACGAATAAAATTATCGAGAATTTGGAAGGAGTTGAGAATAGGCTACGAAAGCAGGAGGATGACGTTGCTAGTCTTGCTCAACGTCCAATCCCAGCGGAATTGCTGCTCGATCCCACGATTGACCGCCTTGTCGAATATGACTCAAATAGGTCAGTTTTGCTGTTTCTTTCCCTTTTCTTTCTCTTCTTTCTCGATAGAAATTTTTTAACAGAATTCGCGATACGAATTTATTCTACTTTTCAAGAAGCAATGTTTCTTCGTAGAATAGAGCAACGTATAAATATTATCCACAATGTTTTACGCATTGATATTTGATTTTGATTCTTTTTTTTTCTTCGTTTAATGAAAAAAGAAACATTTTTTTCTTTACGATGCTTTAAAGTGATATTTTAAATTCACTGCATCGATGCAGATTGAACATTCACATTATCTATGATGTGCAGCGAAAATGAAATAATAAAACAAAGTTATAACGCTAAAGGAAAGAAAATGCAATAGATTCTTTATTGCGTGCTTGTATTATGTTATGTAATATTCTTGTATTACGAAAACAAAATTTCGTTGATATTAATTTTTTGAAAAACAAATTTCTTTCAGATACGTTGGACTTTCCGACGACATTCCAGTCGAAACAACCGTTTCACCGGTGAATCCTACAACCATCGTTTCGTCTGTGTCGATGTCTATGTCTTCCTCGACTTCGTCAAACACCGTATCAATCAATAATTTCAATAATTCAAGCAATATCGCTGGTTCCACTAATTTTCCTAATTCGACAGCCAGTCCTGGAATATCGTTGTCTTCGAGTTCGCAACGATCTTCCTCTAAGAATCGCGGTGTTATATTTCCAAGTGTTAAAAATAAACCAAGTCCAGCAAATTCAACCTTTAGCACCGACGTATTTCTTAGTTATAAGGATGTTAAGGTAGAGAAAATATTTTCGACTTGTACTTATCAGTGTGTTAGTGAATTGTTATTGTTAAATGAAAAAGAAATATAATTTAAATTTAAATGTTAAATATTTAGTAATATTGAAAGTGTTTAACATAATGCATCTAATTTAATGTTTCAGGGCTATTCGTGCGTTGATTTACTAAATGCAGGCATGAGAGACAGTGGTGTTTATTATCTTCAAATTCGCGGAACAACTTATTGGTTTCTCAAGGTTTACTGCGAACAAGATGTCGCTGAAGGCGGTTGGACGGTAAGAGATTCAAATAAATACGTATGTACATGTACGTACGTACGTACGTACGTACGTACGTGAATGCGATAGAACGTGTTTTCCAAAAAGTATATTTCAGAATAGAGGACTTGATTATCAATTTAAGTTGTACACGAAGGTAAAAAGTGTTTTATATAAAATTTTTATTTTTACACAGGTCATTCAAAGAAGAGACGATTTCGGAGAGCCAAGAGAAAATTTCAATCGCGATTGGGCTGATTACAAAAATGGTTTCGGTGATCCTGCTCGAGAGTTTTGGCTTGGCAACGAGAACATATATATGTTAACGAACAACGAAGATTATACGCTCAGAGTGGATCTCGAAGATTTCGAAGGTAACAAAAGGTAAAAATAAGATTACAGTTGCAACCGGATTTTTAATCTCGAGAGTTTGTTATTATCGTTGCAATTGAATAAACTGAAAGAGACATTTTAAAGACAGATTTGTCCAACCTTTTGATATATGAAATGTTTCGGAATTTTTTTTACAGCCGCATAAATGTACATAGGTTAATTTACATATATGTAAATTATTTTCTAGATATGCACAATATTCTCACTTCAAAATCTATTCGGAAGGAGAATATTATAAATTAGAGATTGACGGCTACGAGGGAAATGCCGGTGACTCATTAAACGATCCTTGGTACGGTTCAAATAATAGTCCGTTTTCCACGTACAACAGGTACAGGTTTCTCTCTCTTTTTCTTTTTCCTTTTGTTTTTACAAAGAGTAAGAAGCAACATAATAATAAAATTAAACAAGTCAAGATTTAAGTAGATTTCGAGATGGATATTTCACTTTACAGAGACAATGATAGATCATCGTTGAATTGTGCGTCCATGCTGAAAGGCGGATGGTGGTGGAAATCGTGTGGTCGAGGATTAAATGGTCTTTATTTGAACGATCCGCAAGATTTAACCGCTCGACAAGGTATATTTCTTTATAACATCCGTTCGATATTCATACATCGTGTGTTGTCCGTTCACAATGATGATAAAGGTAATAATAAAGGTTTCTTTTTGTTATTCTTTTTATTATTCATCAAAGGTATTGTATGGTTCCGTTGGAGAGGTTGGGATTATACTTTGAAACGTGCCACAATGATGATCAAACCAAAAGGACCAACAACAACCATGCTATAATATAGGGAGATTATAATGATTATAAGTTTTCTAGAAGAATTCCGCTGCGTCCGTAATGCTTGGTACAACGTACGCAACTTGTCGCAGTTACCAAATATACATATGTACATACACATGTAAGAATGTTTGGAAATGTCGGACGAGAAAACAGTTTTTTAACGAATATTCCTTCCCTTTATATTTTTTTTTATTAAATACATTTCAATTCGGCGTATTTTTAAGATTCTATTATTTATTTCAGTAAAATCTTTCTCTCGCTGAATTTGATTCCGTCTTATCAACAGTTCAAAACGTACAAAGCGTACAAAGCGATTATAATATGTAATTGTTATAATCATCGATCGTCATAAATGTTTGTAATGTTTGTAAAACGTAAAATAATGAAACTGTCGATGTATAATCCATATGTCGAATTAAATTCAATGACATTGTTAACTAGTGTAATATTATGCCTTATTTATACACATTATTTATCGGATTATTCTAGTAACATACATGTATGTGTGTACATACATATATACATACATCCGTACATTCGTATTAAATCAAATTTATGCAATATCATATTTAATTATTCGAAAAAAATTACGATAAAAATTTAAAAAAAATTATTAAATTATTGATTATTATAATAGAAAAGCCATTTTTTTGAAGTGTGGACTATCGATTGTTTCGCATCATTGACCTTACGAAAAAGACAGAATGACTTTGAGCAATCCACATATCGTACAAACATAAAATCTTCAATTTTTAAGTAATGTTCCTGAATACTTTTAATAATTTATTCATAACAAACAATTCATTGCTTTTTACAACGATTCCAATTGTTATTTCAAAACTTTCAACAATTAATAATTTATAACAATTGTGTAAAGAAATTCGGTAGTATATTCACGTGGTGGAAGCATGCGAGTGAACAGTTTCCCCGCAGCCGGCGCGTCGTAACACGGCATACAAAATTTTCGACATATCAAAATATTCACAATCACTCATTCTACAGAAACGCGCACGACATACGCGAAAATGTAAAATTTGTTATATTTTTCAAGGGCTCGCATCGTTCACTCTTTCCAATCGATCATCGTTTTTTCAGTCCATTCGTCCTAAAGCTGGAACCACAAACGAGATACCGAAGTATATATATATCGTCCATGCCAACCTTATCTCTTCTAGCAATATTTTTTCGTAAATGGAAATTTATTATTCGTTCGGTATTTAATTTTTGACATTCTCTCGGATAATTTGATTTACATTCATATTTACTTTGAAAGTGACGATATGGATTACGCGGAGAAATAGTTTCGAAGCGAAATTACGGTCTCGTGTGCGTAAAATTAAACGGCATTTATCAGTGACTTTCTATCGAACATAAGATAATATAAAATCTTTATTCATAAGTTTCAAAGTTTAAACGGTGAAAAGTCGACAAATTTTAACTTTCGATTAGTTTTTACATTCTTCTCGTACGTATATGGAGAGTATATGTTTCGATGTGCTGGCGCCATTTTGTTGGCAATGTCCGGAACGACATAATTTAGAAATTATTTTCCCTGCGCCTCTTTACTTCTTCTTCTTCTTCTTCTTCTTTTCCTCGTTTAGACATACAGTACGAGCTAGTAAGGTTTATAGAAGATTGCGAAATTGCGAAATTTTCAAAATTTAGCCACTAAATACGCTTTCTTTTCGCACATGGACAGTTTGATAATTAATAATTTTTTATCTTTTCGTTAATCTGTATCGTTTTCTACGTACTTTCCGAGATCGATGCTATCGTTTACGTTTAGAAAGATATTCGTAGCAAAATTGCATTCTCGTTTGTGCGTAATTAAATGGCTTGTGTCAATGGGATTCCATCGACTATAGGAACATTGGAAATATGTATATCGTACTGGATGTTGCCGACAAAATGGCGCCGCTACACCGAAGCATATTTTCTCCGCATATACGTGCGACAAAAATGTAAAAACTAATCGAAAGGTAAAATTTGTCGATTTTTTAAATCGAGTAATACTTCCAAGATCCCTAGCTTCGAGCGTGTGTTACGTTTAAGCTTTCTAATGAATAAATAGGTATTTCCACGGCTCCTATAGTCGATAGAATCCCACTGATAAAGGAGGAATGACTGTCCCTCCACCCAAAGAATCCACAAAGTATTTAGAAACGAAGTATCTCATAGTGCGAAGAAATAAACAGTGTCAAGTTTGATTGCCTAAATAATCGTCGCGTATTCGTGACGGGTGTATTCCGGCATGCGACCACAACAGTAAAACAGCCTCGCGAGGAATAATTGTAGATTTAATAAATTTTTATTTTTCTCACTGTTCGTACCAAATCATTCAACGTACATGTATATAACTCAACATATTACCTTCACACATAGTTAATAAATGGGAAATAATTATGGACAATCAATATTGGAAACTTACTAGGAAAAATGTGCCTATGAATAGTGTCTCCCTCGTACGGGAATTATATCGTCACGTTAAATTATTTTTTGGCGGGATATTTGAAATTATTATTAATAATTTAGCAAGATACAAAACATTTATACGCAATATTGTATTGTAAAATAAAATATTCCTGCAAAATGAAAAAAAAAAGAAATCTCCCAGTCGATAACGAGAAAAAAAATTAAAAATACAGCAAAAAGAGAGTTACGCTGAGAGAAATAACACGAAAAAGAAACATAACACAGGAAAAGAAAAAAATTATACGTAATTGTCGTCTTTATAATATTACGAAGTTTCAGAGAGAGCCTTTGTTTGTTTATAAATCTTTTAACAAATAATATACATTCGTATAAAATTTTAGACGAGCAGAGGAGAATGCTAAAAGAAAGGATGGAATTGGTAGATAAATTATTAATTTCTCACGATGGGCAAAAATTTGATTTTAAATTTGAAATGCAACAAAATGTAACAATTCTGTTGAAAATATAGGAATATATTCAAAATTTACAGTAATACTAACGTTTCAAACGGAAACAACAAACTACCTGATCACAGTTAATAAGTATCATCGACAATGTATCAATATAACGTTTCTGAATGTATTTCGAATAAAATTCTTACACTCTTACGCTCTTTCTACCTTTTCTTCAAATAAAATAATTTTGATACATTAGTTTTTCTAATTTATCAAGATAGACAAACATTTATACGCAGTAGAGTCTATAAAATAAAATAGTCCTGCATTATTATTCATTTAGTTATCGTTTACTAAAAGTCCGCATGCAAAACTTGGTAAGTATTCTCATATTTTGAATACAAACAGCCACTACATTCGTATCCTATCCTCCGAATCGACGTCTACTAAGAAAATTGCAGCATTTGACATTCCCATTGCAGTTACAATCCTTTAGAAGCTGGAAATAAAAAGATAAACGCAGATATAAATAGATAAATACGATAATAGCAATATGTATGTATGTAACACATGTATTCAAGTGCACGTACCTGAATAAATTTCGCTATGTACTGTGGGCTGTATGCTCTATATGATATTTATCTATGTTTGTGCAACAAATTTGGATACTAAATTTTGTCAAGTATTAGTAGTTACTACAATTTGTAAAAGGTACTCTCGCCGGCATCTCCTTGATACTGTTAGTAGTTTCTCATACTTCTATCGAGGAAAAGAAGAAAAAGATAATTATTGAAAGTTTTAAATACAGAATTGACATAATTAATACATGAAATTAATAAAACATATTCAGTATTTAATACATCTTATCATTAAAGCTAAATTTTCTCAATTATACCTTTGAAAGTAATTTGTCCATAGTTACTACCATTTATAAAAGTCATTGATCACAATTGACCTTCGTGTTACTTTATTATCACTTGTCTTTTGAGAGCAGAAGCTACATTTTTTCAAAATAGATATACTTTCTGTTCGCACCGCACTGGAAAAGATATGAAGAAACAATTTAATAATGCAAACATTGACTTTTACAAAGAATGATTAATAGGTTAAGTGGAAGATTCTTGTATTATTGTGAAACTCTTTCCGTTAGAATAAGCACCTATTAGCAACAGCGACTGTTGTCAAGGAACTTGGCGACACTTGCATCAACATTTTTTCCATATTGTTCGTATCAAATCGTTCAACGTACATGTATATAACGACAACTTGACATTGTGACAGTTTATGAATGGGAAATAATTATGAACAATCAATAGTGGAAACTTACTAGTAAAAAATGTGCCTGCGAATAGTGTCTCCCTCGAACGGGAATTATATCGTCACGTGAAATTATTTTCTGGCGGGATATTTGAAATTATTAACAATTTATATGAAATTATTATTTAATTTATCAAGATACACAAACATTTATACGCAATATTGTATTGTA